TTAAAGGGAACAATCATACTCCAATACCACGTAGTAAATGTCATCGACCACACGGAGAGAACTCTTTGCTACCATGATGGGACCCTTCGATATAATGAAAGAACAACACTCCGATACAGTTGCCTAATTGACATCGCTATAATTTACAAACTGGATAATAATAATAAAATCATTTATTTAGCTACAAAACATAACAATATTAATGTCAACTTTTTATATTAAAATAACAAATCTGTGGTAGCAACTGAAATGGTCACCACTCAGCTTGAGCTGCAGCGAGTTCCTGTAGCGCTGCTGCTGCTGATTTTCAGTGGGGACACGTATAGATAGATACGATAGCGTGATATGTGTCCTATCGTGCTATATCTATATTAAATACATCTCTGCTATGATATTATTAAGTGATTTTGTTAAATTAAAAATGCTGGCAATTGTATACAACTTACAAATTATATACGTTACAATACTGACTTTTTAATAGTATCTATTGATTTGCTTATATGATTTTATTGAGCAAAAAGGTAACTTATTAAGAAAAGAGAGGAAACGATAGATCTAACAGAGGACTTGATCCTAAAAGGATCTTTTCCTCAACCAGTTTTTGAGTTACCCAATTGACAAAGCTTCACAGAAAAAAGTTATGTTACACGGATGTCCCATTTGTTGCATACCTTATATACCTACAAGTATATGACATTTTCGTTTGTATTACAGTTTCAACCGTCTCACCTGAAGACATGTCGGATTTCACGATCATCGAAGAAGGTAATAAGAAAAAATACAGCTGCAACAAATGTGGAAGCGTTTTAAGCACCATGGACAGCATCAGAGTGCATATCCTAGCTAGGCATTTCAATATTATGAAGCATGAGTGTCCACTATGCGATGCGAAATTCAAACATCGGGGTACAAAAACTCAACATCTCGCAACTAAACATGGAATGGAAGAAATCAAAGTTGGAGGATCTAAAGTGATGAGAGAAGCCGAAAAATGTATTTGTGAGATTTGCAAGAAAGTGTTTGCGAGTAAAGGCGTTCTTACGAAGCATATACCGACTCATAAACTCGTCAATTGTCCAGAATGTTCCGTTGTTTGCACCAAACTGGATATGGTAACTCACAGATCTGAAGTCCACGGTGCGCCTATCCCAACTTGCGGGGTGTGTGGTTACAAGAACAGGAAAAAGGGACGAGTCGTGATCCACCAAAGAAAAGTACACTTAAAAGAGAAGAATTTGCCATGCCCACATTGTGACGCTAGATTTTTCGATAACAAACAGTTGAAGCGACATCTGGTCCGACACAATCCTGTGAAGATTTTCGAGTGTCCGCATTGTATGAAGAAGTTTGCAAGGCTGAACACTTTGAGACAGCATGAGAGGATTCACACGGGTGACAAGAGGAAGGTCTGCCCGATATGTGATGAGAGATTCGTGCAGAAAGCAAGCTTGAATTATCACATGACGAAACATCACCCTCAGGCGTGTTAGTCCTGCTATCTGAAAGTTAACTTAAGCACCGGATTTCATCAGGACAATCTGAGAACATTTTTTTCCGAAATTGGAATAATTCCTTCAAATAAATTGAACTGCTTTGAATTTGTTGTTGACTGTATATTAGTTGCAATTGTTAAATCTTGTTTTAACTTTTGAGAACTTATAACTAGATCTTTGTTTTTATCATTACTATACTACTATATTACTATAACAAAATCGTGTGGCTGTTGTTTTTACTAAAATACAATAATTAATTTACTATTATTACTTGTAAATCAGGAATTACAATATATTAACGAAGTAAAATCAGCAAATAAAACTAAATCCAATATTTTTATACCATATAAAGGAGGGAGGGAGGGATTTGTTATAAATTTACATATATAAATATGTAAATTTATAACAAAAATACCCTAATTTAGACCCATTGAGTGCACCCATTTTGATACGAGCTCCCTCAGACTTTACACGATTTATTTCAACAAATTGCTCTCTGTCATGTAAATAACATTCTACCACCTTTAGGGCTTCATTTCCAAAACTGTAATGCTAATTCCCTAAAACAACTTCCCTAAAACAAACAAAAAGTTGAAAATTTTTATCTGCCCTTGGTTTGGACTTCCCGGAATTCTTATACGCCATATTTATCAACAATTGAATCTATCGAGTTTTTTCCAAGAGACTACAGCATGGGGTTAAAGAGTCTTCAGAAAAGGGGCAAAGGGGTTTCAGGGTCAGCAACGAGCGCGTAATGTCCCTGGTATTGCTGACGTTCATAGGCTACGGTAACCGCTTACTATCAGGTGGGCCGTATGCTTGTTTGCTATCTCAGTGGTATAAAAAAAACTATCTACGTGGGCTTTTACTCACCTGTCAAGTAGCAAACACAACTTCTTTTGCACATCATTAAATGAGAGGTTAACGCCATCTACCGAGTTAATACATTATTAATTAAGAGGTTACGTATATTTGGAGTGTTTGTTTTTTAATGGATAATAATGGAATGGTAACCCCGCCTGCGCCAACGGTATACACTGGCGGGGCACCAGAGAGAGACGATAGGCGAGGGTGAAAGCAGGTCAGTTAGCCCATCTTGATGAATACACCAGGAATTCAGCACGATGGTTCTAGGGGGGACCATGTAGAGGTCGACTTAACAGGGTATATTGCTAGCAATAGGTTTGGTAGTTTTTTTATGGGTGAAAATGGTATGGTAACGGTAACTCCGCCTGCGCTAATGGGATACGCTGGCGGAGCACCAGTGAAGGGTGATAGATGAGAATGAAAACAGGCCAGTTAGCCCATCATGATGAATTCATCAGGAATTAACCATGATAGTTTGGGGGGAAAGGGATTGTTAGTAATGGGGTCAAATAGCCCTATTACTAGCAATATACTCTGTCAGGTCGACCTCCACGTGGTTCCCCCTGGAAACCATCGTGACTAATTCTAGTTTAATTCGTCAGGATGGGCTAACTGACCTACCTTCATCTTCATCTGTCATCCCTCACTGGTGCCCCGCCAGTGTATACCAATAGCGCAGACGGGGTTACCATACCATTATCACCCATTAAAAAAAAAACCATGATAGTTTCCAAGGGAACCGCGAGGAGGTCGACCTGGTTGGGTATATTGCTAGCAATGGGATTCTCAGTCTCCATTACTAACGATCCCTTTCCCCCCATAGGTTTGGTAGCATGCATTACTAACAATCCTTTCCCCTTCCGAATTTTCAAGAAATGTCACACGATATACAGATATTATTAGTAAATATTACGAGAATATATTAATAGAAAAAATATAAGAACAATAGATGCCAAGACAACATTTAGAAATTTCCGTCTGTCTGTATGTATATTTATTAAGACATCACGCTAAAACTACGGCATACAAATTGAACACGATTTTAATCTAATGTGCTCGTAGATATATTTTTTTATACAACTTAGAATGGCAAACAAGCTTACGGCTCACCTGATGGAAAGTGGTAACCGTCGCCTATAGACATGAGCAGTACCATGGACATAACAGAGTATACTGTTTCGCCCACGATACCCCCCATTCGTTGCCATTCCTGAGGACTTTATGTTTTAGCTTGAAAAAGTATGCAGGCTTATTTCATTAGTTTTTTTTACTCCTGAAATCCACGGGTACGAAATAGAGGGTGAGAAGGTGAGACAATGAGAGAGTAATAGGCAAAAATTATAGAAACCAAAATAATTGCTTTTTTTTTTATTATTATTTTCTCTATGTAATTTTTTATCACTGGCCACAAGGACATAATTCGTCTGTGAGTTAGTGAATAGGGATATCGAAATATTGTAGATATTACTTTAAACATAAACTCTGAGGTTTTTACGTCCTGTTTTGATTATTCGACGTTTTTAATTTATAATATTACATAATGAAACATGTAAAAAAAAATAACCCATTTAACTAAAGTATATAAAAATTATATTAATTAACACGTAATTAAATTAAAAAATGTGATATACTTAAAATTGGTGTTTTTCTTTTATTTCTAATAGTTTTAAACAACGGATATGTCCGCGTGAACAATCCCAAAAAATTTAACGCCAAATCCTCCGATTCAGACCTCTTTTGATTTAGTCATATCCGACGATCATAGCTGTCGCTAGGGAGAGAGGCATTGAGGGGTAATGTCCAACCCTAAAAAACCCAATGCCTTGCCTTAAAATAAAAGGCTCCAAGAAGGTAATGGCTTCTGCCGTACCAAAAAGTTCTTTTGCCCTACCTTAAACTTGGGTCTAGCTACGACCCTGCCATCAATCTATTCATACACGCTCGCCGGTTACGGGTACTTTACACTTGATCCCTCTTCAGTACATCGCCTATTTAGTCGACATACATCATATCATAAATCCATAAATTTCGTTGATGTTCGATTTACTACCCAAACCAAGGCAACATTTCCTTTTCAATCTTGGTCACTACATCGCCTTTCAGTTATTCATCTAAATGTAACCTATAAATTATTATGTCGGCCATTAACTGTCCGGAGCTGAACATTGGCGTCTCCTATAAGAAGGAGGTTTGCCAATAGTTGCCACGCTTGGCAGGCGGGTTGACAACCGCAGTTAGGCTTTGGAGATGCTATAAGAGGGACGCTGCTGTTTGGCCCTCGAGTATAAGCTCCCTTAATCGCATCTTACAACATGGGACAGGAAGCAGTGGTCCATTCTATACCGAGATCACATGGTGGTGTAATCCACTAATTTTAATGTATTCTGTAATCTTTTGGAGGACAACAATAAAGAGTGACAATCTATCTGTTTATAATTAATATTTTTAGCAAGAATAATGGAATTCAAATTGTTTAGTTGTACCAAACATTCAATTAAATCCAGGCAATGTTTATTACTGTCCAATTCAGAAATGCTAGCCCGTTATTTCGATGCGTACGAAAAAGAATCGATTGATATATTTTTTTCTTAAACAACGAGACAATAAGATTCAGTTACAACATAATAACTTGGTCATGCCATGAGAGAATTTGAAACTATCATTTGTATTGCAGATCCATACGTTCCGCCTGAAGATATGACAGACTATACGATCGTCGAGGAAGGCAACAGGAAAAAGTTTAGCTGCAACAAATGTGGCACATTACTGAGTACGTTGGACAGTATGAGGATGCATATAGTGGCCGGACACTTCAACATAATGACCTTTGAGTGCCCACTGTGCGACGCGAAGTTCAAACACAAGGGCACGAAGACGCAGCACCTCGCAAAGAAGCACGGCATGGAGGAAATAAAAGTCGGAGGCTCCAAAGTGGTCAGGGAAGCGCAAAAGTGTGTATGCGAGATTTGTAAAAAGGAATTTCCGAGCCGGAATTGTCTCACCCGGCACATACCGACTCATAGACTGTTTAATTGCCCAGAATGTTCCGTAGTGTTCAGGAAAGATGAGATAGCGATACACAGGTCTGAAGCCCACGGTGTGACTATTCCAACATGTGGGGTGTGCGGTTACAAGAACAGCAAAGAATGGAGGGTGATCACGCATCAAAGGAAAGTGCATTTAAAGGAGAAAAATCTGTCGTGTCCGCATTGCGAAGCGAAGTTCTTCGATATACACCAGTTGAGGAAGCATCTTGTTAGGCATAACCCTTTGAGGATCTTCGAGTGTTCGTATTGTAGAAAGAAGTTTCCGAGGCTGAACACTTTGAGGCAGCATGAGAAGATACACACGGGTGACAAAAGGAAGGTCTGCCCGATATGTGATGAGAGGTTCGTGCAGAAAGCAAGCTTGAATTATCACATGACGAAACATCATCCTGAGGCATGTTAAGTAATTTCATCATCATCATCATCATATCAGCCGTTAAATGTCTCCTGCTGAATATGAGCGTCTCTCATGAGGGAATTTTGCCAGTAGTTGCCATGCTTGGCAGGCGGGTTGGCAACCACAGGCTTTAATGATGTTTATTGTTAATGGGATGTAATAGTATCAGAACAATGGGGTGGAGAGAGTTGTTACTAACGGAAACTAGTGTTTCCGTTGCTAGCAATATATCCTGTCAGATAGATCTTCGCGTGGCTCCCCCTGAAAATGTGGTTCATCATCCGTTCATCATTCATATCAGCTGTTAACTGTTCAACATAGGCTTCCCCTAAGAGGGTTTTATTAGTACTTGCCACACTTGGTAACTTAATAACAAATTTATTTAGCCCGATAGGTCAGGTAATCCCTTATCATATCACCACTTAGTGGTGGGGCACCAGTGAGTGGTGTTGACTGTCCATTGCTAAACATTAGCCTCCTCCTTTTGTTAGTAGTTGCCACGCTTAGCAAGTAAGTTGGCGCGATAGGCCAACTAATCTATCTAATCTGACTTTATCTATCACCACTCACCGGTGCCTCGCCTGCGTATAACGATAGCGCAGACGGCGTTACCATTCCAGTAACTCTTAGTAAAAAATATATCAGAGCACAGACATGTATGAAGCTAAGACGACGCATGTACGCCATTTTACTTAAAAAATTAAACGTAATTATGCAACAGTTGGTCGTGTGGTCCCGGCATAGAATAGGCCACCCTTTCCTTTCCCGTGGGTGTCTTAAGAGGCGACTAAGGCAGGGCGAGGGATGGGCAGCAGTGTCCCTCTAAAAACATATCTAAAGCCTGACTGCGGTTGCCAATTCGCGTGCCAAGCATGGCAACTAGGGACTAAACCCCCTAAGGGGAGACTTATAGCATTGTTCAGCAGTTGACAGTATTAAAGGCTTATGTGTGGTGATCGATTTTATTTGTGATGCACAATCTTACATTATTTTAGCAATTTTTTTTTATACAACTTAGAATGGCAAACAAGCTGACGGCCCACCTGATGGAAAGTGGTAACCATCGCCTATAGACACGAGCAGTACCATTGACATAATAGAGTGTACTGCTTCGCCATGATACCCCCCATGCGTTGCCACTCCTGAGGACTCAGGTGTTATTCCTCTGTACCCAGTAAATTCACGCCATATCCCACCCTTCAAACCGAAACACAGCCATGCAAACACAACTGCTTCACGGTAGAAAACTAAACTGTCTACTAATGACTTGTATTTTGAGTCTATTTGACTAAAAATTTTGTTGAGTAAGAATAAAATATCGCCTTTTGTACCAGACATTTTTTTTGTAATGTGGTCAATAAAGAATAAATAAATAAATAAAGTCGGTTTTTTTGGGAGAACACTATTATTCCAAAGTTTGTAGCCTTGTCCAAACAATTGTCAGTCCATATAAGCCGTTAAGTGTCCACTGTTGGACATAGGCCTCCCCATAAATGGTGTTTAACAAATAAAAAGAAAAGGAATTGGCCAAACAAATGAATTGTACTGAAGCTATCCGCTTATATATATTCGGCAACTGATTTTTATTTATACAGATATTGTAAGCTTAGATTATATGGATAGAGCATCGAGCCTCAAAAACGGCTCAACTTTTTCTCAGCTAATTGTCAAATTAACTGACTCCATTTTTTTTTATCAGTATTCTATATATTTACGCATAAAATGTATATTGACGTATTATTTAATAAATAAAATTAGTTTTTACATATTAAAAAGATGCAAAACTTATAAGACAAAATAAATATAGACGTTATAAGGGAATCACTCGTAACTATTTATCACGCAAATTTGTATGAAAAAGATGACCCGTTTTTCTCGAAGCATTTGTATGGAGACACTGTCTTTTATTATAATATAAGGTTGTAACATGTCTGTATTTAGTGTACATATAATTTACAGTAATGTATCTAGAATAAATATATATGTATATATACTAGCTGACCCCATAAACGTTGTTTTACCACTTATTGCGAAATATAAAAATCGCGATTAAAATACAGGGGTTGATCGTAAAACGATGAAAATTTAAAGTTGTGTGTATTTTTCAATGCTAAATCATAATAGAATAAAAATGGAAAAATTTGTTAAAAAAATAAAAAAAAAAATATGGGGAGGGTCACCCTTATCATTGAGCGGTATGAAAAATAGATGTTGGCCGATTCTCAGACCTACCCAATATGCACACAAAATTTCATAAAAATCCGTAAAGCCGTTTCGGAGGAGTTTGGTAACAAACACCGTGACACGAGAATTTTATATATAAGATGTTTGTATTTAAATTATATTTAAATTGTATTTCTCTTGTTGTACGGCTAACTTCATACTGTGTTACCTGATCATAGATGTTAGACAACGCAAACACCTGTGAACTTAGTTCCAATAAAATAACAGAAGCAAATACACGCCTTTATCTTTGCAAAAATCATAGTGCAAGGCTCATCACACAAAAAAGGATCCTATTGTATAGATCAGTATAATTAATAAATAAAAAAAAAAATGTCTGGAAGAGATTGCTTAGCGATACGGCCGCCATTTTTATTGTCTGTGACCGTGTATTGAATTGGTGCAATAAAGTGTAAATAAATAAATAACTGATTATGATATCTAATGATTTTCATTTATTTTTCTTTTCAATCGACGTCAAAAGACAAATGTTTTCAATTCAATTGTATTTTTTTTTATGTTTTTAACCTCATAACTCCGTCAGTTGTAAACCGATTTGGAAAATTATTTTCTTATCTGAAAAATATACTTGTAGATTGGTATCATAGAAATTTCACCAAAATCAGTTCGGTAGTTTGATAGAAAAACCAAAGTTTTTAAATTAAAATAACTGGTTATGCCACAATTGAAGTTGTTTTTTTTTGCAATAATTATTTTCTATGCAACCTAGAATAGCAAACAAGCTGACGGCCCACCTGATGGAAAGTGGTGACCGTCGCTTATAGACATGAGCAGTACCATGGATATAACAGAGTATACTGTTTCGCCCGTGATACCCCCCGTGCGTTGCCATTCCTGAGGACTGAGGTGTTATTCCTCTGTACCCTGTAAATTCACTGCCATATCCCACCCTTCAAACCGAAACACAGCCATGCAAACACAACTGCTTCACGGTAATATGAATAATGTATGGTCATTTCTTCCTTTATAATTCTCCAATAATAATAACAGTAAGATATCCAAAGGTTGCCTAGAAGAGATCGCTTTAAGCGATAATGTCGCCCATTGTTTTTTCATTGTGATTATTTCTTGTAATTGTTTATATATATAATAAGTTTACTATTGTAATCTTTTGGAGGAAACAGTAAAGAATATCTATCTATCTATCTAAGATATAAAAAATAGATATAAATGTAGCGAAACGTTTTTAAATTTATACCAACGCGCTTTATTTCATTGCTGCAAGTATTTGGATTAATAACTTTCCAGATCAGCAGGTCTACTCTTGAATCTAATACCGATATTGCATTAATGAAACAACAGTTAGGAATTAGCTTATAATTGGGATCGGTTTACAATAGTTTTTCTTTTTTTTTTTATGGGTGAAAATGGTATGGTAATCCCGCCTGCGCTAACGGTATACGCTGGCGGAGCACCAGTGAAGGGTGATAGATGAGAATGAAAATAGACCAGTTAGCCCATCATGATGAATTCATCAGGAATTAACCATGATAGTTTCCAGGGGGAACCGCGAGGAGGTCGACCTGGTTGGGTATATTGCTAGCTTTGGGATTCTCAGTCTCCATAACTAACAATCCCTTCCCCCCAGGTTTACAATAGTTTGCATTGGCAAGTTGCACTAATATGCATCTATTAGAACAATATGGAACCATTATGTCGCTAGTGTTGCAATTCGAGAGTGTGAAGTCACAATTTCAATATCGATTTATTAAAACTTAATTCAAAAATAAAAAGTACCCAATTCTAATTTTAAAATTAGAATTGAGAATAGTTTTTCTGACATAATATAAAATATAGAAATGTACAAATAAACAAGTATTAACATGGCAGTTTACTGTTCATGTCGGTGGTCAAAATGGCGGCCCTGTTTATTTTTTTAAAAACGAAAATATATATTTATATAATTATACTTAGATGTGAATCAAAATATTCAGTAAAGATAAGCATCATTACAAATCATTATGGTTTGTTTATCTAAATTATTAAAATATAGATTTTCGTATCGTTTTAATTATTTTTTTTATTTTTGAATTTAATCATAGGTACAACATATTTTCTTCGATTAACTTAGTAAGAAATTTAATTTATGGTAAGCCTGTTTACGTACATATATATAGATTCATCTCAAAATTCGTTAACAAATCATCAAAAACACTTTTTATTGAAGCATTTGTATGGATACATTCTATCTATATAATTTAAGGATATAACGTTCATTACCTTAATAAAAAGATTGTAACTTTTTTACATTTTCTGAATTAATTTCTCTTTACTTTACAGATTACTCTGTACAAAACATTGGTGGCAGCAAAAGATATCGTTGTAAACAGTGCAGAAAATATTTTCCACTAGTGAAAACTATAGTGGAACATTTAAAGGAACATAAAGAATCACTAGAGTGTCCACTCTGTAATGTCAAATTCACTAGAAAGCAGAAAAGAACCGAACACCTACTGAATAAACATGGCGTTGAAGAAACCACAGACGAATCTGGCAACATCGTGCAGAAAGATATAAAAAGTCCATGCAACGTTTGCGGGAAAGAATACAATGTTGGTGATATATATAACAGGCATGTTAGAACACACAAACCAATAAAATGTCCAGAATGCTCTCTAGAATTTAAAGATTACGAAATCCCGCAGCATTTGAAAGAAGTACACAACAATATGTCGATGACTTGCGGCATTTGTGGTTACCAAGTGGACAAACGCTGTTTGATGATCAAGCATCAGAGGAGAGTGCACTTAAAGGAGAAAAATTACACGTGTCACATTTGCAACGCGAATCTATTCGGCAGTTCTGATTTAAAAAAACATCTTGTGAGGCACAATCCTGTTAAGATGTATGAATGCGCGCATTGCCAGAAGAAGTATCCGCGTCGGAGCACATTGGTCCAATATTTGATGATCCATACGGGGAATAAGAGGAAAGTATGCCCCATTTGCGACCAGCGTTTCGTGCAGAAAGCAAGTTTGAACTATCACATGACGAAATATCATCCGGAGTCATGTTAATTCATTCAATTTCAGCGCCAAAGAGGGATAATAGACGAGGATATAAATAAGTTAATTGATCCATCGAATAGAATTTACTTTATATTTGCACGCCTACAGTGTGGCAGAATAAGATTGGACTATTTTTCTTGTAAAGTAACACCTAAAAATGTACCTTATTCCAGCAAATAAATGATTTCAATTTCAATTTTTTTACGTGTAGAAAATCTTCACCAAGATCTTGCCAACTGTTGGAGTGAGGGCAAAACAGGCGTATGGGATTTTTATCTTTCAAATCTCGGTACGTCGTGCGGTTTGCACAATGTACCTCGAGGCGTATAGTCGGATATTTGCGGTGTCGACGAGTAGAATTCACTGAGAAACTGATCGACTGATAAAGAACAATTCTGTCAAATAATACACTATTAACACTTACTTAGTCATTATTAAAATGTTTGGTTAATGTCTAATTTGAATAAGTTAATTTTCTTTTATTATAAATAAAAGAATCTTTAATTGTTATACTCTTTTATTCAATGTTATGGTAACTACCAGAATTAAAAAATTGCCTCTGACTTCTACTTACTGATTACAGTTGTTACTACCTACCTACATTATTTTTTACACCGCAAGGCAAACAAGCATACAGCCCATCTTATGGGAAACTGTCATTGCAGGCTATGAACGCCTGCAATACCATTGAGGTTTTTTTTTGATGGATGAAAATGGAATGGTAACCCCGCTTGGGCTAACGGGATACGCTGGCGGAGCAACAGTGAAGGGTGATAGATGAAAATGAAAATAGGCCAGTTAGCCTATCATAATGAATTCATCAAGAATTAACCATGATAATGTCCAGGGAGAACCGCGAGGAGGTCGACCTGGTTGGGTATATTGCTAGCAATGGGATTCTTAGTCTCCATTACTAACAATCCCTTACCCCCTACCATTGAGGTTAGGTGTGCGTTGCCGGCCCTGAAGAAACTTTAATACACCCTTTTTGAAGTACCCCATACTATATTCTTTTGAAAACCTTGGCAGGGAGCTCGTTCCATAGCCTGAACATTTGCAGGAGAAAACTGAAACTGCACTATACGCGACCATTTAAGTTCTAGCATGCGTAGATGAATTCTTTGTCTAGGCAGCGTGTGAAGCCAAGTTCAAGCCCAGAACTGGCAATGCAGCAGCCATGTTTTATATTACACGATCTATTTCGAGAGGGGTGAAAAGTGTTCACCCCTTAATAACTCAAAATTTATTCAATATAAATGAAATCTGATATATTTATTCAAAGCTCATGGACTAACTAGTGCGCCACCTACCCTTTGTCTTTATTCTCAATGTCCTCTACCCATAGGTTATCTAGAAGAGATTGTTTGCCGCCTTTTGTATCACTTCTCATTAATAGATACTTTTTATTGTTTCCTCCAAAAGATTACAATAGTAAACTTATATTTATTATATTAATCTGCAATTATACAAAAGGTGGTCTTATCGCTGAATGGTGTCATAAAGTGTAAAATAAATAAAAAACTAGAACTCTAAATTTCATAAATATAGCTCGGTGATTGAAACATTCCCATTTAAAATTAGTATTTTTATAACTGACTGATTGATAGATTAAAAAACTAACCCACTTCCAAATAACCTAGAAAGTTGAGAGGTTCAAAAAATCAGAAAACATTGAAATTTTTTGATACGAAACATATCAAAGTGATTTTCGATTTTTATTTACACGTATTACCTTACAATGGAAAGGAATAATTGAAGTTGTGTCTGATCAAGGCGTAATAGAAAAATAATAAGACTATAAAGCGAAGAAAAAAGGGGCGAAAGATAAATTTAAACGCGTTACATTACGTGATACGGGCTTATAAGCACAAATACTTTCATAACTGGTTTTGTCTTAAAACCTTACCTATAAGGATGTGTTATATGTTTCGTCACTCTAAAGTTCATTAATTTACAGGTCACTTGTTGTTCAAAGCTGAGTAATTATAATTTACTTGCGGCCCGTCTTGGCTACGCACGGGTAGACATTTTTACAACATTTTAAAAAGTGGCTATCGTGGCACAACGATAATAGTTGGTCATATAATATCGCGAAGTTTTTTTATAATTATTGATATTTTCTTCAATATTGTAGAACATACTTTTGTTCTATAACCAATAGTTTCCGCAACGCACGCGACGAAATATATTTTATAGCATTTTTTTACACCTTGAGTTACGTTACTAAAGTTGTAGTAAGGATCCCTAATATTTTCTAGCAATAAATATAGCCTATGTTACTCAGGGTGAATGTCACTTTCTAATGGTGAAAGAGTTTTTGAAATCGGCAAAGTAGTTTTTGAGTTTATTCATTACAAACATACACACAAAAATACAAATCTTTCCTCTTTATAATATTAGTGTAGATTAGTGTAAATGTAGATTTACAAAAGGTAAATGATAAAAAATATGGAAAAGGGAGCTAAGTTTAATATTAGCATAGTTGACGACTTCGGCAACAAAAGAATAGAGATCCAAACGAGTGCCAAGTTCTGTAATCATGATATTTATTTATAAGAACGTCAATATTCAACTATAAATTTAAAACACACTTGTTTTTTTTTACTGTAACAATGTTTGCTACTTAAAAATGTATCTTCTTAATTTTTAATACACCAATTATTTACATATAGCAGATAAATAAGGATAAATTTAAGCTCAAAATTTGACTTGGCCAGTTTTTTCCAGCAAACCAAATTTTTAGAAAAGTAGTACTTGTCGACCATACAATGTAAAAACAGTTACTTGCGTATGTTATATGAAATGAAATGAAAGGAAATGAAACGAAATGAAATTATTTTTTATATACAAAGAAGATAAATGGATTAGCCTTTAGATTGATTAGATCCGTCCTAGTCATTAATTAATCATTAGATTGTTGTACGTCAACTCACCTGCTTCATCATCTATCACCCCTCACTGGAGACCCACCAGTGTATACCAACAGTGCAGGCGGAGTTACCATTCCATTATCATGCCATAAAAAAATAAATCCTCTGCGCTATCTTATATCAGAGGGAGACTTTATGTAAAAGTCATTTGCTAAAATACCTCTGGCCTATTCGTGTTTCTATCGTGAAACAGTTGTTTGCATCGCTGTGTTAGTTTGAAGGATGGGACATGGCAGTGAATTAACAGGGTACAGAGGTATAACACTTGAGATCTCAGATATGTATATAGTACTGTTTATGTCTATAGGCGAAGGTTATCACATTCTATCAGCTGGGCTGTCTGCTTGTTTGCCATTCTAGTTGAATAAAAAATGAAATCTTAATAACGAAAGATCCCATCTATCGCATCCTAAGTTTCTCTGAAACTTCTACTGCCTGTGTGAAAGTTTCAAACTCCGCAAGGGGGCGTTATCGACCACGTTGAGAACCTATAAACTAGTTAGTAACATTTTGTTTTTACAATTTCTTAATTAATTTCTCTCTACTTTACAGATTACTCTGTACAAAAAATTGGCGGCAATAAAAGATATCGTTGTAATTACTGCAGAAAACATTACCCGCTCGCTAAAACTATGATGGAACATTTAAAAGAACATAAAGAATTTCTCGAATGTCCACTTTGTAATGTAAAATTCACGAGAAAGCAGAAAAGAATCGAACACTTACTGAATAAACATGGCGTCGAAGAAACCACAGACGAATCTGGCAACATCGTCTATAAAAAGTCCATGCAATGTTTGCGGGAAAGAATACAATGTTGGTGCTATATTAAACAGACATGTTAGAACACACAAACCAATAAAATGTCCAGAATGCTCTCTAGAATTTAAAGATTACGAAATCCCGCAGCATTTGAAAGAAGTACACAACAATATGTCGATGACTTGCGGCATTTGTGGTTACCAAGTGGACAAACGCTGTTTGATGATCAAGCATCAGAGAAGAGTGCACTTAAAGGAGAAAAATTACACGTGTCACATTTGCAATGTAAATGTTTTCGGAGGTTATGATTTGAAGAAACACCTTGTGAAGCACAATCCTGTTAAAATGTATGAATGCGCGCATTGCCAGAAGAGGTATCCGCGGCGGACTACATTGGTCCAACATTTGAAGATCCATGCAGGTGATAAGAAGAAAGTATGCACAATTTGCGACCAACGATTCGTGCAGAAAGCAAGTTTGAACTATCATATGACTAAACATCATCCGGAATCATGTTGATGAATTTCAATGTTTTTTTTTATGTTAAATAGAATGATTTTTTATGTTAAATAGAAGGCTTGAGGATGCGATAGGTAAAGATGAAAAAGCAAGTCAGTCAGTCAAGCAAGTTACCTCATCGCAATGAATTTACATGGAATTAAGCACGATTTTAAAGCTAACGAAAAGCTATTCTGGCATTTAGTTTGAACAGCCTACCCATACATGAGGCATACAATTCCATTAATTACATAACATTAATTAATTTATAATCATACAATATAAATATGAATGCAATGAAGATAATAGAAGTCAGTAAAGCAACGGGATTCAAGAGAATGTCTGCTGGAGTGTGTAAAAAAGATGATGAAATCATTATAATCCTGCTGTACCTGCTATTTAATTAATGCCAGCGATTCGGTTATGTACTAGGTGACTGGTACATTGCCATTATTGTCTCCACTATATAAAGACACCGAGTCACAGCAGGAGCACAAAAATTTCCGCGGTATAAGCCTTTTTAGTACTGTAGGCATATTATATGCTAGGATTTTAATTAAAAGAGTGATGAATGAAACAGAGAGTAAAATTTGAAATATGTGAACAGGTTTTCAAAAGGGTATGAGATGTACGGATTAAGTGTTTTCCTTAAGGTGCACTGCAAAGAAAACCTTAGCTTTTTTTTGGCCTAATGAAGGCCCTATTGACCCAACCCAACCTTGTAGATTGGCAAATTGGGAAAGACTATATATTAAGTATTATTGACAACTTAAATATACCTAGTTATCGTTAAAATGTTTGCTTAATATTTTAATTTGAATAAATTGGTTTTCTTTCATTATAATTTATTTTATATATTTTTTTTTATATATTATTTTGTATCACTTGTCATTACTATTTACTGTATTTGTTATTTTTCTTTTTACTTGGTGCAATAAAGTGTAAATAAATAAAATAATTTATATTTATTATACTTTTTTATTCAATGTTACCTTAGCTACCAAAATATAAAAAAAAAAAACACTATAAAGCTGTAAAACAAGCATACAGCTCGTCTGATGGTAAACGATCACGAGCCTGCAACACCTGGGATGTCACGTTCTGTTCTGTACATCTGTAATTGTTGTAAATGCAAGACGCAAGCCCTGTATATCAATTAAAATTAATGTCTGTATATACACTGTTGATGTACCTTTTAAAAATAAATAGATAAATACTTCAGAGCGACTGTTTCAAAAACTAAAATTTCTCTTATGTTGTCCTTATTTCGACAGGAGAGCGGAAAGGGACTGCTAGTAATTGGCTCTAGCATCTCCATTGCTAGTAATATTAGATCGACCTCCGTGCGATTTCTGGTAACCAACGCAGTTAATTCTAGTATTCATCACGATGAGTTAACAGATCTGTTTTTATCCTCACCTGTCATCTCTCACTGGTAATCCGTCCATGTATACCGACAGCACAGGCGGGGTAACCGTTCCATCATCATCCATTAATAAAAAGCCTTCGAAAGGAATACAACTCGAAGAAGACGACGATTAAATAATCCATGACAAGAAAGTCGCAAAATTTTATTATAATTTCAAAATTTATTTGGCCAGCCTTCTCTCCATCAGATGGAATGCTTTTGTATGCACTGTCAGCGACCTCTGATTATCAAAAGACTTATTACATGCATGGCATTTAAGCACAACTGGTCTCGCCCCGTGCACTTTCACCTCGTGATCTTTCTTTTTTGTATAATCCCCAAACATTTCTCCACAGTACCCGCATTTATTCCTTTTATTTAAACAAATATGAACAGCTCTTTCGTGTTCCTTCTGCTTGACTCTGGTATCAAAAATTTTAGAGCAGTACGAACATATGAAAACGCCAGTTTTGTGCCTGTAACCATGGGTTTGGAGCATCCTTCTATTAATAAAACCCGCGCCGCATACCTCGCAAACATAGTTTCTATAATGCATATTCATATGTTCTAATAAGACTTTGAAATTATTAAATTCATTACTGCAAACCACACAATGCAATCTTTCCTTTTCAAATTTGAAAGGCACGATATGATTTTTTAAATTTCTATTCAGCGATTTATCGTGTTTCGTTTGTAAATGGTCTATTAATGATTCTAAATTATTAATGGATTCATTGCAAATGTTACAGCTCAAATTAGTGATGTCCAATTTCACTATATAGGTTATAATTGATCGATTCTTCATGAAGTTGGAGAGGATGCCTTTGTCGTGTTTCTCTTTGGTGTGTTTTTTTAAATCTGCCGGCTCTGGGTACTGGTCGTTACAGAAACAGCATCTGTATCCGATTCCACCGTGGCATCTTATAGGAGTCGCGTTGGAATAGAGAAGTATCTGTTTAATATTCTCCTGATGTTTGTGTGCTTCGTTTAATTTTTTTACAACAATTTTCGTTTCAGGCTGCGGATTTATTTCGATGATTTCCCTCCTCACTAGCTTTGAAGACTTCTTGTCCATCACAATGATTGTTTTCCGGGATTTACCTGTAATGAAAAAGAAGATTAGATAATTTTATTACTGGGATGTCTTCGTACAAAAATTCGCACATACTTGAAAGAACAGCCTTTTTTTATACAACTTAGAATAATAAACAAGCTGATGACCCACTTGATGGAAACTGGTAATCGTTGCTTATAGACATATACAGTACCATGGGAATAAAAGAGAATACTGTTTCGCCCATTATACCCACCATATGTTGTCATTTCTGAGGACTCAGGTGTTATTCCTCTGTACCCTAAAAATTCACTGCCATATCCCACCCTTCAAACCGAAACACAGCCATGCAAACACAACTGCTTCAAGGTAGAAACACAAATAAGATAGAGATGCCCAAGCAAACAACTTTTGTACAAAGTCTCCCTCTGGTGAGCATTACCTATATGAGATATGCATGCTCTCTGGTTGGAGAGTGAGTTATGGCAGTACGCAATTAGTTCTCAAGGTCACATAGTTGGTATGGGTTTTAGATTTAAATGAGTAGCGACGATGATTTGTCCGTATTCCATCTGGTTTTTCTTAAACAGCCAACTTACCTGATGGCAATGTGTATAAAGTAGTTTAGGCATGATTAAGTGACTTTGCTTATTGGTAATATAGTAGAATTAGATAAGATTAGATTGGAGATTTTAAAGTACCTCAATGTAAAGTTCAGGCTTTAACATTTTTGTATGAATACATCACTACTGCATCTCTGTGCATCTTCTACCGAATTTATCATGGGGAGTGTTCTGAGGAATTGTTCGGATTGATACCTGCTGCTGATTTTCACCACCGTACAACCCGTCACAAACTAAAGTTTCATCCCAATCATCTGGACGAGTGGCAGTCTTTCACCGTGCGTTTTTCAAGGCACTTTCTTCCACGCACAACCATTCTTTGGAATCAACTTCCAGCAGCAGTATTTCCGAACCGATACGACAACATAACCTTCAAGAAAAGAATATATTCCTTTTTAAAAGGCCGGCAGCACACCTGCAATGCCGCTGGTGTTGTGGGTGACCATAGGCGGCGGTAGTCACTCATGACAGGTGAGCCGCATGCTCGTTTGCCCCCTGTGTTGTAAAAAATAACTACTAATATGAGATTTACTTTCATAGCAAGTACAGTCTAATTGGTTTTGATATACACTTCATCACATTTTGAATTTCAAGGGGCGAATCCATCGCCGTTACTTGGACTAATTTGTTCTCGTTGTTTTCCATTACAAAAGATTGAAATAGTTTGGTTATATAAGGACATTTTAAAATAAAAACCAATTTTAGTTTTTTTTTTTTTTATTAAAAATGCACAAATAATTTGTATTATAAATAATAATATCTTTAGGCAGAATAATTTTTAGCATATTAGGTATGATTAATTTGAGATAACGTAGTCTAAAATTCCAGAAATGGAAAACAAAATTTGATAGTCTGACCCAATGAAACTGAAACAAAATATAAATAAACAAGTAATTGGACCGAGCATAAAACAGTTTGCTAATGCCAATGAAATGAAATATCAAACAATTTGTTAATATTACGATTTGTTACTCATTTCATTTACAGAGTGTTTCTCTCTTTCGAACTCTTTAATAAATTGTATTAAAAAGGGCTATAATATCTTATTTGTTTACGCACAACGACCCAAATGAGAGGCTAAGCGCGGAAAAGAGAGTCCAATTTACATTACATTACATCCTATTTGTTTATTGTTAAGCAAGTTCTCAAACACGATGCGTGCTCTTCTTGTGCATTAACAATTTATTTCTTATAGTATAACCTTTATCACAGAAATCGCATACGTAATTCCTGTAGTGTTTCTCGTCCATATGATCTTCGAGATCATCGAACGTATTGAACGCCATCAAACAATTCCCACATTTCATATCGTCCCCATCAAATTTACACGGCACCACCTGATTTTTGATATGCAAATGCATAACTTCATCATGTTTGGTTTTGAGATGCTCCATTAATTCTTTCAAATTGTCCAAATTGTCATCGCAGTTTTTACAAAAGAGCGAGGTTATGTCCAAATAAACTATGTGCTTCCAAAGGGAACGGTTTTTTAAAACCTCAGGTTGATCTTCAGTATGCATTAGTAATGTGTGACTTTTTAATTCATTAGGTTTGTTAAATTGAGCCAAACAATAACCACAAGCATACCGATCGCCGACTTTGCATCTAACCGGCGTTGCGTTTGAACATCTCAATATTGTTTTTATATTATCAAAGTGTAAGTCTAGTTCAGTGAGACGACCCATTGTCGCTGCTCGTTTGGAAGCCTGTATTGATGGCTTGATTGTAATGAATGTTGAAAAGTTTACGCGTTTGTCCAGTGTTAATTTCATATTCTCTACTGTCGACTCCTTCGTGCTTGGTGTTTGACCTGAAAAAAAAAAGAAAATTGCTTTGAGTATATCTTCCGTTTTTTTTATAACATTCACAATAACAACATTTTATTAATTAACGATTAGTTTCCAATATTTATAAATGTCATTAAATTCATGTATGTAATTGAAAATGCTTCTGAAATGTTACTTTCCGTATAAGTATGCTTGAACTACTTATCTATCTATACTCCGTTATAAATTTGTATAAAAATATATATAAAGAGCTTAAAACTGTGCCTTTTAAGTATTCTAAGGCATACAATATTAAGTTTAAAATAATACTTTCCTATCAGTAGGAATTCGAAAGTTCATCTCCATGGGTAGGGATGGAACTCCAAGACGGATATAGATGGATAAAGACTAAAACATGGAGTTCTTAAAAAATGGGATAAAGTAGTTTTTTCAAGGTTGGCAACGCACGCTCAATGCCCCTGGTATTGAAGGCGTTTATAAGCTAACATCCATCAAGTGGTTTTGCCACCTTAGTTGTATAAAATAAATATTCCCCATGGAAAAAAGGTAACATCATCCTTAGATATTTCTACTGTAAAATAGCAATGCGTTGTTTTATTTTATTTGAATGTCAGATAAGGAATTTTCTGAATTCTGATCAACATCAATAATTATTTTTCGTGCAAACTGAAATAAGACCTTTCAGTCTAGCTTTAAAAGACTTCAGAAAGCCTTAAAAAAATGGGACGTAGGAGAAATGCCACAAATGATACAGTACTTATATTCTGCGATATTCGTGATTTTGGGCATTAGATAACAACATATTTAAAAAAAAATCTAAAGCAAATGCAAACAGCAAAACTGAAGCAAGAAAAATCACACAAATTAATTAGATATTTATTTACTCACTAATTCCCATGTTTCGATTTCACATGACTTTTCAAAGTACTATTCTGTACAAACGCTTGGCCGCAGACAGTACAAGAAAATCTTCTATCATTCGCGTGAGATCTTAAATGCTGTCTCAAAGACTTCTTGGACGCGTACCACCCATTACAGACGTGGCATTGGACCTTTTTCACTCCTGTATGCACGATCATGTGATCAACTAAACGGTGCTTCAAGAAAAACTTCATATCACATATATTGCATGCGTGTTTTCGCTCCAACAAATGATCTTTCTTCACGTGTCGCGTCAAAGCCCTCTTATTCCGAAAAGTCCGCTCACACGCCTGGCATTTCAATATAATCTGTGGTTGACCGTGCTCCTTAACCATATGGTCAACTTTTGTCCAATAATCCGCGAATTTCTCCTCACAATACTTGCATTTATTCTTCTTTTTCAAACCTAAATGTATTCTTTGCTCATGATCACGCCTTTTTTGGTCACAACTGAATATCTTTTCACAATGACTACATTTGTGAATGCCGGCTATATGCCTTCTCTTGTGGCTGACCAGCAAACGTTTAGTTACAAACCCCGCGTTGCAAACATCGCATATAAAATTTCTAAAGTGTACATGCATATGTTCTTGTAGGATTTTGAAGTTACTGAACTCAGTCGTACAGACTGCACAGCGGAGAGTTTCAGAATTAAAACTAAACGGTATTATTTGACTATTTACATCCGTGTGTATTTTCATTTTATGATCTTTCTTTAAATGAACAGTAAATTTATCTAATTTATCAAAAGTTTCCGAACACAATTTACATTTTAAATCGGTTATGTCCAATTTTATAAGGTATTCGAAAGATTTCGGCAACTTTAAGCCCAAGACATCGTTGTGCACTTCCAAAAAATGCGATTTCAAACATTTCGGCTCTTGGAATCTTTTCGGACAGAAATTACAGGCGTATCCATTACTATCTTTGTTTCTTATTAGAGTCGCGTTTGAATATAAGAGGAGGCTTTTTAAATTTTCTTGTTGTTTTTTCGTTTCCTTCAATGGGGGTATTGTGATTAGTATGGATCCCGTGGTTTGGTTTTGACTTGTGTTTCTGAACGTGCGATTTGTTATCTGTGAGCTGTGTATACCTACAAACAAACGGACAAATCAGATAAGGAAAAGGTTCTAATCTACTGATATTGTAATTGTGAACGTTGGCAAATACTTGTTAATCAATTATTCGTAAATAACTTAATAGATGTGAATACTATATGGTAAACAAATGAATGATATCATGTATTTACGCTTGAAGGAGAGAATTGGTTCTTGACGAAATAAAATTCGATATCCCTAATAACCGTAAGCTAAAAAATGTGCGTGTAGCGCCTAAACAATCGTTTAACAAATTTTTGAATATTTGACATCGAACGGTTGGTCAGTTGATGTCTATGGTCTTCTATTTTTTTTTTTTATTTTGCGGTTTTGGTTGGATGCAAAGATTTCGAATTGGTTGAATTGCTTGCAAGATTGCTTTAGCAATAAGACCGCTTTTGCACTTCATAAATGTAATATTCTTTATATTTTTATTCTGTAATAAAGACTAAATAAATATTTTGGATTACTGATACTTTTCATTCTAATTCTAATCATGAAATATAACTAGTAAATCATAAGGCTACCCCTGTGAGAAAATAAATACTTAGAATGTATTTATTTATTTATTCTTTATTCCACAATAAAATTTTTGTACAAATGGCGAGCTTAATACCATATGGCATTCTCTACCAGCTAACCAATGGGTAAAAACAGAAAGCGTATGAAGGGCAGATGTGGTGAAAAATATGTGACAATTATAGTAACACATTAAGGCAATACACAATATAAATATAATATACTCATAAGAAATGCACATATAATACATAAACATTACTTTTAATATATATGGATAATTTTTTTTAATAATTTTTTTTAAATAAATTTCTAAAGCTGTGTGAAAACGTTTTTGGACGTCCTTGATCTTATTGAATTAAACCTTTTTTACTGCTACTATTCGTGTTAAATATAATTTTAAATCTTAGTTTTAAACTTAACTGTAAGTTTTCCTATATGTATACGCACCATTTTATAATGGCTGTACTTGGCTAGTTGTTTTTTATTTTGTCTACAATTATATAGACAAGAACTGTACCTGTTTAAAAAAATTTTTTAAATATCGTTCGTGATCAGAATCAGTCTTTTTTTTAATAATTCAGTTGGATTATTTAAAAAAAATTCAATCGAATTGTGGACCTCCTTTATTAAAATCGGTTGTAAAAATTTAGTTTCACCGGTGGAACACTGCCATAAAAATAAGATTTCAACTACGCCCTTTATAAAAAATGTAAATAAAAAACTTACGTAAATGAGAAATTTACCAGAGGGAGACTTTGTACAAAAGTCGATTGCTTGGATACCTATGTCCCATTCGTGTTTCAACCGTGAAGCAATTGTGTTTGCATGGCTGTGTTTCGGTTTGAAGGGTGGGATATGGCGTGAATTTACTGGGTACAGAGGAATAACACCTGAGTCCTCAGGAACGACAACGCATGGGGAGTATCATGGGCGAAACAGTATACTCTGTTATGTCCATGGTACTGCTCATGTCTATAGGCGACGGTTACCACTTTCCACCAGGTGGGCTGTCAGCTTGTTGCCATTATAAGTTGTATAAAAAAAAAAACCAAGATAATATTCTCGCTCTTTATTTCCATATTCACAACAACATGAACTTAAATCTAAATATAAACATATAATCATTAATCAACCACTATTTTTTATTTATTTATTAAATACAAAATATTTACAACAGCGAGTACATTGGAGCCCGCACTAGGCGAACCTGTATCGCGGGAGTCCATATGAGATTACCAAGACACGGTGATTTACAAATATAAATTAAATTAAATTAGTGAGCCAGTTTTACGAAAACAACAAGTTAGAATGAAGTGCATCGTGAAGACAATAATGCGCATAAAACAGAAAATTATGCAAATACTTTAATATTACATAAACAAATACATATAATTAAATATAAGGAAGAGATTGCTTAGCAATAAGACCGCCTTTTGTACTACACTATACGTACTGAAAATTGTTCAACAAATCATGTTATGTTGGTGCAATAAAGTGTTAAATAAATAAATATACTAAAGACATACACTAATATATATGAATATCAATAAATGGTATATAATATTAATTCTGTGGCATCGTAATCAAGATTTTGTAAATATCCTTGTATCCTATGTTTAGCCTAAATAGCTAACATTTGAACGCAGATTCTAAGGCGCCATTTTTCTAAAACTATCCCTCAATGTAAAATTTCTATTTGATATCACTGCCAAATTTTTATTCTAGGGTCTAATATGAATTAAATTTTTAATAAATATTAGTCAAATCCTTAATACGGTAAGTTTGCAAAATTATCAAAATTACGCGGGCGCAAGCTTGACTGACTTCACAGTGGCTCATGACTAAGAATCACGATTTGATCCCGAAACTAGTCGAGCTTTCTCTAATTACACATAAGTAAAACCGGTATGTTATTATATTAAAATGCAATGTGTGTTTATGAATTTTTTTAACAATTAGAGATAATTGCGACTTTGGCATACTTTGCTATGAACATTCTTAAACTTGTTTACTATGCTTCGACCACATATGACTCTTCCAACTGCATTTCTGAACAAACGCCTGACCACAAATTGTGCAAGCAAATCTTCTATCATTTGCGTGGATCCGCATATGTTCTCTTAAAGTATTTCTTCTTCCATACGCCTTATGGCACACATCGCACTCGAACTGTCTCAAGCCAGTATGTTTCGTCATATGCTTTTGTAAACTGCTCTTACCAAAAAACCTCATATTGCACTCCCCGCATTGATGTTTTCGCTCCAAAAGATGATCCTTCCTTGTATGGCGGGATAAAGATCTTTGATTATCGAACGTGCGATCACACGCTTTACATTTTATAACAATGGGCTGTTGCCCATGCTCCTTCACCATATGGTTGACTTTCTTCCAGTAATCGACAAATCTCTCCGGGCAATGCGGACAGACGTTCCTCTTTTCGAAGCCAAGGTGTTTCCTCCTCAAATGTTCATTTCTTTTAATGTTCGTAGTGAACGTTTTGTCGCATTGTTCGCATTTGTACTGGCCGTTCTCGTGTCTCTTTACGTGACACTGCAATAAACGGACCGACACAAACCCCGTACCGCATACGTGACAAATATAATTTCCGAAGTGCAAATTCATATGTTCCTGCATTCGTTTGAATGACGCGTGAGTGGTTTCACAAATTGCACAGCGAAGTTCCTCTGAATCGAATTTAAATGGCAAAATTGGGCTGATTACGTCCGTATATATTTTTATACTGTGTTCATTGTTGAGATGTGTCATCAATTCTTCAAGTTTATCCAAATCTTTGTCACACAGAGCGCAGTTAAGAAAAGTTATGTCCAGCTTAACAACTTTCTCGAAGAGTTTCTCTGACATGTTTCTGATTAATTTATCATCGTTGTGCTCTTCTAGAAAATGTTTCTTTAAAACTTTAGGTTCAGGAAACTTTTTTATGCAGAAACCACAGCCGTATCCGTTGTTGTCTTTGCATCTTATAGGGTTAGCATTCGAATTTAACAGAATGTTCTGGAGGTTTTCTTTACTTTTAAACAGGTCAGTAGCGTAGATGCCTCGTGTAACCTTGACATCTACAGTGCGTTTGTGATCTGCCCCGATTGTCAGAATCCTAGTCCGTCTTGCAACACCTACAAAGAGAAATGTTATTAATGTAACACAATTTCTAAATATTAAAGTTGGAACATAACCTATACACATTGTAATAAAAAAAAAAATGAAAAAAGTAAATAGTGGTCACATTAATTTAGAACAGAGGGCCTACCATGAAATGTTTTCCGAAATTTCGGAGCTAAACGAAACACAAATTTGATGTTAAAATTACATAATACATGTCATTTGGAAATATTAAAAATGTTAAAATATTATTTCTTTGGACTTTTATGACAGGATGTATGACGAACGAAATGTTAAACTCCATTTATTGGTCCGATTTTGGTATACACAAAAACACGAAATTGAGCCCGAAATTTCGGAATTTCATTTCATTGTAGACCCGCTGACAATGACATCGATGTCGTCATCAGTTCTAAATTGATAATCAGTTATAAATTGCTCATCCGTCATACTCGTGAACTAGTGCCTCTAGTAGGGATTGGTCTGTTCAAGGATACTGTGATTGATTGTAGTTGTGTAGTTTTTTTTTGTTTTTTCTTTCTTTTATCAATAAGTAGTTTATGATAGTCATTTTATGCATTCATAATTCTTTTGTTGTAAACTTTTATTTAAAAAAAAGCAACAGCTGTGATTCTTGCCTGTTATTCTCAGCAATTTCATTCCGAACTGGTACCTCTGTCCCATTCGTGTTTCAACCATGAAGCAGTATTTGCATGGCTGTGTTTCGATTTGAAGGGTGGGATATGGCGTGAATTCACTAGGTACAGAGGAATAACACCTGAGTCCTCAGGAATGGCAACGCATGGGGGTATCATGGGCGAAACAGTATAGATAGATAGATAGATAGATAGATGACATTTATTACCATTACTAAGAAATTAAAACAACAAAAAGGAAAAAAAAAAACAATTAATGTTGCTGGTAATAGGAGCCGCCTCAGCTATTGCTATATATGTACAACTCCAGCGAGATGTACCTATATAGCGCTGATTTTCAGGCGGCCCCTTAACTTCTTTACCTTTAGCATGCGTGCGGATCGCTAATACCTATTTCTCGGATGGGAGACTCAACACGCTTACCAACAAATACATAATACATTACAACACATACATAAAACATTACAATAAATACATAAAACATTACAACAAATACACAAAAAATTACAACCAAAACCGAGAAGAATAAACTCTGAATAAATTATCGCACTTCACAATGACAGCATCATAAAAAAATAAAAAAAGAACGAGAAGCGTCAGTTTCTCAACTGTTTTGAATTTGTTTCTCCAATAAGACTTTTTTAAGTTTATTTTTTAAAGTAATTAATCCACAGTAACGTGAGAGCGTGCAGATCTTGGCATAATCAGTGACTGTGGTTTGTGGAGAAGGTAACAGAGTGAGTGCACGTCCAATAAGGAAATGGGAAGGGGTAAGCGCTTCTAGGTCTGAGGGATCAGATGAAATAGGAGTGAGAGGTCTAGAGTTTAAAATCGCCTCAATTTGTATTAATAATGCATTCATTTCCTCATATGTTAAATGTGCAAAGGAAACTACTCTTTTTAAGTGATGTTTAACAGCCTTGACGGCGCTTTCAGCCAACCCATTGAAATGAGGGCTATATGCTGGACTAAACTTAAAGTTAATCATTGTATTAGCAAAGTAAGAACTAATATCATCCGAATTATATTTTAAAAATTTATCTAATTCATTACTTGCGCCTATGAAACATTTTCCATTATCTGAGAAAATGTTGACGGGTTTACCCCTGCGAGAAATGAAACGATTTAAAGCAGAAATAAATGCATCCTTAGACAGGTCGGTTACCAGTTCTATATGTACTGCTTTGATTGCCAAACATACAAATATACATATATATGATTTAATTAATTTGCACCCTCTGCCACTTCGACTCACTATCATGACTGGCCCGGCGTAGTCAACTGCTGTATTAATGAATGGATAGTCAGCGTGTAGACGCTGTTTAGGTAAATTTCCCATAATTGGTTGAATACTTTTACCCGAAAATCGACAACATTTGACACAGTTGTGTACAATTTTTCTGGAGAGATTACGTGCTCCTATTGTCCAGTATTTATGACGTGTGCTTGCTGTGAGTAGTTGAGGACCTCCGTGAATTAGTATTTTGTGATAATAACGAAATATTAATTGTGTAATATAATGAGAAGCATGCATCATAATCGGATGTTTTGTATCATAATCATAGTATGAGTTAGATAGTCTGCCTCCAACGCGAATTAAACCGTCTGAATGTAAAAATGGGTTCAAATATAAGAATTTGTTTTTATATGGCAATAATTTATTCTTACTTAACAAATTGTATTCGGGTTTGAAAGATTCAGCCTGTGCGATTTTACACAACATATTGTGAGCATTCTGAAGCTCGTGTATCTGTAAATAGCCTATTCGTTTTGTGTAAGGATGTCTACAATTATAGATGAATCTCAAAATGTATGCTGAAGCACGCTGTAACTTGCTGAAATCAGAAAATCGTTCTATGAACGAAGAAAATTGTGACAATGACGCGTTAACGTGACACTGAACCTTGGTTTCAGGTAAGTCGTGTTCATGTATTTGTGTAGGTTGTGTTGGCCATGTGGATTTATCTTGATGAAGAAGAAAAAATGGTCCTGACCACCACAACTTGCAATTTTTTAACTGTTTTGCATTTAAACCGCGTGACCCTATATCAGCAGGATTTAAATTTGTGGGTATATAACGCCATTCTGATGTGTTAGAAGTTTCTAAAATTTCGCTTACTCTGTTATTGACAAAAGATTTGAGTAACTGATTTTTGGTAATTTTAAGCCAACTTAAAACAATTGTTGAGTCACACCAATATGTACAGCTAGATATTTGCAATCTTAGTGAAGATTTAACTTTCTCTGTCAATCGGGCAGAAAGGAAAGCGCCACACAGCTCTAAGCGGGGGATGGTCATCGGTTTTATAGGTGATACTCTGCTTTTTGCTGTCAACAAATGAACAGAGATGATTTTATTTTGAGCAATGGATCTAAGATAAATACATGCACTATATGCATGCACAGAGGCATCGCTAAAGGCATGTAATTCGATTACCTCTGGGTCGTTACATATAATGTGCCGTGGTATTTTGATATCAGACAAATATGACAAATTACTCATTATTTTAAGCCACGTTGATTTTAATTTGTCAGGGACGTTTTCGTCCCACGATAATTTAGATGCCCATAATTGTTGTAGTACTATTTTAGCTTCTAACACACATGGATTAATTAACCCCAATGGGTCGAAGATTTGTGAGATAATAGAAAGAATTTCACGTTTAGTTATTTCTTTATGTTGCATTGTGTTAAATGAAAACATCAGTATGTCTTCTTTACAATTCCAAAGCAATCCTAACGTTTTGGAAGACTCATTTTTTATGATGTTGAGCAATGAGTCACGGCCATTTTCGCCAACGATTTGATTAACGATTTGTGGATTATTAGAATTCCACTTTCGTAGATGAAACTGACTATTTCCTAATTGTTGTTTTACACTTCTACAGTCGTTCACGAGTTGAGTTTGTGAGTCTGCGCCTGTAATCAAGTCATCAACGTAGAAATCGTGATTAATAATTACAGCTACAGACTCTTCTAAGCATTCATTTGCCAATTGCTTAATGCATCTCGTCGCCAAGTAAGGTGCTGAAGCTGTGCCGTATGTTACTGTATTGAGTTTATATTGTTTTAACTTATCTGTCGGTTCAAACCGCCATAATATTTGTTGTAAGATACGTTGATTTTCATTAACATTTATCATACGGTACATCTTTTCAACATCTGCAGTGACAACATATTTATGCTGACGAAATCTAATTAAAATGCTTATGAGGTCATCTTGTACTGTTGGACCCACTAGCTGAATGTCATTAAAGGATACGCCAGATGTCGTGACTGCAGATGCATTGAACACGACCCGTAACTTGGTAGTAGAGCTTGTTTCACGCATTACTCCATGATGTGGCAAAATATATGATTGTGTATCTTCCTGTGGATTTGTGTTTTCTGACATATGTCCTAACTCACTGTACACTCTGTTACTTAGCTCACGTATTGGTATCAGTCCTTTATATGTATTGACTTTGCTTGAACTTGATTATTTATTGATGATGATGAGTACTGATTTATTGATGATGACCGTCCTCTTCGTAATAATGTTATGCTGTCCAGGCGCAAAGTATTCCTTTGATCTGCATGAACTGGTACTGGTTACTCGGCAACACGTAGGTTCTTGTAGCAAGACGGGCCGATGAATAATGATGATTTATGATGATATCCGACTGAAAACTGAATGAAGGTCCAAATGGGCAGTAAGATACTTAATTTTACCTGGTTGGCTATACGGTCGGACGATCGTAATTGTCAGTACAATTACGATCGTCCGAAATAAATCATCATTATTCATCGGCCCGTCTTGCTACAAGAACCTACGTGTTGCCGAGTAACCAGTACCAGTTCATGCAGATCAAAGGAATACTTTGCACCTGGACAGCATAACATTATTACGAAGAGGACGGTCATCATCAATAAATCAGTACTCATCATCATCAATAAATAATCAAGTTCAAGCAAAGTCAATACATATAAAGGACTGATACCAATACGTGAGCTAAGTAACAGAGTGTACAGTGAGTTTGTTCCAATTGCCTACTACCCACCCGTATCCATTTTATCACTTAGATTTGAATAAATTACTTTATTTCCTTACTTTAAATAAGTGAATTCCAACTACTTTCTTTAATTATTTAATATTTTTAGACAAGTTATCATTACCTACCCTACACTTTTAGGTTTAATAGATTTTTTTACTCAATTAATTGCATACGGTTGTCATTATATACATTATATATATAATTCAGTATCTCATTTTAAGTAAATCTTTCATCGTAATTTAAGTAAATATCGTAATATAACTATTTCATTGAATATTTTTAATATCATAATAATTCTTCAGTGTCATTAGTGTTTGGAGTTGCCTCGTATGTATTAAAATTCGAATAGGCAATCTATACTTAATACCTATTTGTGTTTAACAGTTTTGCTAATTCCAGCAGTGTTACATCGGAGAAATCGTTGAGCTAGCGGAGCGTACTAGGTGCCCGGGCGCATAATTCGTGCCCTGTCACGACCCGCATTTGCTGACTTTATAAAATATAAGTATACCGTCTTACTTAAATTTATTTCTTTCGATTTGTGCCTATACCACTTAACTATTTCTAATATAAACATAGTGATTTGAACTTGAAATTTGCTTTAGATTTTACCTAAAATAATACAAAATGGATTTAAAATCTTTAATTAAAAAGCGTGGTAGTTACAAAGCTAGACTTACGCAATTCTCTTCATATCTAAATGTAAATCAATCATGTGAATCACTTTCTAGTTTACAAATTAATGAGCTCAACATAAGATTATCAAAAATTGAGGAACTTTATTCAGATTTTGATTGTACGCAAATTGAAATAGAAAATTTATCTGAAATTCCAGACGATCAGTACAAAGAACGCGAAACATTCGAAACTCAGTACTTCGGCGTGATAGCTGCCGCTCGAGATATGTTGACGCGGTCAGCGCCTGCGAGTGCTGAAACGGACTCAGGTTCGGTTGCTGGTTCTGCATCTAAAGGTTGGCCAAAATTGAAATTGCCTTCTATCAGTATACCGAGCTACTCGGGCCAGTATCTCAATTGGTTGGAATTCCACGACACTTACTCCACTCTCATACATTCAGATAATTCAATTCCTAAAATTAATAAATTTCACTATTTGCGCGCTGCACTTAAAGATAGCGCCGCATTAATCATTAGTTCACTTGATTTCTCAGCTGAAAATTATGATGTTGCATGGCAGCTTCTATGCGAACGGTATAACAATAAAAGACTTTTAATCAATAATCATATTCATGCTATTTTTGCTATTGAGTCTATACAAAGAGAGTCGGCTAAGGCATTGCGCAACATTATAGACACTGTCAATAAAAATCTGAGAGCTCTCAAAACACTTAAATTACCCACTGACCACTGGGACATATTAATTATACATATAGTCTCGAGTAAACTCGATATCATTACAACTCGCGAATGGGAAACGTATCGTAATAATCTTAAAGATATTCCATCGCTTTTAGATTTCAATACCTTTTTAAAAAATCGTGCAGATCTATTGGAAACAATGGACGAGTCACAAAACCGTAGGCACAGTGATACTACACATACACGTCACAAATCTTTTATAGCGAACTCACACTCTCCACCCACTCGAACATACACATGTCCCTTATGTAAACACAACCATGCTATTTATCAATGTCCAAAATTTAAATCGTTGCCAGTTGAAATAAGAATACAAAAGGCAAAATCATTAAAATTATGTATTAACTGTTTGCGTCAAGGACACAATGAAACCAAATGCAAACTAGGTCACTGCAAACTTTGTCTTAACTCTCATAATACTTTACTTCATGTCAATCATTCATCACTTACACCACAGTCATCTACTATTCCAACTTCAACAAGTAGCAGTGTCGTCTTGACTAATTCACATCAGAATAACACAAAACAGAAAACAAAACCAATTGATGACACATCGTCAAAATCTTTAACTACACATAGTGATATAGTCCTTTCCTCTGTCGATAACACGCAAAATGTTGTATTATTATCCACAGTCACGTTTTACTCTGTTATGTCCATGGTACTGCTCATGTCTATAGGCGACGGTTACCACTTCCCATAAGGTGGGCCGTCAGCTTGTTTGCCATTCTAAGTTGTATAAAAAAAAAGTGTTTACCTATTAGAAATTACTGTACTATACTAATTATAGAGGGCGAAATTGAAATAAATCTAATATATAAAATTCTCGTGTCACAATGTTTGTTACCAAACTCCTCCGAAACTAACCTTACCGATTTTTATGAAATTTTGTATGCATATTGGGTAGGTCTGAGAATCGGCCAACATCTATTTTTCATACCCTTCAATGACAAAGATATTTTACGAGGTTTTATTTTACATGTAATATTTGTTAATTTGTTTTGGTCAAATCTTGAATACTACATTAGAACACCTTTAGTCCTGACGAATATATGTATTATTCGATATTGTAATACTTTCAAAATGGCCGCCCTCACAAGATGGCGGATGGTGTGTATTTTGTCAACCGTTTAAATATGAGTGTCAAATGAAAGAGCTTAGTGAATAGAATGATAGAATATAATGATGTAATTTAAGATTGTGTTACACGAAAAGAAACTTAATTTCAATTGTGGTAAAACAAGTTATTTTAAATTAAGAACTAAACTACTGAATCGATTTTTTTGAAACCTATATTTTGGAAATAAGTATATCTTATCAGATTAAAAAAAATTACAAATAGCTTTGTAAATGACGGAGTTAAAAGATAATAAATATAATCACATCTTCCCGTGTTTAGATCTCAGATGTCCTTTTAAGCTGCACTTCTGCACGAAAGCCTGTCCGCAGTGTTGACATTTAAACTTGCGATCATTATTGTGTATCCTCATATGTTCCTTAAGCGTCTTCTTCCTTCCGTATGACTTGAAGCAGATGGCACACCGAAACTGCTTCACACCAGTATGTTTCACCATATGATGGCTCAATTCCTCAGCGCTAAAGAACCTCTTTGTACACTGACTACACTTATGATCCTTTTCTAATAAATGGTATCTCTTCAAATGCAATTTCAAACCTCGAACGGTCGTGAACGATTTATCGCAGGCCTGACATTTGGCCAGTGTTCTCTTTATTCCATGAACAACAGCCAAATGCTCTATTCTCCGTCTATGGTCCGAAAACCCTTCGATACAATAACCACATTTATACGGGTAAGTGTTTTTATGTATTTTTCTCTTATGATAGTTCAATTTTGGCAATGTTTCCAACACTAAATCGCAGGCGTTACACTTAAAATTGCCAGTAATGTGAATACGAGAATGATGATAAAGCAGTGCACGATTAACAAACCCAGCATTACATTTGTCACAAGTATAATTCTTATAATGGGTAGACATATGCTCCAATAGTCCTTTAAAATTGATGAACTCGTTCGAACACATAAAACACTTAATTACATCTTCATTTTCAAATTTAAACGGCAGTATATGATTATTTATGTCGGTGTGTATCTTTTTGTAATGTGTAGTCTTTAAATGTTCAAACAGATCTTCTAAAGTATCGATACTGCGACCACAAATTTTACATCGAAGACCAGTGATATCGAATTTAGCGAAGTATTTCGATATGACACTGCCTTTCATGAACTCTGATTTGGAATTGTCGTCATGTTCGTTTAAAGTGTGCTTTTTCAAATTTGCCGGGCTTGCAAATTGTTCAGTGCAGAAGCTACAACAGTAGCCTATCCCGTGATAAGCTCGAATTGGAGTTGCATTAGAATTTAGCAGCACCAGTCTCGCGTTGTAGCGATGTTTTTCTATTTCTTCCCTTGGCTTGATCTTACTTTCTTTCTTTGATTGAGTGTGTTCTGCAACTTCATTGTTCTTTCTATTTGTATTCTCATTAAATTCTGGCTTAATAACTTTCAATTTCAGGATTACTTCCTCTTTTTTGATGGTACCTATAAAGAAAAAGTTGATTTAACGTAATTATAAGTAGTTATAGTGTCAGCATGATATTTAGAAGTTGTAAAATAAATGTAATGTTTGTATGACGTCAAGTTCTTACCAGTTTATATTACTAATATTTAAATGAAATATTATTATTAGAAAAATACACACAAATTCACATAATGAACACATTATTAAAAGACAATCGATACGTTCATGTAACTGTTTATTTGCAACAATTTTCAAATTTTTCATCGCATAATTAAATTTCTGTTTCGCCAAAGGTTGACTGTGAGAGAATACTTACTCATAAATTATTAAGTCCACCTTTTGTACCAGACATTTTTTTTTTGTAAAGTGGTTAATAAAGCATAAATAAATAAATAATCAACATGCAAAATGTGAGAGTACATTTTGCATTTCAAGTACTCAGCATTGGAGATACAACACAGATATTATTGTACTATTTACCACGGCTTTACTCGTGTTAAAAAAACCTTCCTGTGTAATTTTTTTCAAATCCATATATCCGTTTAAGTGTGATTAAATTAATAGTGCGACGAACCAACTTTCATATTTATTATATTAATATGTACTTTGTCTAAATTTTATTTGGGGTCTGCGTAATATATTTCTCTTTCATTCATATTTATTTGCAGTTCTCTTAGTATTTGCATCCTTCTTACTCGAATCATTTAGGAAGATGAGATTAATAGTAATGGGAAATAGTGGATCCATTGTTAGCTATAACATGTTGAAGTCCACACGGTTTACCCTAAAAACCATGGTGATTGATTTGTCATGATGGGACATCTAATCAGACTTCATTCTCACCCGTCAACATTCACTCACCATCGTACATTGCAACAGTGCAGGCCATTTTGAGCAAATAAATAAACGCATATTTGATTATTATTATTATTTACCATTACATTATCATCTCCATAAAAAATATTCTCTTCTTAATCTGTAGTGAAAGACAGGAAAGTTATTCAAAATTTATTTTCCCGACCATTATAGACTTTTTTAAAGCCACTTTTTGGAACATGCCAGCGCTATCCCCGCAAAGCCTTGCATAAATTTCCGATATATTGCCGGCTATTAGAAGCATTAAAATTAGAAAACATTATTCTATAAATCGAATCTAACAGATAATGTTACAGATATAACAATATATATATAAAAATGTAACCAAACTGTACTGGAATCAATATCAATAGGAGCGCCCAGTAACTACATGCGAGCACGTCGACGGCACTTATTCGATGTTGCATTACGAAGAACAGAGTTCGCTAAGCAGGCTCCTCTATCTCTTGCATTGAAACTACTCAATGATATTTTGAGCCGGTATCCGCAATTGGATGTATTTGCCTCCAACTTGCTGGAGTTTTGTCGAGTGACCACAGAGTATTTCTGTACTCATGCTTTCCTGGGTGAGCGTATTGGAAGACTGTAAGGCTCACCCAGTGGATGTAATAAATAAATAAATAATTAGAAGGATTATTTAAACTACAAATAGGATTATTTTAATTAAATAATACTTTAAGGAGAAAATCATAAATTGTTGATATCTAATTATAGAAACAAATAATACATCATTACTGTTATTGTAATTGTATTATATTAAATAAATTTTAACAAATTCTAACTTAGATAGAATCATTGCACATTTTCCCGTGTTTGGATCGCAAATGTCCTTTTAAACTACACTTCTGCACAAAAGCTTGCCCGCAATGCTGACATTTGAATTTACGATCATTATTATGTATCCGCATATGTTCTTTGAGCGTTTTCTTCCTTCCATACGACTTATAACAGACGCCACACTGAAACTGTTTTTCACCAGTATGTTTCACCATATGATAGTTCAATTCCACACCAGTAAAGAATCCCATCGGACATTGTGAACACTTGTAATTTTTTTCAAGTAGGTGATACCTTTTCAAATGCTGTCTCAACGCTCGTGTAGTTGCAAACTTTTTATCACAAGCCTGACATTCACCTGGTTGTTTTATTCCATGCACTTCAATTAAATGTTCAATTTTTTTATAATTCTCTTTAAATCTCTCATTGCAGTAACCACATTTATGCGACTGAGTTTTTCTATGTGCCTTCCTCTCGTGGTGTTTACTTTTTGGTAATGTTTCGAATACTGAATCGCAGTAGTTGCATTTGAAATTACCAGTTACATGAACCAGAGAATGACGGTACAGCAAAGACCGGTTAACAAAGCCAGCGTCACATTTGTCGCAGTTATAATTCTTATAATGTACAGACATGTGCTCTAGGAGACCTTTAAAATTGGTGAACTCATTTGTACATATACTACACTTAAGTATATTTTCATTTTCAAATTTAAACGGTAATATATGATTATTTATATCAGTGTATACATTTTTGTTGTGTAAAGTCTTTAAGTGTTCAAACAAAGCGTCTAGTGAGACGATATTGGATTCACATATCTTACAGCTCAATCCAGTGATATCAAGTTTAACAGAATACTTGGCCATAACGCTGCCTTTCATGAATTTAGATTTGGACTTGTCGTCGTGTTCATCTAGTGTGTGCCTCTTCAGGTTTCCAGGGTTCGGAAACTGTTCAGCACAGAAGCAGCAACAGTAGCCTATACCTTGGTAAGCTCTGATTGGAGTAGCATTTGAATTTAGTAGAATCAACCTCGCGTTATGCCGGTGTTTCTCTAATTCTTCCCCTATTTTGCCATCACTTTTAATATTTGATTTAGCTTTTGCGGCAACCTTTTTTTTCTTTTCATTTGTATGCTCGTTAAATTCTGTCTTAACTTCTTTCAATGTCACGATTACTGCCTCCTTTTTGATGACACCTACAAAGAAAAAGTGGATTTAACGCAGTTACAATATTGCATAGCATTAGTGATAGATTAGATTTGTTTATTTGCCAGAACATTGTTTTTAAAAGAATGTAAAGGATTTTATATTACATAATTTTTACCTATATGTAGTACCGAAAAATAATTACTAGTTAATGTTAAAAATTGAAATCGTGAAAGATTGTTACCAAACTATTAGCTTTGATAGTATTATCTCCTTATATAATCAAGCTGATAGATTGGCTAATACCCCAACTCCTGGATCACCTTAGTTAAATGTATCAAGTGATCCAAACCCAGAATCTTTGTAAGTTATAGCCAAGATTAACATGGATACCGATCCGATATTTGTATATTGGGTTTCTCTGGACATTGATGGTGGAAAAAAGATTATTTCGATATCTCCCATATCGGTCGGATATTTACATTCGTATAAGTTAAAAGTCTGTTATCCAATATATATTTTTTTTTTTTGGAAAACAGACTTTTAACGTATTCCTTATTGGAATTATATATACCAGATATTGTAACTAAAATATATAAATATTGTTATATATTATCCACCCTTAGTAGTATAGTAGCCAAAGCACTAGGTGCCAGAGCCGTAGAATTAATATAGTTGTATCTACGTCGTGACAATTAAAAAGAGGAAGACGGTCGATAAGGCGAGAATAATTATTGTATATAATTGTTTGTATCTACATAGTAACTAAGTGTATAAATAAAGGTAACAGGTTAAGAACCAAAAAGTTTATGAATTGAAATGAAATTTACTTGCCAAAAACATTGTAGATAAGACGTTGCATCTGTCATGTTTACAAAATGTCCATCATGTTACGCCACATCAATGGCATGCAAATATTAACCATTAATTAATTTCCAATGAAAGGTTATTCCAAGATGATCCTGTATTATTGAAATATGATCTTTGCCAGTATTATTTATTTTTGTACGTATGTGTATCAATACAGATTCGAGCTTTTTAATACTTCCTTAAAGTGGAAAGATTTTTTTTTATTATTAATGACGTAACGGAGCAGATAGTGCACTTGATAGAAACCGGTTAACGTCGCCCATTAACACCTGCAACACGACAGGAGTTGCTTGTGCGTTTTTTTATGTAATAAAGAAATATATAAATAAGAAATAAATAAATAAAATTATTAATATTTTTAAATTAAATTCATTACTGTGAAGGTTAATTGTAGATACGTGTGTTGGTTTGAAAGAACGCTCTAAAATTTGAAAAGGCATGCTATGTTTGTTCAAAAAATGTCAGATAAAAGGTTGGCGAAAGAAATACGAAATACAAAAAAATTATGATGATAAAAGACAAATATATTAATAACTAGCGGCCCGTCCCGGCTTCGCATAGGTGGACATTTATACATTTTACATTTTTATTGTTACATCCAATAAGTAGAGAGCCGTCCGCGCGACTGAGCTGCGCGTCTACATATTTCATAAGTGTGCCCGCCCCCGCCTCCCACACCGCTACAATGCCTGGCTAGCTAGCCACGCGGCTGATACAGTGCGGGTGGCTGGCGACGCCTTTTCTATATCTAACTTTTTAACATAATAAGCGGCCCGTCCCGGCTTCACACGGGTGGACATTTTTACAAAATTTTACATTTTTATCTGTTCCTATTTCATACCTAGTTACCTATTTCATAGATGTGCCCGCCCCCACCTGCCCCTCTTTCGCACCGCTAAAATAGGTATGAATAACATGTACAACGCGACAGCGTTATTTTTTCTATTTCTATGAATTATTAAATTCGTAATATCTATTAAATGGAATAGCCGATTTGAACTATTTAAAAGTAATCTACATAAATTGAAACAGTTTTGAAAACAATATGATTTATTTGAATAAGGATTAAAACAGAAGTATGAATAACATGGTGTAGTTTTGGTCGGTATTTCCATCAACTTTTAAAATGTAAATAGTGGTTATTGTGACATAACGATAATAGTTAGACATATAGTACCGCGAAGTTTTTTGTAGTTATTGATATTTTCTTCAATATTGTAGAACATACTTTTGTTCTATCACTAATAGTTTCCGCAGCGCACGCGACGAAATACATTTTATAGCATTTTTTTTTTTTACATCTTGAGTTACGTTATTAAAGTTTTAGTAAGGATCTCTAAACTTTTCTAGCAATAAATATAGAAAGAATTTTTGAAATCGGCAAAGTAGTTTTTGAGTTTATTCATTACAAACATACGTACACACAAAAATATAAATCTTTCCTCTTTATAATATTAGTGTAGATGTAGATCTTGTATTAAGTACTACGATGGAGATGAATTTTGTAAATAATATTTTTTACTTGTTGTGTTCGGCAATGATTTTGATGATGACATTTATAGATATAATTTAGTAAAATTAAACATTAGATAGTATTAAATCAATTTATTTGTTTATTTATTTATTAATATTTGCACTGCTATCACTGTATCACGGTCACAATATAATTTGTTTAAAAATATTAAACTATTTCCCCATGCTTGGAGCGCATATGTCCCCTCCAACTACATTTCTGCACAAAAGCCTGTCCGCAGTGCTCGCATTTGAATCTGCGGTCGTCGGCGTGTATCCTCATATGCTCTTTCAGTGTATATTTCCTTCCGTAAGATTTGAGACACACGTCGCATTTATATTCTCTCTCACCGGTGTGACTAAGCATATGATTTTTCAGTTGTCCAACTGCGAAGAACTCTTTATCGCATTGTTTGCATTTAAAAAATCTCTCCATTAAATGATCCCTCTTCGTATGTGAATTGAGTAGCTTCGTAGAATTAAATGTTTTATCGCAAGCTTGACAATTGAAAGAAATCCTCACACCGTGCACCGATTTTAAATGTTCGTCTTTCAAACGCGGCAGTGTGAACCTCTCGTTGCAATACCCACATTTGTGCAAAACATTCTTATAAATATGCACCCCTTTTTCGTGACCTCGTCTCTTTGCTTGTGTATCGAACACTTTATCGCAATAACCACATTTGAAAGTGCCTGTTTTGTGTGACGGCCTATGATTTGTCAACTGCCTCATGTTTACAAAACCCGCCTGGCATGTATTGCAAACATAATTCTTGTAATGCGAGTTCATATGCTCCAGCAATGATTTGAATTTGTTGAATACATTTAAACACATGAAACATTGAAGCGATTTCGTTTCAAATTTGAACGGTAATATATGGTTTTTGATATCTGTGAATATCTTTATTTGATGGTCGGATTTTAGATGTGCCATTAGATTTTCCAAAGTATCAATATTGATACCACATATTTTACAAATGAGTTCCGTTATGTCCAATCTAACAAAATATTCAAACAACCTATTACGTTGCATGAAGGAAGCTTTGGATAGATCATTGTGTATTTCCAAAGTGTGTCTCTTTAAGTCTGCTGGATCCGGATATTGGTCAGTACAAAAAGAACACGCGTATCCAATACCACCGCGACTTCGAATGGGAGTAGCGTTAGAATGTTTAAGAATTTCTCTTATATTAACATAATGTTTTCTAAGTACAGAAGCGTCGTCTTTCCTTTTACGTTTTCTTAAATCTACTTTATTTTGATCGTCTTTACGTTTTACTACGCCAGTCCTTGTTTCAACTTCATTAATCTCTCGTGTTGCGTTAGCCTGACCTCCACTACCTACAAACAAAAGGACTGAATTATTTCAAATTTTTGCTGCTAAGATTAATTGCTTTACTGTTTACTAATTACTTAGTTAATAGGTTACTGTGTGTTCATTAAATTTGGTTTTTTTTTTACAAATGTAATATTATTATTATTATGTCGAATTATCTATTTAACAACTTCAAATAAAGCCACCTCTGTGTTTACTGTTTTAAGTTTGGCAAACGTGCCTTTAGAATCTTAGAAAGCCCTACACATGATTTGAGAGAAGATATAGTGAATTTTATGAACAAAGCCAAAACACCAAACGATTACTTGAACGACAAAAATGCATTGTGTTAGTCGATCATACACGGGCTTTTAACGACCACGAAATTTTAGACATAGTACATTTAAATAAATACACATAATGTTCACAAAAATTTAAAAGAGTAAATGTTGAGTTGCAAAATGACGATTTAAAAGTGCTTGTACTAAGTCTGTTTGTAAAAAATTAAAAATATAATTTATTATATAAAATTTTAAAATTTATTTAAACTGCATTCTGGATAATTACTTAATTTCTGCCGGTAGCATATTGTATAATTTTATATTCAATTCAACACCTTGTGTAAGCAATTATTAATATATCGATTATAAAATGCAATATGGACGGTAGGTACTACTAATGTAAATATACTGCCTACCGCCATTTTCGTTGATTTAACACTTCACGCTGATCATTATCAAAACGGTAACGGTGTGCACATTGATCACAGAAGTTAGTTGAAGCAAAAGGTGTATCAGAGATTGATTAAAGACAGTAAACAGGTCAGTTCGATTCATTTAAATAGTATTTGTGTTATAGTAGTACTATGGCTGATCAGAATTTTGTTGGAATTAATTGTATGAATATTAGAAAGCGGCTTATCAAAACCTATATCTGGAGTATAGCTCTGTATGGATGTGAGACGTAGACATTAACTCAGAAGGAAATGGATAAACTTAGAGCCTTTGAAATGTGGTGCTGGAGAAGGATGGAGAAAATTAGCTGGAGTGATCGAATTAGCAATGAGGAGGTCATGCTTAGGGTTAAGGAGAAAAGACAAATTATTAGAACTATTGAGGACAGAAGGGGAAAAATGTTGGGACACTTGATACGACACGTGGAACTTATGAACATTATAATAGAAGGTAAGATAGAAGGAAGGAGGGGGAGAGGGAGACCGAGACATAGTTACATCAGGCAGATCAAGGAAGGAGTTGGTGTCGTGTCGTATCAAGAGGTGAAGAGACTCGCTGAAAATCGTAGTGAGTGGCAAGAGCTCCACCGACAAGAGCGCAGCTCTTAAATAGATAGATAGATAGAATTGTATGAAATGAATAAGACATGTTAATTATTTGTAATCGTAATTTTACTTGTACAAATCCTCACCCCATTTTATACTTGTTTTAGTGTTTTAACAAATCTAGTTTCTGGTAATTGGATTGTAAGCAAGGTTTATTAAAAAGAAACTGTTCATTTTATATTTTTATTTATGTACCAAATTGTTTTCATAATTATTTCCACTAATTAAACCATTTCGTCGTGCTTTGACCGCATATGTCCCCGCCAACTACTCTTCGCTACAAACGCCTGCCCACAAATCTGGCATTTGTACCTTCGATCATTTGTATGAATACGTATGTGCTGTCGCAATGCGTTCTTCGTTGAAAAGTGTTTATTGCACAAATCGCATTCATACAGCTTCAATCCCATATGCACTCTCCTCTCGTGCTCTTTCAATGCAGCCGAGTAAGTAAAACTCTTGTTGCATTGCGTACAAGCGTGAGGACGTATCATCAAATGGTTTAACTTCATATGTGCTAAATACGTCGAACGCGTCGTAAAAGATTTGTCGCAAGCTTGACAGTTAATCGGAGCCATAACAACACCGTGTACTTTCTGCAAGTGGCGCTCTTTGCTGTGGAAGAATTGGAAACTTTCATTACAATAACCACATTTGTAGGCGGGCTGCGATTTTACGATATGAACAGCACGCACGTGTGCCTTCAAAGTACGACCGTTGGTAAATACTTTTCTACAGATTTCACAAGCGTAGTTTCCGATATCGTGGAAGTTCATGTGAACTCTCAACTGTGCAGGATTTATGAAGCCCGCGTCGCATTCTTGGCACACATAGTTTCTGTAGTGGACTTTCATATGTTCCAAAAGAGATTTGAATTTATTGTACATCGCACCGTTGTCGCAGATGGCACACGTGAGGATTTTCGTGTCGAATTTTAATGGTATCATTTGATTCTTTATGTCGGTGAATATTTTAACCTCGTGTGTATTCTGAAGATGTTCCATAAGATCTTCCAATGACTTGATATTACTGTCACATAATTTGCAGCGAAGAGACGTGATATCTACTTTGATTATGTTATCACAAATGGATATGTTGTTTATATAACACTGATTGACGTCATTGTGCCTCTCCAAGGTGTGCCTCTTCAAATCTGCAGCATCAGGATACTGTTCGGGGCAAAAACTGCAGACGTAACCAATCCCACCGCGATGTCTAATAATAGTCGCATTAGAATACTCAAGTACAGCTTTTATATTTGTCAAATGTTTATGTTTCACGGTGGCGTCTTCCTTTCTATTGTTATTACTCTGTACCACTGTTTTTAATTTGTCTGTATTAACCATTCCATTTTCTTTAACAGTTGAAGATGTTTTAACAGTTTGATTTTCATCACCACTGTCATTTGATTTTTCAATTATAAGAATGTAATCTTCATCTTTGTCTGTATCTACATAGGATAATTCTCGTGTTGCCACTATTTCCTTTGTATTGACATCTTTAACGTCAATTCTGATGAGCTTCTGGCGTTTACCTATAAAGAAAACGATAGAATTAACTGAATAGTTTAAGAATTTGCAATATATTTTAATGTAATAACGACCAGACGTGTATTTAAGTCGAGAAAGTTTGACTAGTTTCAGGACCATCCGGGACTCTTAGTCATGACGATGCCGTAAACATCTACAGCTCGCGTTTAACGGGCCGAGCCGTAAATTCCGATTCGCACTGCTGGCCTTACGGTCACTTATGTTTAAAGGTCTCGAATGGTCCCAAAACTAGTCGAGCTTTCTTAACTTAAATATGTGTAAGATAATCCGGTATTATTACATTAAAATATAATGTACTTAAGAGACTTTTAACATTACAATTTGTCTGCGGTATTCGGATAAGGCAATTCATTAGAATCCGAAATAATATCTTACCTACACTGAAGGTATATCTCTGACAGATTTACATTTATTTTGGACACCAGTTGTTCATAACAATATCTGTTTTTTTTTTTTACAACACAGGGGACAAATGAGCGTGCGGCTCACCTAATGGTAAATGACTACCGTCGTCAATGATCACCGACAACACCAAAGGCATAACAGGTGTGGGGCCGGTCTTTTAAAAAGGAATATGTTCTTTTCTTGAAGGTTGAAAGTTTGAACTAATTATATAAAATAGTATATATTATAGTAATCAATTTCCAGAATTTTAATGACAGTGCTCGATATGAACCGCCGCGGAAATCTGACTGGATAGGGGGGAAAACGAATGTTAGTAATGGAGACTGAGAATCGCATTCCTATCAATATACTCAACCAGGGCGATCTCCTCGCGGCTCCCCCTGGAAACTATATTGGTTAATTCCTGATGAATTTATCATGATAGGCTAACTGGCCTGTTTTAATCCTCATCTATCATCACTCACTGGTGCCCTGCCAGCGTATACCGATAGCGCAAGCGGGGTTACTATTCCATTATCACCCAAAAAAAAAAAATTACTGGATAATCTATTCGGAATCAAATGCATATTTAGATGAGGCGCTAGAGCTACCTGGCGGGCAAGACTTCGCAAAATGTCAGAGAGAACATAAACGTTTTATTTAAAAGGGCGAATTTAGTTATACGAAGTTATAATTATATTAGTTAAATTTGTGTAATATATTATTCGAAAAATAATATAATTTAATTTAATAACACTGGGCACATTAATATAAAAAAAAAATATTACATTTAAAAATGCAGTATATTCTCTCTGCCTATATGGTTACAGTGGTAACCTGTAAAGGTTGGGGGGAAAAGGGATTGTTAACAACCCTATTGTTAGCAATATACACTATCCAGCACGTCGACCTCCTCGCGGTTCCGCCTGGAAACCATCGTGATTGATTCATTAGTGAATTTATCATAATGGGCTAACTGGCCTGCTTCATTTTCACCTATCATCACTTACTGGTGCCACGCCAGCGTATACCGATAGCGCGGGCGGGGTTACCATTCCATTATAATCTATTAAAAAAGAAACCTGTAAAGATTGGAATCGAAATTATTAACACCCTTTTAGAGTTCTCTTTTCAGTTGACCGTATTCATGGAGTATGTCTCTATATTCGATACATCCACACAGCAACACCATCCATACGGATGGTGTTGCTATAAAAAAAACTAAATAATAACTGTGACTGCGGAAAAACGAAAACGTATGTCAATTGAAAATGTATATTTCAACTAATAGAAAAGATAAAAAAAAAATAATGTAAAAAGAAAATAAAACCAATCAGTAAAAAAAGGAAACCGATTTGGAAAATTATTTTTTTATATGAAAGGATATACTTACAGATTGGTTCCGTAGAAACTTTATCAATATCTTTTTTTTTATACAACTTAGAATGGCAAACAAGCTGACGGCCCACCTGATGGAAAGTGGTAACCGTCGCCTATACACATGAGCAGTAGCATGCACATAACAGAGTATACTGTTTCGCCCATGATACCACCCATGCGTTGCCATTCCTGAGGACTCCAGTGTTATTCCTGTGTACTCTATAAATTCACTGCCATATCCCACCCATCAAACCGAAACACAGCCATGCGAACACAACTGCTTCACGGTAGAAACACGAATGGGACAGAGGTGGCCAAGCGAACGACTTTTGTACAAAGTCTCCCTCTGGTAAATTATTGACAGGTTCCATGTTATTTTTTTGTGTACTCGTAATTATAGAATTCATAAAAAAGATATACAGTTTAATATCTTTTATTAATAACATTTGACTAAGATTCAATATATATATATCTACATAAATATTTTACAAAACAATAAAGTTCTTATTATTTATCCTATTGATAATAATAAATCACATATCTTGAATAAATTGTAAGAAGAATTTTAGGTATAATTTTACAAGAAAACTAAGAGTTTAACTCGCCTTTGTAAATACATTTGATTACCTCTGTCATATTCTTATAATTGGTGTGTACAATAAAGGAGAAAGAAAAAAGAAAGAAAAGTTCCCAACCATTTTTAGATTGTTATATTGAGATTGTGGTGAGATGATACTCACCAATCATCATCTTCTTACCCTTATCCCAATAATTTGTGGTCGGCGTAATATGGTTTTGTCTATATTACAAAAAGACTTGGTTTTTAGTTTTACGACCGGCCGCCTGCCTGACGTCAACCCTCTTTGGGAATACTCACCAATGTTTATTATATATATTAGCTTTTATAATATAATTTAACTTAAAAAAAAACAAGCAGACAAACAAACATTTATATATATATATATATATATATATATATATATATATATATATATATATATATATATATATATATATATATATCATGCCGCTTGATCACGGGACTCGCAAAATGCGCGCGTAAGTCGCGCAGGCGCTTTGTTGGCTGCGCGCGCATACCGCGCACGGGCCAGCGACCGGAGAGTGTTTTGTTAATTGATTCAAAAATTTATTTGTTTTATTGTAAAATAATTTATGAATTTTAATTATTGATTAAAAATATTTACAAGATAAATACTACTATCAATCCTACAAGATAAAACATACATTAAGACAGAAACACCACTGGATCGATTTGGTGTAGTGACCTTTGCTTGACGCCAAAACATAAAATCAGTCAAAAACTAAAAAAGAAAATAGCTTCGGCTACTATTGCTCCTATCAAGAATTCCTGTAGCAGTGTTTCCTAAACATCTCTCATGTACAGACATCGACTAGTTACAATTTCATTATAATAGTAAGATTACTCTCGCGCGAAAAAATATTAAACTACTTCCCCATGTTTAGACCTCATATGTCCCCGCCAACTGATCTTCGCTATGAACGCTTGTCCGCAAACATTGCATTTGAATCTACGATCATTTGTATGAATACGCATGTGTTGTTGCAACGCCTTCCTCGTTGAAAATGTCTTCAAACATTCATCGCAGTTGTACAATCTTAATCCCATATGCACTCTTCTCTCGTGCTCTTTCAATTGGGCCAAATATGCAAACGCCTTATCACATTGCGTGCACGCATGTGGACGCAACATCAAGTGATTCAACTTCATATGTTTCGTGTAATTTGAACGAGTTAAGAACGATCTATCGCAAGCTTGGCACTTGATTCGTGCAATTTGGACGCCGTGCACTTCTTGTAAATGTTTCTCTTTCGTGTGAAAATACAGGAACGCTTGATTGCAGTAGCCGCATTTGCTTAAAGGTTGCGACTTCATAACGTGAACAGCTCGGATGTGCGCCTTCAATTTTCTAGTATTGTTAAACACTTTATTACATTTGTTACAAGAATAACTTCCGGACTCATGCACGGATCTGTGTTGTCTTAATTGCTCGAAGTTAATGAAGCCTGCGTCACAGTCCTCGCATACGTAATTCCTGTAATGTACCGTCATATGCTCTAGCAGAGACTTGAATTTATGGAACGGCACTCCGTTTTCGCATAAGGCACATGTAAGATTTTTCGATTCGAATTTAAACGGTATTATATGATTGTCTATATCGGTAAATGTTTTAACCTTGTGAGTATTCTGTAGATGAGTCATAAGGTCCTCCAAACGTTTAATGTTAGTATCACATAATTTGCAGCGAAGAGACGTAATATCTAACTTAATGATATACTTGCTCAATGTCATATTATTTACAAAATAACAAAGACTAACGTCGTCGTGTGTCTCCAAGGAATGTCTCTTCAGATCTGCAGCATCCGGGTATTGTTTGATACAATAACCGCAGGCGTAACCAATTCCGCCACGATGCCTAATAATAGTTGCGTTAGAATTCTCAAGTATCGCTTTTATATTAGTGTAATGTTTTTGTTTTGTGACGGCGTCTTCTTTGCTTTTATTTGTATTGTTTTGTACAACTTTTTTTGGTTTAACTTTATTATTACTATTTGCTTTTACATCTGTAGATATTTCACCTTTTTGATTGTCATTTATACCAATAGTATTTGATTTTTTTGTTCTAAAATTGTACTGTTGATTTTTGTCTTTAACGATATCCGTTAAATGTCTCGTTGCCACTACTTTCTTTGTTGTGACCTCTCTGATTTCAATTTTCATGGATCCTTGACGGTGGTCACCTACAAACAAAATGACAGTGTTAACTATATTGTTTTACAACTTCCAACAAAAGTTTTCCGTGTTTAATAAAATCCTGAAAAGACTTATCATGATTTTGAAAATCTGTTAACCACCAAAGTAATAACTAATAAAGATCTTCTTACTGCCCTTTTTGCGTATTTGTTTTTTCTTTTCCCTTCTGATCTATTTGCAGTCACCTCGCCATTCATTCCCTTTTAAGCCATGCCACCTTTCACACAGTAAATCCTCATTTTTCTGGGTCTTCCTCTGCACTTTATAAGTGTGTTCATCCACATTCATACGTAATACCTTTCTTATCACATACACTTCTTCTTCAATACTAATAAAGATCACAAATATATTGATCATCGACAAAAAGGATATATAAGTAAATAATCGTCACCTAAATATCCAAGTGCTATACTTGGCAAGCATAGTAATGGTAGGTTAATACTATAGTATGGACGCTCCCTACCGCCCTCTGCGTTCTGACCTCACCCCCTCTCAAATACGTGTCAGCGTCTTCCAATGGATGTCTCTAGTCTACGCTTCAGTTGCCGCCGATGTCAGGAAAGGATAGAGGATACAATATTTAGGTTTGAAGAGGATAGCTAGCTAGTCTCAGCTAGTTTTAATTTTCTTTTAAATCAAACTTTATTAAAATACAAAATGGACTGTCGCTGCGACGCACTGACCTTGTATTTTTGGACGCGATATCAGCACACCTGATTAAAAATGATAACTATGTCTTATAGATAAGGATATTACTATGTCTTCCAGAATATAAAGTAACATCTAAAGTGCCACTTATTAGGCGTAGATAATATATATATTCCCGTCCTAGTAAAGAGAGGAGCTTAGGAGCGGGCCGTCGCCATCGGAGTCTCGGACGACTTCAAGCGGATTCCCCGCGGCTACGGCAATAAGTGGACGAGGAACACCGGGGGGTTTTAGCCGGTAAGAGTCCGACAGTACCCACATATCTCCACCGAGCTATGTGGGTCTGCATGAAGCATTTCCCGCCTTTTTTTTCGACAAAAAAAAAGGCGTAGGTAATATATAGCAATATCTCTAATTTTAGTTAGAATATTTATTTATTTATTCATTAGTACAAATATGTGTACATGGCGGACTTAATGCTAAAAGCATTCTCTCCCAGTCAACCATAGGGAAGTTACAGAATACTCGAATGCGCTACTAGTAATTATTGATATACATACATACTAAAAATACATATATAAACGAATAAATATATATGAATAACAAATATACTTACACATATATGATATATACTATATTATACACGAATTTGGGAATAATATAAAGCACTTACTGCTCGGATAAAGATAAAAAGTGAGCGTGAACGTGAATATCTATATACGTGTCCAATAAAGAATATGTCAAGTCTGTTATCAAAAAAAATATATATTGGATATCAGGCTAACACATTCAAAAATAGATATTCGACCGATTCGAGAGATATCAAAATGGGTAAACTTTTTTCTGCCACCAGTATTCAGAGGAACTTAATATATAGATACCGGATCGGTATCCAAATTACCTATACCTACCACTCATACATTGCTATTACTGAGAACTAAAGTGTTATACATGCGTATCCGATAATTTGAAACTTTTTTTTTAATATAACAAAATATATATAGCAATTGGATGTATTTGCCTCCAACTTGCTGGAGTTTTGTCGAGTGACCATAGAGTGTTTGTGTTCAGACGTTTTTTGTTTAAGTTAAATCTTTTTATATTATTTTTGTTATTTTTTGTTTAATATTCCTTTTTATATGTTATTGTACTCATGCTTTCCTGGGTGAGCGTATTGGAAGACTGTAAGGCACACCCAGTGGATGTAATAAATAAATATAGTGAGATTGTCTAGTTGCATTTTTACATACATACATATCTGTCACGCCTGTCTCCCATTAGGGTAGGCAGAAACAATGGAACGCCAAATGCTTCGATTCAAACAAACCTCTTTCGCTTCTTCCTCATTCATCAATCTTGTCATACACGCTCGCCGGTTACGGGTACTTTTAATTTGGCCCTTCTTCAGCACGTCGCCTATTTGGTCGACATACGTCCGTCTAGGGCGGCCCCTACCGACATCTCCATTCATTCTTGCTCGATAAATCTCTTTCGTAATTCTTCTTGCATTTTTATTATATTAGTAATTGGAACGCCTATAGTTATAAGCACTACAAGTGGTACCTGATATCATCCAAAGTCCACCCAAATTGCCGGTGTTTATACGAGTACTACTCAAATTTAAATAATGTTTACAAAGTTAATTTAAACATATCCAACAGCAATTATTTTACAATGTTTTAAAGAATAGAAAAAAAATACATTCATATTAATTATAGTATATTTATTAATAAACTTAATTTTAAGTTTATTCATGATATCAATTTCAAACTGTCAAATCATGTTTCGAGCGCATATGTCCCTGCAGACTGATCTTTGCTATGAACGCCTGTCCACAAGCATCACATTTAAACCTACGATCATTTGTATGAATGCGTGTATGCTGTTGCAACGCTTTCTTCATTGAGAATGTCTTCTGGCAAAAATCGCATTTGTGCAACCTCAATCCCATGTGAACCCTCCCTTCATGTTCCTTCAATTGGGCCGAATACGCAAATGTCTTGTCGCACTGCGTACACGAATGTGGCCGAAGCATCAGGTGATTTATCTTCACATGCGTCGTGTAATTCGAACGAGACGAGAACGATTTTTCACACGCCTGACATTTAATTCTTGCTATATTCACTTCGTGGACTTCTCTCAAGTGTTGCTCCCTCATGTGAAAAAATTTAAAACTCTCCTTACAATAGGCACATTTGTATCCAGACTGTTTTACCGCGTGTACATACCGAATATGGGCTTTTAATTTGCGATCATTGTTATAAACTTTGTCACAGGATTTACATGAGTACGTCCCAGACTCGTGGACACCTTTGTGGTTTGTCAATTGCCCTAAATTAATGAAACCCGCGTTGCATTCTTGGCACACGTAATTTCTGTAGTGCGTCGTCATATGTTCAAGCAGAGACTTGAATTTGTGAAATGGTACCCCGTTATCACAAATAGCGCATGTAAGATCTTTAGAATCGAATTTAAATGGTAATATATGGTTGTGGATGTCGGTGAATATTTTTATTTCATGTTTATTTTGTAAATGTTCTATAAGGTTCTCCAAAGAATTGATTTTGCTGTCACATAGTTTGCAGCTGAGACATGTAATATCTAATTTAATAATACATTTGGTCATAGGCATTTCATTCACAAAGGAAGATAGACTAACATCGCCGTGTGTTTCCAAGGTGTGACTCTTCAAATCTGCAGCTTCCGGGTACTGTTTTGTGCAAAAACCACAGTGGTACCCAATTCCGCCGTGATGCCTAATCAGAGTTGCGTTAGAGTTCTCGATTATCGCTTTTATATTACTAAGATGTTTTGTCTTCCTATTAAGATCTTTCTTACTGTCGTTATTTTGAACTTTTTTTGACCTTGTTCTAGTTTTTGTCTCTTCATCTTTTACAGTCTCATCCTTTTGATTTAAATTTTTAACTTCACATTCAACCGTAATAACGCATTTTTTATTTTTGTCCACAATGGCATTATTTAATTCGCTTTTTACCACTACACTCTTCGTGGGGTCATCTCTGATTTCTTTATTGGCGAATCCTTGACGCCGGTTACCTATAAACAAAACGGCAGAATTAACTGGGTTGCTAAACTGTCAATAATCTTGGTTCATGTCTTGTCATATATCTTGCAATGATACTTTAAAATCATTGGTGTCTTAGTCAATTTTAATCTTTCGCGTTGTTGGCACATATTTTAAATACTTAACACGACCATTAATTTTGTAGTCCTGTCGTGACCACGACTTGGTGCAATCCACGTCGAAATTTTGGCAATAAAAAAGCAGGTATGTAGATACTGTTAACTTGCAAAGTTTTTCATCATTGGTGTCTTGCGATATATATATATATTAAAGTCTGGATTTATTTGGAAACTTTTTTAAGATACTTCATGTTCACGGTATATCGAAATATGAACACGAAAAGGTAACAAAACCTTGTGTTCTTCTTTGTAATACGTTGAATAAATCTGCTACTTTTAAAAATTGATCTACGCTATTGCCTGCACTTTTTTATATGAAATAAAAGTGGTATGGTAACCCCGCCTGCATGGCATCAATGCGGGATGATAGGCGAGGATGAAAGCAGGTTAGTTGACAGTCGTAACTAATCCAAAAAGAATTAATCACAATAGTTTCCAGGGAGAACCGCGTAGAGGTCAGCCTGACGGCATATATTGCTAGCAATGGGGCCGGTACTTCTTATTACTAATAATCCCTTTCCCCCTATTGCAGGTACTATTGAAGATAGATGAGGACGAAGTCAATTCTATGCGCTTATCGTGAGGATTTCACCATGGATTCCAGGGATTTCCACAATGAGATCCAGGGAAAATCGCGTGAACTTTAATCAAACAATTATCTTCATAATGGTGGGTAATATATAGCAATATCTATATATTGCAGTTACAATATATATACATATATTGGCTCAGTAAAGAATATATACATATCGGCTATCCAATATATAATATCGAAAAGAGAAACCCGCTCGTGATAAATTTAGATATCCGACTGGTACGGGCGATATCGCAATGGGTGGCCATAATATCTAGAAGAACTGGATATATAGATATCGGGTATTACCAACCTCTATCCCTTCTCTAGAGGTTTTGCCTTTCTTTATACATATTTTTATCACGAAACTTTTAGAAAATACTACGTTTTTCCCTGCACTTCCTTAAAGACGTTGTTTTAGTATTGGGCTTATAGAAATAAAAAAAATTTATGTGAACTTGATATATATATTTTTTAATACAATGATCAAACATATAATACTACTGGAAATAATAATATAACAAACTTTATTAACAAATACTACCTAGAATACCTATATATTTTATTAATATAATAAAATTGTAACTAGACAATGTCTGTACATAGGAAATGTTTAAGGATTCGTGTTTCAACCGTGAAGCAGTTGTGTTTGCATGGCTGTGTTTCGGTTTGAAGGGTGGGATATGGCGTGAATTTACTGGGTACAGAGGTATAACACGTGAGTCCTCAGGGATGGCAACGCATGGAGGGTATCATGGGCGAAACAGTATACTCTGTTATGTCCACGGTACTGCTCAAGTCTATAGGCGACGGTTACCACTTTCCATCAGGTGGGCCGTCAGCTTGTTTGCCATTCTAAGTTGTATAAAAAAAATTTAAAGAGGTCTTATTAGAAGTAATAGCTTTTAAAAATTCATCACCGATAAACTATTGCACCAAATCGGATGCAGTTTTCACACTTGTATTTCTTAAGGTTTCACTTAGAAACTTGTGTGTGATATGTTTAACTTTGATACTACAGGTTAGTTATATCGTAACGGCGGTCTCGCTCGCGACCTCAACACACGTGCGTACGGGACGGTGGTTACTGCCGACTACTCGCGTCTACCCCTGCGCTCGGAGCGTCGAGGTGCGGGCGGAGAAGTATGCGGGGAGCGATAGGCCTACCTACCTAGGATATACCTACAGCTGTCTTACTATGCGCGCCGGCTATAATACGCTATTTTATTGTTTTTTCTACTTGGGACGCTAGAAAAGCGTCAAAAAACTAGAAAATAATGTAACTGCTTATCAGGTATCTTATCTATTTGAACATCTTGCATTACTTGCATGTATATTTTGTTCTGCAATAAAGATTGTGTCCCACGAAACAAACCAACTTCAATAATACCATAATCAGTTATTTTGGTCTAAAGATTAAATTGCCGAACCGATTTTGATAAAATTCCTATGGCACCAATCTGTAGGTAGTCCTTTGATTTAAAAAAAAAAAGAATTTATCAAATCAGTTTAGAACTGACGTAGTTATAAAAAAAAATTTACTGTTCTTTTTTTTTCTTTTCATAGTTGCTTATTTTTACACATGTAATAATTTTAATAATTTTACAATATTATTATTGTTGTTGGTAATAAAGAATATATATGTCTATGTATCTAAAAAAAATACAACTGAATTCTTTTTTTGAAGGGAGAAAATGTTATGGTAACCCCGCCCGCGCCAATGGGATACGCTGGCGAGCACCAGTGAAGGGTGATAGATGAGAATGAAAACAGGCCAGTTAGCCCATCGTGATGAATTCATCAGAAATTAACCATGATAGTTTCCAGGGAGAACCGCGAGGAGGTCAACCTGTTTGGGTATATTGCTAGCAATAGGATTCTCAGTCTTCATTACTAACAATCCCTTTCCCCCCAATACAACTGAATTGAGAGCGTCTTTCTTTTTGAAGTCGGTTGAAAAGTCTTCAATTATGACAAACATGCAACGATGCAATATTTCGGAGATAGGTTGTACTGTAAAATATTCGAAAATATATCAACACGGAATCCTACCTATGTGTTTATTTTGCTATGTAACAAGCCGTTTTTTGCTCTGCAAATAAAAATGGCGGTTTTAAACATTACAAAATCAAAATCAAATTAAAAACAATGGTCGAAATTAACTTTTTTTTTTGTAATGTTCTTTAAATAGAAAAGATAGACATCTAAGCCAAGAAGTCAGATTAGATTTATTTTTCATTTTTTATGGTCGAAGACGAAATGGTAACCCCGCCTGTACTTTCGGTATACGCTGGCTAGGCACCAGTGAGTGATGACAGACGCGGGAGAAAGCGGGTTAGTTAGCTCATCTTGACGAATTTAACTAGAATTAACCACGATTGTTTCCAGAGGAAACAGTTTGGAGTTCGACCTGATAGAGCTGTTTGACCCCATTACTAACAATTCCTTTCCCTCCAGGATAGGAAGTTAGGAGTCTAAAGAAAGGTCTTAGGGCGTAAGAAGTCAGTCTTCAGGATCAGTTGTTGGTAGTCACAAGCATACTAATATTAGCGGAATTAAATAAAACTCTCATCAACTAATCAGTGATATGGCCTTCAAAAAATTAACGCCTAGTTCAACAAAATATATGAGTACATAGTCAATTATTAACTATATTCTAAGCTAATTCGCCATGCTTGGAGCGTATGTGACTCTTCCAACTGCATTTTTGAACGAAGGCCTGCCCACAATGCTCGCATTTAAATCTTCTATCATTATTATGTATTCGCATATGTTCTCGAAGGGTCTTCTTCCTCGCGTAAGACTTCAAGCATATACCACAGTGAAAATTCTTTACTGAACTATGTTTTAACTGGTGACTCTTGAGCGTCGCTAGAGTTGAAAAAGTCATATCACATTCCGTGCACTTGTGTGGTCTTTCCATTAAGTGATCTCTCTTCATATGCGTCCTGTACTTGTTACGATGCCAAAATATCTTGTCGCAAGCTTGGCATTTAATCGGCACTGGCCGTATACCGTGGACTTCGAGGAGATGCTTTTCTTTCATGTGGAACCATTTAAAAGTATCATTGCAATGGCCACATCTATTCTGGAACTTCGGCTTCACATCGTGAGCTAGTTTCTCATGGAGTTTCTTCTTTCGAATCGTATCGAACACCTTCTGACAAACATCGCAAGTGAACGTTCCCGTGTCGTGAGATGTTTTATGATTAGCCAGCTGCCTCTGATTTACATAACCGGCGTCGCAAAGATCACACATGTAGTTCTTGTAATGGCTGCTACTCATGTGTACTTGTAGCGTCTTAAATTTAGCGAAAATATTGAGGCACAGGAAACATTTAAGACCGTCTGTATTAAATTTAAATGGTAGTATATGGTTCTTTATATCCGAGAACATTTTAATTTGATGACTCTTTAAATGTTTAACTAGATCTTCCAAATTGTCGATATTGTCTCCGCATATTTTACAGCGGAGATCTGTAATGTCCACTTTCACTACGAATTCGGATATTCTCCGATCCCGTGCAAAGCTGGCTGTGGAGACATCGTGCTGGTCAATCGTATGCATCTTCAGATCCGCTGGATTTGGATACTGTTCTTGGCAAAAATAACATTTGTAACCAACGTCCCCGTGAGCCCTGATTAATGTCGCATTAGAGTTTTTAAGAATTGCCTTTATATTTAAGATATGCTTATCGATTTCATTTTCGTTCGTAGCATTACCTATAAGACTGTGACCTTCGTTCTTTAACGCTTCAGTTTCCTTCTTTACTTTCCTTGATCTGATAGATTTTACTGATACATTGTTTTTTGGTTTTCTCTCTTTTTTGATGATAGCCTCACGCGGACTACCTATAAAGAAAATTTTCAAATTATTCACTTGCAGTTTTGTTGAAACTCCAGATAGAAAAAACAATACGTTTATCATATCAGGAATTGCCTATATTTTAATACTTTCTTCTTATTAATAACATATTAGAGCATGTAAATAACTATGAAGCGACAAGTGAATGTTTTAAAAACAGTAAATAAGAAGTACTTATTGTACTACATAGAAGATCGTAAACTTTTAGACTTATCATCGGTGTATTTAAGATATCCAAAACGAGCCTGCTTGGCCCCATATAAAAAGCGTATATGTACTCTCGGAGATCGTCTTTGTGAAGCTTCGTTGGCACGCTGGGGTTGACACAAAACAATTGTGGGGGTGGGCACGCCCTCACCCCCATCCGGGCCTATTTAAATGAGATACTCGTAGATACAGAATGCTTGACTGCAATTCAAGAGTTCCAATATCAAATTCGAGCCTAGACCTCTGAAAATATTTCGAATCATTAAAAAGATATTGTAAGCTGTGATCCAGGAAGCTAGATCAAAGATCTTCGTGTAAAGCGGCTTTATTTTATATCACGAAGGTTATATACTGGTTTGGCAAACCAGCCTATTTTATGGTAAACGGTCACTGTAGCTTGTTTCTAGAAACCTAAACCTTTGACTCCAAAGGGAGTTTAATTATGTCCAAGGGTAAATACAGACAGTATCTGCTTTGTTCTAAATCAGTTAAAAAAATTAAAAAAAAAATAGAATTGTTTTAAATAATATATTTAACATTAAACAATAAAAAAAACATTAATATGTCATTTACAACAACGAATTACTCATGAATCTTTCTCTTTCTGGTACCTTTTGCAATTTAAACAACATTATAATACACTCACAACTTAGATTATATAGAAAGAGCATCGAGTCTCAAAAACGGGTCAATTTTTTTTGCCGGATCCCTGAGATCCTGTTGATGTGAACGACCAAAGATACGTCGCGAACCCCTTTAGATAACCTAGGTATCTCTCGTACCGGATAGTAAAATTGTATATTATATACATAGTCGCAGAACACACAATATGATATTATAATTTACTAACAACTAGGCTTATGCCCAAAAAAAGTTTGCAGATTTTATCGCAGTGAGGAAGAAACGCCGCAGCACTTAATTTGTGGCTGTAAAAAACATCGTTACAAAAACATCTTAAAATTCCTATCACTGATAGGAATTAGCAGTCAAAAAAGGGCGTCCACAAAATATCATGGAAAGGTCGCAATGTCACAAGTTCTTCTGCCTAAAAATGTCCGTCTCTTAATGATATTAAACAATTAATAAAAATAATAAGAAATAAAGAAATATTAAGCAATATAAAGAAATATTTATACTAAATTCCCAACTTGAAAAAAAGTGACAACACAATGTAGGTTTGTATTTAGTTTTAATTTTTATAAATAAGAGGGTAATTTTAAATTTAAATAGATTAAAGTTAACACTATAGATTTAGTCTATGATAGTTCATAAAACAGTAATTTTGCTAAATTATTAAATACAAATGGCGGTGTAGGTCCCGGCATAGAATGGGCCACCCCTTTCTTTCACGTAGGTGTCGTAAGAGGCGACTAAGGGAGAGCGAGGGATGGGCAGCAGCGTCCCTCTTAAAACATCTCTAAAGCATAACTGCAGTTGTCAATGAGCCTGTCAAGCGTGGCAAAAACCCCCAAGGGGGAGGCTTATGTTCAGCAGTGGACAGTCAAAGGCTTATATGATGATGATGATGATGATTAGGTTAAGAGATAAGTTTAAGAGTAATGGTGTCCCAGAATTGTGCCCGATGTGTATTAAGATGTTAGAGAGATTTAAGGATTTGCATAGTAATACATTATGTATAAACAAGAATTAAACCAAACACCTAATACAAATATAACGATAAAATATATCCAACTATTAAAAATATAGAAAAAAAAACAAAAACACGCATATTACCCATCTGTACAGTACACTTTAGTCTGTCTGTTTATAGTGATTGGTTAAGCCGTTACCAAACTCACTTTCACATTAATTGCAACTGCTTATCCTAAAGTACAGGATTTATCTATTTAGGGAGCAGAGTTTTACCTATATTTAAAATGTAACATTTATTTTGAAATAAATTATTATAATTAAAAAAAAAATTACGTTATTTAATAGTACATTAGTTACGTTCACGTGAATTTACTGGGTACGGACGAATAACACCTGAGTCCTCAGGAATGGCAACGCATGGGGGGTATCATGTGCGAAACAGTATACTCTGTTATGTCCATGATACTACTTATGTCAATAGGCGACGGTTACCACTTTCCATCAGGTGGGCCGTCAGCTTGTTTGCCATTCTAAGTTGAATAAAAAAAAAAAGAACGTTTATAATATTATATTATAATATATTATTTATAATAGTAAGGATTTTGTAAAGTTCATGACGCTGCTCTTGATATGTAGTTGACGAGTACCACTTTCTATCAGTTTGTCTGTTAATCCAAATATATGTATATATATATATATATATATATATATATATATATATTTGGTTATTTAAGAATTATTAACTTTAAATTAATAAATAAATATAAAAATAAATAAATAAAAAACCTCATTCACATATCACAATATAAAAGTATATATAAATATAAAAGATAATATAACATTTACAGACACGTATTTTCTCTCTGGTTGTAACAAGGTTGTTAACTGCCTGGTAGCGGGGAGCAATGGATTGTTAGTAATGGGGTCTAACTGACCTATTGCTAGCAATACACTATCAGGTCGACCTTCACACGGTTCCCCCTGGAAACAGTCGTGGGTATTTTTAGTAGAATTCGTCACGATGGGCCATCTGATATGTTTTCATCGTTACCTATTATCTTTCACTGGTGCTCTGTCAGCGTATACCGATAGCGCAGGCGAGGTTACCATTCCATTATCACCCATTTTTTTTTATGGGTGATAATGGAATGGTAACCCCACCCGAGCTATCGGTATACACCGGCGGGGCACCAGTGAAAGATGATAGGTGAGGATGAAGCAGGCCAGTTAGCCTATCGTGACGAATTCAACAAGAATTGTTCACGATGTTTTCCAGGGGGAACCACGTAGAGGTCGACCTGATAGGGCATATTGCTAGCAATCGGGCTGTCAAACTTCATTGCTAACAACCCCTTTCCCCCCATTATCACCCATTAAAAAATATGCTTGATACCTGAATACATATACCGTCTTAGATTTACATTAGCTCTAGTATGGACAGATTGCTCGCGTAATGGTCAATAGCTTATTACTATTCAGGCTATATTAGTGACACCAACTAATTAATTAAACTAACAGAGAATGTTTGGACTTCATATGACCTTTCCAGCTACATTTCTGGACAAACGCTTGCCCGCAATATTCACATTTGAATCGTCTATCATTATTATGTATACGCATATGTTCCGCTAGAGTGGTCTTCCTACCGTACGATTTTAAACACAGATCACACTGAAAATGTCTCTCGCCCGTATGCTTAAGCATATGGTGCGTCAGCTCGGACGATTTGAAGAACTTCATGTCGCACTCCGTGCAATGGTGTCGGCGCTCCATCAAATGATCCCGTTTCGTGTGTACAGTAAACGCTCTGCGATCAGAGAACACTTTGTCACACGCCTGACATTTCAATTCCACCGGCTTGATGCCGTGCACCTCGAGCAAGTGCCGCTGTTTCCGTCTGTAGCAAAGGAAAGCCTCATTGCAAATTCCACATTTATTTCTCCCGCTGGGTTGCACGTGGCACTTCTCGTGCGCTTTCCTCTTCTGCAACGTATCGTACGTCTTGGTGCAGACACCGCAGCTGAAGACACCGGACTTATGGATCTGCTTGTGAATTTGTAGCCGCCTCTCGTTCACGAAGCCCGTATCACAAATGGGGCACACGAAATTTCTATAGTGGCTATTCATGTGTTCGAGAAGTGCTTTGAATTTCGCAAAATTGTTCAGACAAATATAGCATCTTAACGTTTCGTTTTCGAATTTGAATGGCAGTATTTGATTTTTAATATCAAAGTGCACTCCCTTCCCATGTTCTGAATGTAGATGATCCATTAAATCCTCGTACGAACTAGCAGGTTTACCGCACATTTTACAATGTAAATTTGTAATGTCTAATTTCACAAAGAACTCGGACAGACACTTTCGTTTCATGAAGCTAGTAGTGGCTACATCGGCATGATCGTTTATTGTGTGCGTTTTAAGTTGTTCAGGCTTAATAAATATCTCATTACAGTAGCTGCATCCATAGCCGATACCATCATGATTGCGAATGGGCGTCGCATTTGAACACTTTAGAATTTCGGACAAATTAAAAATATGCTTGTCCAATTCTTCTCGTTTCATCGTAACAGCATTTTTATTGGTTAAATTTACAGCTTTTCTATTTTTATTCAATACTAAATTGTTCATATCGAATTTCCCTTTTATTCTTATAGCAACACTACCTGGTAATTCTCTTTTGGTGTTACACGAGGGCGGACTACCTACAAAGAAAAAGATAGGCTTAGTTTTTGAGATTGTGACAACAAACACTTATGTACTATTTTTCATTGACACTTAAACTTTTCTTACATGTTCGAATTGCTTGTATAATATTTCCATTAAATAATATTTAATATATAATAATAATATTTTCCTCCACGATTTCAATTAACAGTCTAAGCACGATGAATAGAAAAGATTTTTTTTTAAAACACAGGCGGCAAACGAGCATGCGGCTCACCTGATGGTAAGTGACCACCGCTGCCCATGGTCACCCACAACACCTACGGCATTGCAGGTGTGCTGCGGGCCTTTTAAAAAGGAATATGCTCTTTTCTTGAAGGTTATGTTGTCGTATCGGTTCGGAAATACTGCTGCTGGAAGTTGATTCCAAAGAGTGGTTGTGCGTGGGAGAAAGTGCCTTGAAAAACGCACGGTGGAGGACCGCCACTCGTCCAAATGGTTGGCACAATTTAGGTTGGGTGAAAAGGAGACGAGACTAAATGATGATGCACTCTTTGGATTCTATACCATACAATCACCATGAAAATTAACTTAGCAATTTTATACAGATGGAAAATATTTTCTAGGTAAACTCACCAACTACGCTGCAGCATTCCAACCTCTACTGTTTAATTAATTAAAAACAAATTGACGGTAACTCAGAACAGTAATATTTAGTGTAATTAATGTATTTAAATAGATAGATAGATACCATTTATTGTTTCCTCCGTAAGATTACAATAGTAAACTTATTATAGATACAAACAATTACAAGAAAATATTAGACTAAGAAAACAATGGGCGGCCTTATCGCTAAGAGCGATCTCTTCCAGGCAACCTTTGGACGAAGAAAATTAATTTAAACAGTTTGACTGGAGGCACGAAACTTCATTTTTTAAATACATATACAGATATGCATACGTACAATAATATGAATATATAAATGTATACTTTAAGTTACTAATAAATACTTAAATAAAGTATTTAGTTTAGTAATATTTGTGACGGAGAATAGGCTAGAACATGGGTAACATTAGAATCGCTTTGATACTACAGGGCTGTGCTAGACCCAAGTTTAAGGTAGGGCAAAAGAACTTTTTAGTAAGGCTAAAGCCATAATTAAGTGACTTTGAAAAAGCGAATCTCTAATTTTCTTGGGACTTTCATTTTAAGGGCATTGGGATTTTTAAGGTAGGGCATGGACCCTCAATGTTCTACCTTAAAAAGTCATCTTAAGTCATCGTGAGAACGCCAAATACAATGCAGAAGAAAATTACGCGATCTTCCAATTTTGAATTATACTTGCCAACAAACTGCAATGTAATTCGCATTATATTGCAACTGTTCATTATAATCGATAACGATTCAAAATCGTTTGTTTTAAAAAAGCCTGGCCCTCTAGACAAGTGGCAAGCGAATTCGTCGATAGAATCGACATCGCTAGCGAGTCCGTGAGTAGGAATGAGTCATCCGGCGTTGCTAACTCATTCTATCTCACGGACGCGCTAGCAATGTCGATTCCATTGACGAATTCGCTTGCCTCTAGACAAGTGGCAAGCGAATTCGTCGATGGGATCGATATTGCTAGCGAGTCCGTGAGTTGGAATGAGTCATCCGGCGTTACTATCCCATTCTCTCATCATTATATTAAAATATTTGACTACATTATAAACATATTTTACGACATATTTCAACATAATCAGATCTCAGACAGAACTCGAAAAATAAATTATTGGAATATTGAATGGAAAGACATGTTTATTTAATCATTAACCAAAGAAAATATGGTATAAAAGGCGGAGTTAGGAGCATTCTCTATCAGTCAACGGTTGAGAAAAACCACTCACCAGGGGGAGACTAACATACATAAGTCGTTTGCTTGAGCACCTCTGTCCCATTCGTGTTTCTACCGTGAAGCAGTTGTGTTTGCATAGCTGTGTTTCGGTTTGAAGGGTGGGATATGGCAGTGAATTTACTGGGTATAGAAGAATAACACCTGAGTTTCATGGCAACGCATGGGGGGTATCATGGGCGAAACACTATACTAGGTTATGTCCATACTATTGTTCATGTCTATAGGCGACGGTTACCACTTTCCATCAGGTGGCCCGTCAGCTTGTTTGTCATTCTAAGTCACATAAAAAAAAAATTGTCAGTATAGTATTTTTGAACTGTAAATCACTTCGTTGTTTAGATAGAAAAATAAATATAAGAATGTATAATATAAACAAACTCTTAAAGGTTAAATCGACTTCGTAATCTACTTAGAATCACGCGTGGATTTCAAAAGTACTAAATCAATGAAATTAACTACCTTTAGATAGCATTTATATGCTACATATACCGATTTTAAAGACGTTTCGGAACACAATTTTTTTTTTTATTTAATTATCATACATAAATACATTAAAAAAATTGGATTTTTAGTACCACTTAAACCTCTTGGGCTTGTGTGTGGCTTGTGAAAACGGAATTCATTATCATACAGAGGTATTTGCGTGATGCCAGTACAAACAATATTCTGACAGCCAAATTTCACTTCATTTCAAACATGCACAGAGACAAAATCTCTAAACATTTTTTTATTAGCATCTATTAGTTCGATTAAGATCTAGATACAGACTTCGTCTAGTTAAAATTTCAATATTTTAGTAAGAATAATAAGATTATTGTGATTCGTAGTGTGTAACACGTAATGCAGCCGTGAACCGCGCTCATGAATATGGACTCCTTCGTAGGCAAGCTCGGAGATAATGGCGAAACTATTATTGAGTAGTGGCCTATTTGGATCATTGCGATTCAAATAGGAAAATAACATATTTATATATTTTGTTTTATTTTTATAAATATGTAACTTATTTGACTGTGTAAATTTAACTGTAAAAAATTACGTGTGTATATTTTTCAGCCGTTAACTGTCCACTGCTGAACATAAGTGTTCCTCATAAGGGGAGTTTTGGCAGTGGTTGCCACGCTTGGCAACCGCGGTTAGGCTTTTAGAGATGTTGTAAGAAGGACGTTGCTGCCCATCCCTCGCTCCCTTTGTCCCTTTGTCGCCTTTTACGTCCACGGGAATAAAAGGGATGGCCCGTTCTATGCCGGAGCACACACAGCGAACACATGTGCAATAGACGACTTAAGTCTTTATCTATCTATCCGTCTATCTAATAGTGAGTAATAATAATAAAAACACAGGTATATATTTAATTTAATCAATAAATTATCGCAAATTCAATATAACAGATACGAAAGATTCACTTCACCAAATCCTGGTGTTTACTTCGTATATGAGCTTTCCAACTACACTTCTGCACAAACGCCTGTCCACAGTAATCGCATTTGAATCTTCTATCGTTATTGTGTATCCGCATATGTTCCCTCAAAGTGGTCTTTCTTCCATACGACTTCAAACAGACCCCACATTGAAACTTCTTTTCGCCTGTATGCTTCAACATGTGTCTTTTTAATCCCGAGGAACCGTAAAACTGTTTGTCGCAATAATCACAACTACGCCGTTTCTCCATCAAATGTGTATAATTTATATGAGCTTTCATAGCCTTCTTGCTTGCAAATTCTTTATCGCATGCCCGGCATTTAACTGTCGGATTAGGAACACCGTGTGCTTCAGTCAAATGGACCTCTTTTAAACGATAGTCTTTGAAGACCTCATTGCAATAACCACATCGGTAAAACTTGCCAGTATGTGCATTTCTCACATGAGAAACCTTCTTGGTGAGACTGTTGAACCCTTTCTCACAATATTTACAAGTGAAGACACCCGTTTTGTGATTATGGGAATGGCGAGATAGGGCAGAGCGGTTCACAAAACCGGCAAAACATATGTTACAAACGTAATTACTGTAATGCGAATGCATATGACCGATCAAAATCTTGAATTTTTCAAAGAGAGCTAAACAAATGCAACACTGCAACACATCCCCATTAAACTTGAATGGGATGATATGATTGTTTATATTTGTATGTATATGTATTTTATGATCATCAATAAGATGTTTCTTGAAAGATTCCAACGAATCAATACTTTTATTGCATAATTTGCAACGCAGTCCGGTTATATCTAACTTTGGGATGTATTCGGAAATGCCACGTCTTTGAGCAAAGCCGAGGTGATATTCGCCATCGTGCGTCTCTAGTGTGTGTATTTTTAAATCGGCTGGATCGGGAAACTGGGCTGAACAATAATTGCACATATAGCCGATACCAGCTCGTCCCCTAATCAATGTGGCATTAGAATTCTTCAATATCTCAAATAAGTTCTGGCGATGCTTCTCTAGCTCTTTAAGCGCCTTTTGGGATTTATATTTTACATCCTCCATTTTAACTAATGCGGTACCTTTAACATCAGGTGTGGTCGCTGTACAGCGGTCACCTATAAAGAAAATAACAATTACTCAGTAGAATCTACTATAAGGCGTGAGGCTGTTTAATTCTGGGGTCTTATTCTATGAAGTACTTGCAGCAGAAACTAAAACTGAGTGGTACTTTATGCTTGAAAGCAATATACGAGTAATCAACAATTTCACTTTTACTGTATGTTCCTGTAACAGGAGTTCTTCGAAAACTTCTGTTGAACTGTTAATGACAAATTTGTAATTACGGCTCGGCTTGTTCGAGCCGGCGCTTCATTTTTTATTATTATTCTATCGTCCACTTTTGTGTTTCTAGTACTGTGCCATCTTGTTTTTACTTGGACAGTTATAACGCCAGCTAGAACATTACTGTTAATATATATATTAAAATAAACGCACTTATCAACTATTATGCGAATTTATTCTAAAATAAATTCCATTGTGTTCACGACGAGACATGAACTAACACTAGAAGTATTTAATCTCACGACATATGTCCCAAAAAAATTGAAGACATTTAAGCTTCCAAAGTCTCAAAAGATCCATATTTCATAATATTAACGTTGTAATAGTTGTTACTATTTCTATGATTTATGTAAAAGTGGTACGCATTTTCAGGTATTAAGTATTTTTAGACCGCCATTGTCATAAACGAAGATTACTACCGTGACTTACTGGATAACGAATACATGCCCTCCACAACACAGAGCAATTGAGGACAAAATAGAAGTTTCGCTGGGATCATTTTTACTATCACATAAATAAATAAAAATACGTCTTCACGCTTCAGTTTATTCAACGGATTCCCATACATTCTATGTAATAAACATAAATAATTCACATCACTAAGTAATACAGAGATCATCCTGAGATAATTTATAATTAGTCATCATCTTTCTCGTGGGTCGAACTATGGCGGAATAGACCGCTGCGGTTCACGAAACCAGCGCCGCAGAAATTACAAACGTAATTCCTGTAATGGGAATGCATATGCTCAAGAAGTATCTTGAATTTATCGAATACGGCGGAACAGATACAGCACTTCAATTCTTCGCCGTGGAACTTGAATGGTAGGATATGATTATTGATATCTGTAAATATATGTAGGCCGTGAACATCAGATAGATGTTCTTTAAAACATTCCAACGTTTCTACGTTTGAATTGCATAATTTGCAACACAGGTCGGTTATGTCCAATTTCGCAAGGTATTCGGCTATCCCTTTTCTTTGAGCAACTCCTAGATGATATTCGCCATCGTGTTCTTGGAGTGTGTGCGCTTTCAGATCTGCTGCATCTGGGTATTTTGCAGGACAATAGCTGCATATATACGCGTTCCCAGCTCGACATCTGAGCAGCGATGCGTTTGAATTCTTCAATATCTCGGTTAGATTCGAGTGGTGCTTCTCCATTAACTCTTTGTGTACGGCTCGAGACATTTTCGTGTATGATTTGAGGTTAACGTATTCCATTTCCTCGTACGTGTCACCTGTGCCTTCAGACACGATGGCTTTACGGCGTTTCCCTACAAAGAAAACAGAAAACTTTCAGTATTGCAAATCACAAACGACGTATCTACATTCACAGCTATTTACGTTTGAGAAGGCATCTTAAAATAAGTGTCCATAAAAATCACCAGTAAATTTTTATTTTTATTAATTAACCTGTAAGAGATGAGGTATTCGGTGAATTAACTTCTCTTTATTTAAACTGATAATTATTTGCGAATCGGAATTTAATAATAAGCTTAGTTTTTTTAATGGCACATATTTAGTATTTATCTTACTAATATATTAAAATTGTAACTAGACGATGACTTTATGTGAAAAATATTTAAGTAAATTTGACGTAAAGAGTTTTAATAGTAATAGCAATCAAAACAATTTTTTTCTATTTTTTCTGTCTATCTTCATCGGCTTCTTACAAAAGCTACTTCAGCAAATTAAACGCGGTTTTCACAATCGTATTCCTGAAGATCAGATTGAAAAAAATGATATGTTTTTATCTTGATGCGACATCTAGAAGTGGAGGCACTACCCTAAGCACCAGCACCAGCGTCAAAACATGTTTCCTACTAAGAATTCACCTACTGACACGAAGAATACTACAGACGTCCCAGAACTGTGCTGCCACGGCATCTCTTATGCGTTACCATTGTCGAGAACCAAGGCTTCCAAAGTCATCTCATGAGTATATGATTATTACTTTGACAGACATTTCCAATGTTCCAAGCATTATATTGATAGGAGTTCAGACATTTTAATTATAGGATGAAATGCTTATATACTGAAAATGATTTTGGAAAGAATACAGTTCAGTAACATTTGGATAGGTTTATATTAATATAAAATTATTTACAAGTAAAATTTTATATATACATTTTAAAACAGAATATAAGAACAAGATTAAAGTTTATTTTTAAAATAACATGATATAATAAATTTACAGTATATATACAATTAATAATGAAGAATATATCACAATATATTTATAATCTCTAAATAGTTTCCCTGCTTACTTTAGAAGTAGAAGAGTTAGAAGGAACAAAATCAAAATCCTAATAAATCACTTGACGGATTTAGACATGAGTTTTACTATCATATTTGTATGCACAGTACATCCCAATTAAACTTTTGTATAATCAGATTTTGAAGAAGTGAAAAACTGTAGAAAGAAGAAAGAGAAATATTTTTATTCAAGTACACTTAGAAGTATTTTTGAATAGTTGATTATTCGCCGAATATATACGTATTACACTATATCCAAAGAAAACTGACGTTAGGCAAGTGGCCGGTGGCAAAACTTTTTTTTAAAAGCCAAAATCTTGGATAAAATGGATAAAAACATATTACGCCGATGGCAAAGTTCATATAATTGAAATAAGTGAAAAATATGTTACACAAGATCTCCATGTTTAGAACGCACATGCCCCTTCCAACTACACTTTTGTACAAACGTTAAGCCGCAATGTTCGCATTTAAATCTACGGTCGTTTATGTGGATACGCATATGCTCGTTCAATGTCTTCTTTCTACCATATGACTTATGGCACACATTACATTGGAAGCGCCTCTCCCCTGTATGTTTCACTAGATGATCACGTAACTCGCTGCTCGAGAAAAAAGTCATTTCACACTGTGAACACTTATGAGGTCTCTCCATCAAATGATCTCTCTTTGTATGGATCGTGAAGGCGGTTTTGTTAACAAAACTTTTATCACAAGCTTGGCATTTGAGAGCTAGTAGACGCACACCGTGCACTTTGGCTATATGGTCGTCTTTCTTCCTGTAGTCTTTAAACTTTTCGTTGCAGTATCCACATTTGTTCAGCATATTCGATGTTATGTGAACAGACTTTTCATGGGACTTTTTCTTGCGTCTGGTATCGAATATTTTCGGACAATAATCGCATTTGAACGTTCCGAGTTTATGGGTCTCCTTGTGACTAAGCAGTATGTGGCGATTCACAAAACCAGCGTCGCAAACGTCGCAAACAAAATTTCTGTAATGAACATTCATATGTTCTTGAAGAGCTTTGAATTTGTTGAACATTCCTCTACAGATAATGCAGCGTAAATACTCGTCGTCAAACTTGAAGGGCATTATATGGTTTCTTATATCTGTGTATATTTTCTTTTCATGGACATTAATTAGATGGGCGGTGAGTTGCTCCAATGACTCTATGTTTGTTTCGCATAACTTGCATTTTAGCTGCGTAATATCAAGTTTGACTAGAAAGGAGAACATCATTTTCTCCCTCATAAACTTAAGTTTTGTTTTGTCGTCGTGCGACTCTAATGTGTGGTTTTTCAAATCCGCAGGGTTCGGGTATTGATCAGCGCAGAAACAACACGCGTACCCAATACCACCGCGGCACCTTATCGGTGTCGCATTGGAATATTGCAAGATCATTCTGATATTCGCACGCTGTTTGTCCAACTCGGTCATTTTCAGTTCGAACTCCCAATGCTTTTTTGTTTTCCTTGTACCACTCTTAATATCGTTTGGAGATTTGCTCTTACCAACGACATTACGTCGGTCACCTACAAAGAAAAGTAAATATTATTGTATTTACTTACTCCGGAGTATTTTAGATATTAGAATTAACTATAATACTGACTAGTCAAAATTTCTTCACTCTTATTTTTTTTTTTTATTTAAATCTTCAGAATATATTGCCATTTCTTGAACAGAGATTAAATATAAAGATTATAAACTTGTGTTAGTAAGAAAACTCATTATCCGTACATACCTACATAACACAACTAATAAATCAGTTAATTGAAACTTAAATAATTTTTTTATTTAATGTGATAATACTAGTACGTATTGCGACTTTATCAATGTTATATAGTTCTAATATTAACCTTGTATAGTTCTAATCATGCGGTTGTTAACCTACCTGCCAAGCGTGGCAAATACTGGCAAAACCCCTTTTATGGGTAAAACCTATGACCGCTGATATAATGATGATATCTATTAGTAAAACGTGTAATTCAAAATTACAAAATACCCAATAAAAATCACAAGTCTCGGTTCTAGCGCCATCTAGTATTTCGTGTCCAATTTTGTTTAGTGACCAACTTTAAGTACACATTTAATAGAATAATGAATATTTCGGTTCGCTATCAAAGCACTTTTAATAATAACCAATCGAAAATATCGAGAATACTTAATTAAATTTACCTCAAAAGGATGCTAAACGTAATCATTAGTATCGCCAAGTTATTGTAAAATTTCTTTTCAAAGAAAATTACATCGACGTATTTGCACCGTTTATGTTTGTGCCGCCGAGGTCCTTGTGCATGACTAGATTTCAATTTTAAGAATGAAGTCATTTGGAGTGATTTTTTTTTTGTTAATTATACTGTACTCATATTTATGTAATGTCTCAAATTAAGAGACATAGATATACTAGTTTTATTTTGAACAATCAATATATGGGCAACAAAACCAATTTGGATTTAGCCATTGTAAAGAATACTACTTCTAATAATAACGATAAATATGCAAAACACAAATTAACAATTTTATTTGCATCATTCCTCGTAAAAGAAACTACAAAATAAAAACATACCAATATGGAAAGTTTTAAAAAGGGCAACAAAAGTTAAAACAACAATTCTTAGAATTTTTTACTACCACATTAGATGCAGTTTTCAAAGTTGTATTTCTGAAGGTCTATCTTAAAATTAGCAGGTCTACTTTTGAATCTAATATCGATTTTAAACCAATATTATACCCAATTAATCAATATATCAAATAAATCAATGTACCAAAACAACAATTAGGGATTAGGTTGTAATTAGGATCAGTTTACAATAGTATATATTGGTAAATTACACTAATATGCATCGATCAGAACAATATGGAACCATTGTCGCTAGTGTTGCAATATAAGAGTGCTAAGTCTCAATGTCAAAATCGGGGGGAAAGGGATTGTTAGTAATGGGGTCAAATAGCCTTATTACTAGCAATATACCCTATCAGGTCGACCTCCACGTGGTTCCCCCTGGAAACCATCGTGACTAATTCTAGTTTAATTCGTCAGGATGGGCTAACTGACCTACTTTCATCTACATCTGTCATCCCTCACTGGTGCCCCGCCAGTGTATACCGATAGCGCAGACGGGGTTACCATACCATTATCACCAATTAAAAAAAAAAATATGTCAAAATCGATTTATCGGAATTTATTTCAAGATTAATCCTACTGATATAGTTTTATTTGGAAACACTAATTAGAGGTGTTATACTTCTTTGGTTTCCTATATTTGAAATCCACGCGTACGAAGTAAGGAGCAAAAAGTTAAGATTTGTTATGAACATGTTATTTCAGAGATTTTCATTGTGTTTAGACAGTAAATGTCCTATTAGAGCTCTTATAAATGAATGCTAGGTCACAATGGCCGTAGGTTAGGGCCAGAGAGGAACTTTTGAGAACTCTCAACGAAGACCCATGGGGGCGCCCCTATAGGAAAGTCAGGAGCAAGCTCTGCTCCGGGGCACCACCTGCGGCTGAGGGTCTCCAGCCACAGCAACTGGAGGAGGTGCTAACCGGTCTGTTTCCGGAACAACCGGAATATCAGCCTCCTCCTATGGTGCCGCGGAACCGTAGACAGGAAGAGGGCGGCGGCACCGAACACGCTGGGGCCCCGCCGATCACTTCAGTGGAGTTCTCACTGGCCGTGGACAAGCTCCGGGGGAAGAGTACCGCCCCCGGGCCAGATGGTGTCCCTGGCCGGGTCCTGGTCTTGGCCCTGGATGTCCTTGGGGACCGACTCCGGCGTCTTTTCGACGCTTGCTTGGAGTCGGGACGATTTCCCAGAAAGTGGAAGACGGGCAGGGTTGTCCTGCTCTCGAAGGAGGGTCGCTCTGCGAACACCCCTCTGCCCTCGCTGTTTCGCCCGATCGTGCTGCTGGATGAGGTCGGTAAGCTCTTTGAGCGGGTAATAGTACGCCGACTCGTCCAACACTTGACCCAGGATGGCCCTGATTTGTCCCCAAACCAATACGGTTTCCGGAAGGGTCGCTCGACCATAGACGCGCTTGCGCGTGTTCGCACCCTCTCGGAAGAGGTGGTTTCCCGGGGCGGGGTGTTGTTGGCTGTCTCTCTGGACATCAAGAATGCCTTTAACACCCTGCCCTTTGCCGTCATCAAGGAGGCACTCGAATATCATAAAGTGCCTCCCTACCTTCGGGATATAATCGGGGCCTATCTCGAAGACCGGGAAATTTTCTGTGTCGGGCGAAACGGTATGATAGTACAGAGGGACGTACAACGCGGCGTTCCGCAGGGTGCGGTCTTGGGACCGGCCTTGTGGAACGTCGGCTATGATTGGATTCTGCGGGGCGCACTCCTCGCGGGCACAAGTGTCGTCTGCTATGCTGACGACACATTGGCTACTGCCCGGGGACGGGACTTCATGCAGGCTGTCCGTCGTGCCACAGCGAGCGTGGCACTAGTTGTCGGTCGTATACGTCGGTTAGGGCTCAAGGTGGTGCTCGAAAAGTCGGAGGCAATTTGTTTTCATGGCCCCCGGCGAGCGCCACCCCCAGGAGTCTACATGATGGTCAGTGGACACAGAATCGAGGTCAAGTCTCACATGCGTTACCTGGGGCTTGACCTCGACAGCAGGTGGAACTTCCGAACTCATTTCAGAAATCTGGCCCCCCGCCTTATGGCGGCGGCTGGTGCACTCAGCTGGCTGCTGCCTAATCTGGGGGGCCCAGGAGATAGCTGTCGCCGCCTATACATGGGGGTAGTGCAATCCATGGCCCTATATGGGGCTCCCATCTGGGCGGGAGCCTTAAATAGGATGAATGTGACCTGCCTCAACAGGCCACAGAGGGCCATGGCCATTCGAGTCATTAGGGGATATCGTACCATCTCCCGCGAGGCGGCATGTGTGCTGGCAGGGTCCCCGCCCTGGGACCTAGAGGCAGAAGCTCGCGCGTCGATCTACAAATGGCGCGCGGAGCGACGTTCCCGGGGCGAGTGCCCCACCGAGAGGGAAATGAGTTTACGGAAGTCCTGCGCTCGGCGGATCCTTCTGGAGAAGTGGAATGAGAGGCTGGCCGACCCAGGGGCCGGCCTGAGGACCGTCGAGGCTGTCCGCCCAGTGCTGAAACACTGGTTGAGCGGGCGGCGCAAAGGTCCACTGACCTTTCGGCTGACACAGATACTGACCGGTCACGGTTGTTTCGGTCAGTACCTGTGTCAGATTGCGAGAAGAGAGCCGACAACTGAGTGCCATGAGTGTGGTTGCGACCGGGACACGGCACAACATGTTCTAGAGGAATGCCCAGCGTTCAGTGCAGAGCGCCGCGTCCTGGTTGCGGAAGTGGGGGGTGACCTCTCGCTGCCGAATATAGTTCGGAGGATGGTCAGTAGCGAGAGGTCGTGAAATGTAATACTCACCTTCTGTGAAGCGGTAATGTCGCAGAAGGAGGCGGCCGAGCGAGAGCGGGAGAGTGCCCCCACCGCTCCCGTCATGCGCCGCCGCCGAGCCAGACGAAGGAGAAGGGGCGCGCCCAACTCTGCCTCTTCCTTCCCCCCCATTAGGGTCGAGGTGTTGCCTTGAGGAGGCACACCCTTCATATGACCCTAGGAGGTGCGCGCACGTATCCGTGCCCTCCTGTGATGGTAGGGTGGGAGGGACATTCCCCACCCTAACTAAGAGAGGAGGCCTGCCCTACAAAACCTACAGGGCGGGCCGTCGCGTTGGATACTCGGTAGTTGTACAAACGGGAACCCGGGATCCAACATAAGCGCCTCGAGGTACGTCGTGTGGTTTTTAGTGGGTACGAATCCCACACACCCCAGCTGCCCTCCCTTCGGCAGATGGGACGGTCTTTCCGAAGATTTTCCACACGGAAAAAAAAAAAAAAAAGGTCACAATGGCCGCACTTGAATCTACGGTCCTCAAAATGTATCCGTATATGCTCCTTCAGATGTTGTTTCCTCCCAAAACTTTTGAAGCACACTTAGCATTTAAATTCTTTAAGACCTGTGTGTTTCACTATATGTTCTCTGAGGGCTGACACAGTGTAAAATTCCATGTCACAACCCGTACACTTGTGCTGCCTTTCCATTAAATGGTACCTTCTTTTGTGGGAGTTCAAGACAGGCATTGACGGGAAGATTTTGCTGCACGCTTGGCATTCCATTGGAGGAGTACTGTGAACCGTCTTTAAATGGAGATTTTTTTTATGATAGTCTTTAAATTTCTCTTTACAATGCCCACATTTATACGGCAAAGCCAAATGGACGTTTCGTTCGTAAGACTGCTTCTTGCGAACTATATCACACACTTTCGTACAGTAGCCACAACTGAAAACTCCGGTTTTATGTATTCGGCTGTGACCAGTCAGACGTCTTCGATTAATGAACCCCGCACCACATGTATCGCAAGTATAATTCACGTAATGCATATGCATATGCTCCTGCAAAACCTTGAATTTGGAGTACACGTTACGGCACACAACACATTTGAGGATAACGTCATCAAATTTAAAGGGTAACATATAGTTTTTGATGTCTTTGAACATTTTTACATCGTGACTAAGTAGATGGTCGATTAGACAATCTAGATTAGTAAAATCCGCATGACAGATTTCGCATTTTAGCGAAGTAATATCGAGTTTCACTATAAACGAATACAATTCTCTTTATAAACTATTCTTTGGTCGCGTCATCGTGATCCTGTATATTATGGTTCTTTAATTCAGCAGGATCTTTGTATTGTTGATCACAGAAACAACACGAGTAACCAACGTCGTCCCACCGTCTTATAGGGGTAGCGTTTGAATATTTCAATAAATTTCTAATATTGTAACGTTGTTTAATAATCTCTTTGCAATCTGTAACTTCTGCATCTGGTTTATAAGGATCTTTATCTATAAAAACTATCCTACTTCCGATTTTAGTATTGATTGCTGCAGTTTCAACTGCAGCTCGTTGGTTACCTATAAAAAAAAGATTGCATACAAATCTCTGAAATTGCAAAATCATCTTTCATGTTTCTGTCTTTGCATTATATTTACAGTCATAATTTTTTTTTTTTTTTTTATTTGATTATTCTTGGAGAAGAGAATGTAATTTTTCTCGTGAATGTTTAATTATTTACATATGATTTGTATGAAAATAAAGCCTAAATTTCGTTTGAGATTTAGTTAACGCACATAAAGAGTACATGGACTCCAAGATTATTTATATTTAGTATGTAAGACTCTATTTGTTTAAACTGTTTTGAAATTTATTCCATTATTAATAAAAACGTCAAACCTCTCATAAACCTATTTTAGCTATTGAACTGTTTTGTCTCTTTCTTTTGTGCTAAATTCTCAGTTTGAATGAAAGTGACAAAATAGTGTAATTGTTGAAACAAGTTTGTATAGAGTTTAGTTTTTATGAAATATGCTCAAGAAGCAATAGTTGTTAATTGTAACAAATTGTTCAGTTTCATAAATGCTATATATCTTGGTACTACAGCAAATACAGTATATTTATAGTCGTGTAGGTCCCGGCATAGAATAGGCCACCCCTTCCCTTCCCGTGGATGTCGTAAGAGGCGACTAAGGGAGCTTATGGACGAGAAATCGGCAGTGGGCGTCCCTCTCTAAACAACACCAAAGGCCTAACTGCGTTTGCCAAACCGCCTCCCAAACGCGGCAACTATTGGCAAAACTCCCCTTATAGGAGAGGCTATGTACGAAACATAATGGTTGATGTAACAACAACATCGCGTCCATCAACCTAAAATACAACCAGTACAGGTAATTTTTAGATATTTTCTCTCTCTCTCTGGTAAAGACTTTTAGGAATATGAAAAAATAAAAAACAGAGTATAAATTATAAGAAATATAATTTAAATTAAGTTAAAAATTGTATATGATTAATATATTCTAATAGATATAATAATATCACGATATAGAGAACTAGATAATGTATTGAGACCAATAATTTCGACGTTTACGCGCTATTAAATACATAATACATACTTATGTATTTTGAGATTCTTTAGTAGGCAACGTAGCGCTCACTTCACTAAGTTTATGGCAACTAAAATATTTGATCATGAATTAAATTGGCATATTTTGGCCCATATTTGAACTTCATGTCTGACGATTCTTTTTCCTCTTCCTTTACGGTGAGGCTATTGTAATATTCCCAATTATCATTGAGCTAGCAATTGATTCCAAATTGGTGCCTCTGGAAATAAACGTGGTCAATTCCTGATGATCTCGTCATGATACCTGATCTTCATCTCCAACTATCATTCCCACCCTACCTGTGTACCAGCCCATTTTTATCCAATAAAAAGATTTCCACATGATCTTTATAATTCTCTGATGTTTATTGCGAGAGCAAATGTCTTATAGGGGCGGGAGGAGGGGGGAGTTACTGTTAGTAATGCAGATCTAACAGCTCCATTGCTAGCAATATACCCTATCAGGTTTATCTCCATACGTTTCCCCCTGGAAACCACCTTGGTGAATTCTTGTGGAATTCGTCACGATGGGCTCGATCTGCTTTTATTCTCATCGATCATCCCTTACTGGTGCCTCGCCAGCGTATACCGATAGCGCAGGCGGAATTTCATTTGAGCAAATTCTGCTAAGTAATCATGAAGTAATTTAATATCACTTAATCCCTTATTTGCAATGCAACTAAAATTCACACATTTAATTCGGTAGGCATTTTCTTTTGTACATTACTAAGCGTTTCTACAAAGACTGAGATTTCACTTCGGTATATTCTGTGCCAACTGTGTACTTTTAGATATCCCGTGATTCTTCTTCATGTGCTTGCCTTTACTGTTCTGTGTAGCATACGCCTTGCCGCACACATCGCACTTGTATTTCCTCTCGTTAGTATGCGTTGCCATGTAATGGCCGAGCATATGCCGTTTGATAAAGAACCCCATGCTGCAAACCGAGCATTCGTATGGCCGCTCTTTCAAATGAACCCCACGCATGTGCAGCATTAAATTCGATTTCAAATTAAACTTTTTCTCGCACATATCACATTTGATTCCTTCGACGTTGTGCACCTGCATCATATGCCTCGTCTTCTGATAATAGTTCTTGAATCTAGCCTTGCAAATCTGGCAGACGCTGTCACCGGCTATACCTTTGTGCACAGTATTGACATGCGCCTTCCGTTTAGACTCCGCCGCGAACACCTGTCCACAGTGCCTACACGGAAAACTGGATTTTTTCTTTCCATGTGTCGTTTCGTGCCTATTCAGTCGAAAGCTATTCACGAATCCCGCACCGCATATCGTGCAGATAAAGTTCCTGTAATGTATATTCATATGTTGCATCAAGAGTTTCATATTGTGGAATACTTCGTTGCATAAGCAACAGTTGATCTGTTGCTCGTTCGTTAACTTGAACGGTTGAAAGTAATCAGTTACGCCGAGGTAGTACTTCTTGTCGTGTTCCTTGACTAGATGCTCTGTTAAAAAATTCAGACTGTCCATGTTTTGGTCGCATATTGTGCATTTTAAATCTACTATATCTAGGAAGGCGACGAAGCTCGCCATACCAGAACCGGCTTTGTACGTCGGCTTTTCCCTAACGTGGTCGTTCTGCGTGTGATTCCTCAGGACATTCGCGTCAGGGAACGTTTGAAAACAATAGGCACAGATATATCCTGCATCATTCCTGTCCTTGAAAGGCGTCGCGTTAGAATACTTGAGTAGTGTTGTCAGGTTGTGCCACTGTTTCTGCATCTCTGGCACATGTTTCTCTCGGTACACTAGCTTATCTACTTTCTCACCCTCCTCCTTTATGGTGCATTTCCGTCTTTTCCCTCCAGTCTTACCTATAAAAGAAAAACAATCTTTCACACGCCGTTTAGTCTTCTTAATCATAAGAATTATTGGTATCACTGTTATATTGAGTGTTCCGATTAGATCAAATGTTTGGATAGGAACACAGGTATTGGAAAAATCGAAGCGTTTAATTGGTATAAAACTAAACTATTTCCGAAAGTAAACGCAGTTGATAAGCTCAACCAGTTTTAAGAGGTAAAATCGTCGTTTCATGTTAGCAAAGTCAGTTAATCATATTACGACAGGACAATTGGCAAATTCCCTCAAATTGTAGCTCAACTTGGAGAGGTGACCATATTTGGCTCGATACGTATAACGCCCTTTGGAATAATAGCTATCGTTGCCACTAATTTCACAAGAAATCTCATCCAGTATATATTTATCGTAATATTTGTGCTACACAATTACACTGAAGGATCTTAATAGTGGAGGGATGGGCAGCAGCGTCCCTTGTTAAAACATCACCAAAGCCTAACTGCGGTTACCAAGTCGCCCGCCCAAGCGTAACAATTATTAGCAAACCTCCTAATAGGGGGAAGGCTATGTAGTGGGTAGTAAACCGCTTAAATAACGATGATGATGATGATGATGATAAAACTATTACACTAATAGCCTGGTTGGTCAACAAGCTGTAATACCGTGTTATGGAGAACCAGACGACGAACATCTAGAGACACCCAGAGCTGGCCCTATCTCAAGACAAGTGGCAAGCGAACCCATTGATGGATACCTCATCGTTAGCCAGTCCATGAGTTGGAATGAGACATCGGACGTCGCTATCTCATTCTTTCTCATGGACCCGCTGACTATAACGATTTCATCGCTGGATTCACTTACCACTTATCTCGTGGGCCTGAGCTAATTTAGAAAAGTTCATTTCCTAAATTGCATCCCCGCTGAGATAGTAAACAAGAATACGGCCTACCTGATGATAAGCGGTTACTATAGCATATGAACACCTACAATACCAGGGGCATTATGGACGCATTGCCGACCCTGAAGAAACCTCTTTACCCGTTTTTTGAAGAACCCCATGCTGTAGTCTCTTGAAAAAACCTCGAGAGAGAGCTCATTAGACTACCGAGATTTGGAGTTCATTACGCAAAACAATTCCCAATTTGCAGCATCACAGAGGTAATTAAATAAATAATGATCATTAATTTTACAAAACAACTTTGTGTAAATGTTATATTTTATTATATAATTACAAATAAAATTACAATAATATAAAGTGTGTTCTAGATCTTAAAACATAATATAGCTGCAACTATAAAAGAAATCTCGTTTGATCAGACATTACAAAAATAACCCCATATAACATTTCGAGAACATCTAAAACCACTGTATTCGACATAATATATGCTTCTTCTAATCTACGATACTTGTAGACGATTTAGACCTTTATCTCTTCTACAAAAATATCTAAATTTAAAACGAAACTCTAAATATTAGACACTTTATCGTAATGCAGTCCCGTATCTGTTATTGTGTTGTCTAATGACCATTATTGATTATAAATCGATAGTTTAATCGATTAAAATCGAATCAATTGATTATATCGACTAAGGTGTTATAAATTAAATCGATAATGTCGATATGAAGATTTAAGACAAATAGTCTATAGGATAAAACGATAATAGTATAAATTGGTAATCCAATAATCGGTTACTTATTCGATTACGAATACTCATACGAATGTCCTTACTAATATTATAAATGTGAAAATGAGTTTTTTTAGTTCGTCACCCCACAACCGTTTTAGTGCCATTGATTTTTACTCATATCTACTTAAAAATGCCAAAGAAATCTTTGTCGTGTTGATGTCATTTACCCTTGTCTCTGAAAAAAACTGTATCTCCTCCAAAAATTATCCAATTTCAATAGGTTTTTTTTTTTTTAAACGAGCTAAACAACAACTGATTGTACCTGCGCTATGGTGCTCGTCAGCACTCAAACGGTTAAAATATCCGGTCACGCGGAAGACTTCGCGGATAAATGCCAGTATAAAATATTCGATATAATAATATTGCATCACTACCGATTACAAATCGATTAAATTGCTCAAATCTTCATATATTTCAAATAAATGTATTATCGATTTAATCGATCTATATTATCAATACACCAATCGATATTTCAGTGTTCATTCTTTAGCTTACCAAAGTGAGGCAACGTTGCAATCATCTGTCAATGTTGTGTCCCTCTGTAATGTCTCTGCGAGCAAATTAGAATCAAATAATACACTTTTTTGTCATCAATATCCGTGACAGATTAGTATAAATATTATTGCTCAATTGACATTTTAATTAAAGATATGAACGCTCTTAAATTATTCGAGTGAACACTATCGATTAATTAATAATCGATCATTAGTCAATACCAATCAGAGGGGACAGCGAATTCGTTATAATTTTGTACACAACTCGTCACTATCAAGACACACGACTCAGACAAAGTCCATCAACTTCTCCGCACGTTCTTTCTTCTTCGATTCGGCGGCAATCTCTTTCAACGTCATCTCTCTATTGTCTATTAAATGCTTGACGTCATCAAACTCTTTGAATATATCCAGGTCGTCCTGGTGAAGGCGCACGTGGCTTTTGAGGCTACATTTCTGCATGAACGTCTTTTTGCAAACCTCGCATTGGTATCTCTTCTCGTCGTCGTGCAAGCGCATATGGTCTTTCAAGGTTCTCGACCGCGAAAAGGTCTTACCGCATACATCACACGGGAACACCTCCCCGCCCGAATGCCTGGACAAATGGTCAGCTAGGCCCCGCTTCGAGAAGAACTTGGCGTTACATTTATCACATAAATAACTCCTCTGCTGCAGATGATGGTGCTTGATATGCCTGTTCAGCTCAAACTTTTTCTTATAAGTCTTGTTGCAGGCATTACATGGATACACGACAGGGGTCCCGTTGTGCACTTTGACCAAGTGCTCACTTCTGTCGTAGTAACTCACAAAGATTTCAGGACAATGCGGACATTTGTTCCTGAGCCAGCCGCCGGTGTGCACCCCCTTTTCGTGGTTACGTTTCTTGGTTAGGGACGTGTACGATTTATCGCAGTAGCCACAAGGGAAGATGCCTTGGGCGTGCGTCTTTCCGTGCTTCCTGAGAGCCGCTATAGTTATGTAACCGGCACCGCACTTCTTACAACAATAGTTCCTATAGTGACTGCTCATGTGGTGATATAAGTTCTTAAACGATATATGAACAACAGAACAGATCACACACGTGAAGTTTTGGCCGTTCTCCAAACGGAACGGCAGTATTATGTCTTTTATATGTTTGTGTATTGTTTTATTGTGTACTGTGATTAAATGTTCTTTTAAATCGGCAAGATCGTTCATTGCTACATCGCAAACGGTGCACCGGAGATTTGTAATATCAACTTTAATGGGGTTATAACTGAGTTTGTAATCTATCATGGTGTTTAATTTATCTTTCTCCGACTGCTGAGCTGTATGCGCTCTCAGATCGTCGATGTTTTGAAAGGATTTGGCGCAGTAGAGACAGGAGAAACCGCGTATCGTCTTATCTCTGAATGGGCTAGCGTTGGAATATTGTAGTATTGCCGTAAGGTTGACTCTGTGTTCTACACGCTCTGGTGTCGCACTTTCGTCGCCTTTCTTTTTTCTTTTTCTGCGCTTGGGCGCGTCGCCATCCGTTCCTATAACAAGAAACGATCACATCTCATTATCTTGCTCCATTCTATCTCTTCTTATCATTATGGTATAGTTAGGGCCGTTCTTTGCTTCGAGTGTTGGTTGGCGTTCAGTTTCTAATTTTTTTTCGTATTTCAATCAGTCACTGAGAAATTAGGAACGTTTAGATGACAAATTGTTGGAGAAAAACAAAGAAAAACCAAAGTAATTTCTTTATTTAAAAATAAGCATAATAATGGTACAACAATAATAAAATATACATAACATCGATTCAACCAAACACTAGATATAATTTAATCTTACAATAACTACGTTTTATTTATACACTTGATTACTCGGGCGTTTTGCATTAAAATCATTTCAGAATACATAAATAGAAATACTGGTCAGCAGCAATCAGTATACAGGATTAAAGATGCACACAATGCCTTACAAATAAAAAAAGAAGTTCGACCTATAGCAGACGCCTGATTCCATTAGATCCGCATTTTTTATTATTATTGAAAGACGGGCTTTTTCCAAAATAAACCTGTGACTCTGCGACCTTTCCATGATCTTTTGTTTTCGCCCTTTTTTGAAGTTCGCTACTAATTCCTATCAGTGATAGGAATTTTAAGGTGTTTCTTGTAGCGATGTTTTTTATCCTCTCAGGATACAGAGTGTGTTTTCCAAAGGAGATATATCGTTCATGTATGAGTGGGCTACAACCGCAAATTAGGAAATCCGCATAGTTTAAGTTATTTGTAAATCACAGATACATTTATAAATCTAAATCACTAGATAGTATAAAACAAAGTGGCTTCCCGCTGTCTGTCCCTATTTATGCTTAGATCTTTAAAACTACGCAACGGATTTTGATGCGGTTTATTTTAATAGATAGAGTGATTCAAGAGGAAGGTTTATATGTATAATACATGCATAATATAGTCGAGGAACACTGATAATTTTAGAGGTTTCTAATGTAATGCCGTAATGTAATGGGGGGCCGGCGGAGCTATTTAGTATCAACATTACAACCGGGCGAAGCCGGAGCGAGTCGCTAGTAATCCTTATAAAACACAAACTTTCGCGCTTATTTCATAAACCTTATGAAGTCACATATGTTTATGCGTGCAATACAGTAAGGAAATTGTTTGTTTATCAAGAAGATTATTAATTCATTGTTAATTCAACACTGCACGTACTTGGTGTCATGTGGCATGTTATGTGGTGTTAATGTGTCGAAATGGGAGGAAAGGATTGTTAGTAATGGCGATTAGCAACATTATTACTAACCATACACCCTATCAGGTCGACCTCCGCGCGGTTCTCCCTGGAAAACATCGCGATTGGTTCATTGTTGAATCTATCACGATGGACTAACTGACCTGCTTCATCTTCACTTATCATCTCTCACTGATACCCCGCTGGTATCTTTTTTTATAAAACTTAGAATGGCAAACAAGCTGACGGTTCACCTGATGGAAAGTGGTAACCGTCGCCTATAGACATGAGCAGTACCATGGACATAACAGTATACTGTCTCGCCCATGATACCCCCCATGCGTTGCCATTCCTGAGGACTCAAGTGTTATTCCTCTGTACCCTGTAAATTCACGCCATATCCCACCCTTCAAACCGAAACATAGCCATGCAAACACAACTGCTTCACGGTTGAAACACGAATGGGACAGAGGTACCCAAGCTATCGACTTTTGTACAAAGTCTCCCTCTAGTCTCACTATGCAACAACTTTACCAGCCCGCGTACTCACGAGTGGGCACACGACATGTTTTACTTGGGGACCGCTTGTACACCGGTGGGCATGATTTAAATACAATTTATATACAGTAGTCGATTCGCCGCTCCCCCTTTGTTAATTTGACAGAATTATTGTACACTAAAAAAAAATATATAAAAATTAATATACGTAATTAACTATAAAAAAATGGCGGTCCATATGTGTAAAATACGATTTTGCAATGCGGTCTTAAACGTGTTAAATAATCAGTCCGAAATATTGAAACATGTTTTTTTTTTTTATTTTTATAGACAGACTAGCTGACCCCGTAAACGTTGTTTTACCACTTATTGCGGAATATAAAAATCGCGCTTAAAAAACAGGGGTTGATCGTAAAAGGGTGAAAATTTGAAGTTGTATGTATTTTTCAATGATAAATCACATTTAAATAAAAATAAAAAAAATTGTCAAAAAAATAAAAAAAAAATTTTTAGTGGTGGGTCACCCTTATCATTGAGGGGTATAAAAAATAGATGTTGGCCGATTCTCAGACCTACCGAATATGCACACAAAATTTCATGAAAATCGGTAAAGCCGTTTCGCAGGAGTTTGGTAACAAACACCGTGACACGAGAATTTTATATATATTTGCGACTTTGCCACACTTCGGTAAACAATAGATGAACTCTCTAAGTGAAATATCGCTTGTGGAAGATATTATCAAATATACTGTAAAATTATAAAAAAAAACCCAAAATTGTATCAAATATATTTCATGATAAGATTATGCAACAAAACAGGTTTTTTTACGGTTTAATTTACAGCAAACTAACTTTTGACGCAATCAGACGAATTGGAATCGAATCAAAACTGAATCGAGTAGCCGTCAAATTGAAGATAACATTTCGACGAATTTGATAATTAAAATCGTATTGAATAGTCGTCAAATAGACGGTACCATTTCGACGAATTTACCAACCGCGAAATCGTATCGAATAATCGTCAAATTGATTTAATCGATCCAACATGATTTCGAGTATTCGGTGTAATCTTGATTCGATGCCAATGCCTAACACGTTCAAGTCAAGGCAGCAAATTACAATCGAGTATTTATTTTTTTTATTTACAACCTTATCACTGGCAAATTATTTTAAACAATAAACTTAATACTTGATCCGCGATAATAGAAACTCTTTAATCTCCTCGGGTCTTGCAACAAGAGACTTTAGAGAAACCAAACTTACCTTCCATCGCAATTAAACGTCACATCCTCAATTCCAGTCGTATGTCATGGCTGTTCCACTGAGCCATCATCGTACTCATCATGGTATCTCAAACTCTAATCACAGAAGGAGGATTCATCTTCATCTTTTACATTCCGTCCAGTTCATATTCTTTATACGAGATCACGTAAATGTTATTTGGCACATCGTGAAAATACTTCCTTTTGACTGCAAGACATTACATTCGATAGCCAAATATTTGGCCAGACATTGGTCGGTGAAAAAACCGTACGCTTTGCAAAACTTATTGGCGGCCATTTTGGTTTGGACCGGGTTTTGGGCGTATGCCTCTTTAGTTTAATAGTATTTGGGTAAAACCGTACAAGTATTTTTGCTTACGCTACGTTCCAGTTTTACACGTTTCACTACTCTAAAACTAACAAAACGACAGTAAAAACAGAGATTTTATGTTGCAAGCGGACATTATCAAAATTATCAGCAATATCTAACTTGTAATTCCTATTTATGCTTTATTTACCTTAAACTTTGCTACTTTGGTTTGTAAGTTTAATTTTGAATATCAAGAACTTTAAATTTCTAAATAAATCTTTTGGTCCTTCAAGCCGGATTTTAACAACCTAACTATAAATTGTAATATTTATCGGCCACTTTTACAACAAAATAGTAGATCAACGCTCCGTTATTACATAAATGGAACCTTAAAAACATTTTTAGTTAAGATTTGGTTTTCTCAGTTGGGCGTAGTTGAAGCTTCTGTTCTAACATTTTTTCCGAAATTCAATAATGGTCAATCCATTTTAGATTCTACATACAATGCAAATAGGGTTAATAATTGGGTCAATACCCAATTAATTATCGTCAGATTAAAGTGCAGTCTCATATGATTTAAAATATGTAAGAAATAGTTAATAAGCTATAGTATGAAAGATATATTCTGGACGGCTTAATAGTATCATGCTACGTAGTTTAAACAGTTCTGCTTAATTATATTATGATTTTTATTTGGAATGTACATTCATTCCTGCATTTATTATTTTAAAATGACAACAAGAAACAAGTTTTCATTTATAATCAACAATATGTGGGAGGAGGTTTGAAAAAAATATACTCTAGCAGATCTTCTTTCATAGGATACTCTTAGAAACAATCGCGGTTAATTCCTAGTGAATTTATCACCACATATGTGCCAACTGACCTGACTTTACCTGTCATCACTTATTGGTAGATCACAAGTGTGCTAATAGCGTGGATCATGTTATCATTCCATTTTCACTTAATTGAAAATCGAAGTCAAAACCGGTTAGTGTTACGTTAACCTACCAGAAGTGGTTACGTTAACCTACGTGTCTGGCACTGCAGGAAGGAGTGCCTCACAAAAAGAGTTTATTTAAAAATTTACTTTCGTTAGAATTTTTTTTTCACTGTGAAAATTTTGTCATAATCTATCACCCAGAAAAATCAGTTTATCTCATACTAGCGGCCCGTCCCGGCTTCGCACGGGTGGACATTTTTACAATATTTTAAAAAGTGGTTATTGTGACATAACGATAATAGTTGGACATATAGTATCGCCAAGTTTTTTGTAGTTATTGATATTTTCTCCAATATTGTAGAACATACTTTTGTTCTATCACCAATAGTTTCCGCGGCGCACGCGACGACAGATATTTTATAGCATTTTTTTACACCTTGAGTTATGCTACTAAAGTTTTAGTAAGGACCCCTAATTCTTTCTAGCAATAAATATAGCCTATGTTACTCAGGGTGAATGTAGCTTTCTAATGGTGAAAAATTTTTTGAAATCGGCAAAATAGTTTTTGGGTTTATTCATTACAAACATACACAAAAAAATACAATACTTCCCTCTTTATAATATTAGTGTAGATTGGGTTTGCTGGAAGAAATCTCTTTCAGAGATATGCTCGCCTTTGTGCACTGATATGTTTTAATATATTTATTATTCTGATACAATACCTTTTTGTGTAAAATAAAGAATAAAACGGTTTCTTGTTCTATTAATAAGTCCACATATATAATTAAGCAGAACCATTACTTATAATTAAAATAAAATAAATATAATTACGTTATATGATAGATATTTGAAGAGCTGCATCTAAGGTTGTCTGTAAGAGATCGCCCTAGCGATAAGACCGCCTTTTGTACCTTTACGTATATAATTTAATCTGTATTTTACGCTACTGCATTTCACTTGAAATGTTTAATTCTAATTGTATATTTTTATGCTTTTGATGCAATGAAGAGTTAAATAAATTAATAATGTTCGAACAGTTTATAGATGAAGCACTATATGAGACATTAAGAGAAATAAGTATTGTAATAAACAAATGCAACTCAGTTGAGCAGCATTCGACAAACTACCTGTCGTCTTTGGAGGCAAAACGACCAACGGTGGGATGTTAAATGAATGTATGTAGTGTAAATCAATGTTGCTTTTCAAATATCTATCAAAGTGAAACAATGGCTGTGTGTGCACGCCAGTCTAAACCACTACAGAAAACGTGTGAAAAAAAAAAAAACAAGTTTGAATTTAGAACACCTATCAATGGAGACATAAAACGTAATTCAAATTACCGGAAAGCAATAAAATTATTTTTAAACGATTTCAAAATAAGAAGACGATTAATTCGATTATATTTTTTTTTATTTTACATTGCGTAATGTTTTTGGTAAAATGCAAATAGATTGAAAATGGAACGATAACATGACCAGTTATTAAATGATAAGCAATATTGTATGATGGTGGATTTTATTTAATCCATATCATTAATACTGGTCGCTTTTACGGAGTAGACAGAGAGAATGATATTGAATTAACAATTAATATAATACAAATAAAACGCTATATTGATATCCCACTTCTGAAAAAAGAAATTGTCTTGTTTCTAATAACAATCTAATCAAATCGTACATCAATATACCAGTTGAGACATCCACTTTTATAATTTTTTTTTGTGCATATTCTATGCGACATTTCTCAGATAGCTTAGGCAAATGACGTTTGACGGTACAGATTAGTTAAAAACACAACAAAACGAATTCGCGCCAAATGCTTGTACATTTTTTTTAAGAGCAAAGGAATCGCAATTTACAGCCATAATTTTCTACATCGGTGGCGACACAAAGCCGCGTGCACACACAACCAGTGTCACTAATAACGAAACTATTCACTTACGTTTGGTGGATGGCTCGCCGTCGTCCAATTTGGGCTTTTTTGCCCGCGACGTGGTCGGTTTGGCCGCCCGCTTCTTGGGCTTTGGCTCTTCTGTCTCTTTTTTGATCGGCAACTCGAATTCTGGAATCATTGGTGTTGTTGTAAAATTACTTCCTCATATTGATACTAGCCTTTTCCCGCGACATTAACCGCGTAGATCAGAATAGTAAAGTGTTGGCCGGAAGCACACCTATAATGCCTCTGGTATTGCGGGCGATCATGGGCGGCGATAGTCACTTACCATCATTTGCCCCGTGTTATAAAAAAAATTATGCGTCAATATTAATCTATCCGTGTACCAAATTTCATTCTAATCCATTCAGCTGTTTTTGTTAGTAATGCAGACCATGGAAACTATAGTGTTAATTTCCAGGTGTTTTTTTTTTTATGGGTGAAAATGGTATGGTAACCCCATCTGCGCTAACGGGATTCGCTGGCGGAGCACCAGTGAAGGGTGATAGATGAGAATGAAAACAGGCCAGTTAGCCCATCGTGATGAATTCATTAGGAATTAACCATGATAGTCTCCAAGGGGAACCGCGAGGAGGTCGACCTGGTTGGGTATATTGCTAGCAATGGGATTCTCTTTCTCCATTACTAACAATCCCTTTCCCCCCTTCCAGGTGTATTCATCACGATGGGCTAACTGACATGCCTTCATTCTCACCTATCATCCCTCACTGGTGCCCTGCCAGCGCGTATTCAGTTAGACAAGCTTACTATTCCATTATCACCCATTAAAATCCTTACTATAATATTATAAATGCGAAAATAAATATTTGTCTGTTCGTGCGTTTCTGTGTTCTATAAAAAAAAAATTATTTAAAACCTAAACTACTTAACCGACTTTGATAAAATTTCTATAGAAGCAATTTGTGAGAATAACCTTTTAATTAAAAAAAATAAATTTCAAATCGGTTAACAATTGACGAGGTTATGAGGTGACAAACATAAAAACGATACAAGCGAATTGAGAACTACTTTCTTTTTAAATTCAGTTGAAATTTGGTATACACGTACTATATATAGAATGTAGAATCCCGGTCAGGGAACATATCTCGGTCACGCGAACAAAGTCGCCGGTAAAAACTAGTATAGTAGCATCTCGATTATCCGAAACAAATAAAACCAGAGCTATTTTCCGTATAATCAAAAATCCGGATAATCGATTTCAAAGTCAAGTCAAGCAATATATATATATATATATATATATATATATATATATATATATATATATATATATATATATATATATATATATTATATAAAGGGTTTTAAATACTTCATTTAGAGCAGTGTTTAAAAAAGCGTAGGTCGCGACCCCTTGGGGGGTCCCCGAGCCTCTACAAGGGAGTCGCGGAAGGGCGCGAAGCAGTGAAAACTCAACAGTTCCGTAAATACATCAATCAATTAATAATACGTAATGAAGTATCTATAACAGACATCGATTACATGTCCGTTTTAGATACTTTATTATGTATTATTTTATTTTATCGATACCTAACTATAAATATAAATACAACTGTACGGATTTCATAATTGCACTATAATAAAATTCATACACATTCGAAACCGTGGAGGATATGGGGTCGCAAGATATTTTAACATACTACCCCTTAGTATTAGTATTAGTCATGTCATAAAAAATTTGGAACAGTGATTTAGAAGATATAAATAAATAAAAAAAAAACAAACCATAAAGACAATGGATTAAATAATACCTATTTACTACATTATTACTGTTGTAATTAAGTTAAATTTAATAATCACATTTATGTAAAGGGGACACGTAGCGCCATCTGTTATCGCTTTGAGAATAACTCGGCGCAGGCCATATTGTATATCTCTCTCTGATTTCGTCTGTCACTTGCGTTGCATGGCTAAAGTATGTAATAAAATTAAATATAAGATATATTAAAAGTTCTCGTCTCCCATTAGGGTAGGCAGAAACAATGGAACGTCAAATGCTTCGATACAAACAATAATAATAATACTATACGAGGTTTGTCCGGAAAGTACGTATAAAAGTTTTTTAAAAATTTTATTTTACAATTATTCAGGTAAATCAATTTTATCCCCTTCAAAGTACTCCCCCTGTGACATAATGCACTTGTGCCAACGCCGTTTCCACTGTGAGAAGGCTCCTTGAAAGTCCTCTGGTTGTAGGTTTCTCAGCTGCCCCGTCGTAGCTTTTTTTATCTCATTTATGTCCCCCAAATGCCGCCCCCGAAGTACCAATTTGGTTTTTGGGAACAAGAAGAAGTCACACGGGGCCAAATCCGGCGAATAGGGGGTGTTCGGTCACCGTAATGGAATTTTTACTCAAAAACTCACGGACAACAAGAGAGGTGTGGGCAGGGGCATTGTCGTGGTGAAGAATCCAACGCCCCTCTCGCGCCAATTCTGGACGAACTCGTGCCACACGAGCTTTGAGGCGTCTGAGCACATCGACGTAGAATTTTCCATCAACTGTCTGGCCTGGAGGGACGAATTCTTGATGGACAATCCCCCGAACATCGAAAAAAACAATCAACATTGTCTTGACATTTGAGCGGGATTTTCTTGATTTTTTTGTTCGTGGTTCCCCGGATGTCTTCCACTCTTTGCTTTGGGATTTTAATTCGACATCAAATTCGTAGAACCAAGACTCATCTCCAGTGATGACTCGGTTCAAAAAGTCACCATTCTCTTCGGCTTCCAACCAGTCCTCACAGCAAGCAACTCTTCGTGATTTTTGATCCGGGGACAAAAGCTTGGGAACGATCTTGGCGCAAATTTTTTTCATTTGAAGTTCGTTTCTTAGAATTTCGTGGACCACGGTTTTGCCCAAATTAAGCTCTTCAGCCACCTGTCTGACCGTTAAACGACGGTCCCCATTAACACAAGTTCGAATTCTTTCCACGTTTTCGTCGGAATGTGAAGTGGAAGGACGTCCTGAACGTGGGTCATCTTGAACGCTTTCTCGGCCCTCTCTGAATCTTTTTAGCCACTTGTGGACGGTTGGTTCCTTCACAGCATCATCCCCATAAACTGTTCTGAGATCGGCAAAAATTTCACGGCCATTCTTGCCGAGTTTCGAGAGAAACTTGATTACGACGCGCTGCTCTTCAACGGAAGCGGGCTCCATGCCGACGGGGTTTCGTTAAGAGGTAACTTCACAGATGGCGTGACAAGCCAGTTCGCACCGCACGGCGGTCAGACCAGAACTGAAGCATTGTTAGGGACATAAGGAAGGGGTCCTGCGCTTACCTGGCCTCCCCACTCCTCTTTCTCGCATTCCAGAACACTTTTATACGAACTTTCCGGACAGACCTCGTATCAGTAATTCGAGCCGTGAAGAATAAGTCCGGATAATCGAATATTTTGAATAATTGATGTACGGATAATCGAGATTCTACGGTAAATAAACAATAAAGGTGACTCACCAAGTTCGGAGAAGTTATCTGACAGGTTGTTATCGTTGTCCGAATTGTTCACTTCGTCTAGTGGTGCCGCTTCTATTTTTACTACATCACCTGTGTAGGAAAAAAAAAAAATACCAGTCTTAATAATAAAAACTAAAAGAAATCTATTTTTACACTGTTTTGTCCATAGACATAGCATACTTCGTTCTTATCCCGCCTTCTATTTATCTCGCTTTTTTACTCTTCCACATTATCAATCTATACACATAACAGTAATCTAAGGTTTTGTCAGCTTATTTCAAAATAGGAATTTAGCGCCAGAGACAAAACAAATTCAATAGCTAAAGTGGGTATATGAGAAGTTTTACGTTTTTATTAATATAGGAAATTGATAGTAGCACTCACCAGTATTAAGCAACGCCGGGACCAGGATCAGTGTTAAGGAAAACCAGGACTAGGATTTTGGTTACCTACACTAGTTAATATTAGTCAGTTAGCAAGTTCAGTCAATGTTCATAGTATGTAAGACAAAAGGGTAATCAGTCATTTTTATTCTAATATTATTTTTCTTTATTTTACATTGACAAGCGCTGCTAGAATACATATCGCCTGCCATTGAACCAAGGAGGTTCTTAACATTTATGAATAAGGGGGTTAGAATTAAAGTAAATATTGGGGTCGATTCTGAAGCGCCATTTTCGAACATCCTAGGGCTTAGCTCCGAACACACAGACTTGAGCCAATTCCGAAAAGTTAGTATACGAATTGGCCCAACCGGGAACCAAACCCTGGACCTCATTTACAAAACAACACGCCTACCACTATGACACTGGTATTGAATATAAAAGAAATAAGATTTTGAATCTCAAAAAAATTAACATCAATGGTAACAAAACTGAATTAAGCATAATCCTGACCATGTACCATTTTAAAAAATCATTTGAGCTGACTTTAATGATATCTCTTTCTGACCCATCTAAAAATATATCTTTCCAGATAAAAAAAAAAGTATTTTCTAAATTGGTTTATAAAGAGACCAACAGCTGATGTCTATAGGCGACGGTTACCACTTTCCATCAGGTGGGCCGTCAGCTTGTTTGCCATTCTAAGTTGTATAAAAAAAAAAAAAAGCTAAGAGAACAAAGTTATAAAATAGAACATACAGAGAATATCCTACTCTTCTTTGAAGTCAATTAAAAAAATAAATACTGCTGTCAACATTACACTGTGCAATCTAATCATAAGCTAAGCAGACCTTGACCTTGTACTATGAATATTATTTAAATAATTATTATGTAAATAATTATTTTCATAAATACATACTACTATAAATAACACAAATTAATGTAATTAAAAATTGTCCCAAAAAAAAAAAACAATAAAAAAAATGTCAAGGGGCATCAAACTGGTGGCAATGAGGATTTAAAAAAAAATAATGAAAAACAATTTTTTTTTTCAAATTAACTTATTTAAGATATCAAAGATTTTATTATTAAGCATTTTTTTATTAATTTTTTTTTCATACCTCCACACCAATGAGGTAATAAAATTTTATACTTACTTTTAAAAAGTTTATTTTCTAATCGTCTTTTAAATTGTTCCTCTGTGTGCTGAACTTGCTTCTTGAAGTTGGCAGCATTGCGGAGTTGTGTAATGCATACCTCGCATATGCCACCTTCTTCGCCCGGTTCTGATGTGGTTAACTGTTAAAATAAGTTAGATACTTAAATATTTAAAACACAACATTCAGGAACCAAAGAATACAGCCTGAAATAAATGGGGGGAAAAAATACCACTGGGGAGAATAGTCTTTTGTTATTCATAAATAACACATCTGCTCATAATTCTTGACCGATTGCAGATATAACTGAGGAAATTAAGAAAAATATTTAAAAAGGAGTAAGGATTCCATTGAAACACTTGGCTTTGGCCCATGAATAAAAAACTTTATAAAGAGAAAGAAAAGGAGGCTTTTAGAGGCTAAGTGCGGAAAACAGAGTCTTTCTTACAAAGAGAAAGAAAAAAAAAACAAAAAAAAATTCATAGCTATGTCTACCCACCACTTGACCATTCTGTATTGCCATTTTTAAAGGAATTAGAAATGTTATGGTAGCACGCAGTAATTTTAATGTCATATACCTTCAGAATGAAACAGTCCTATGAGTAAATATGCAGGCATTATTTCACCATTACATCATGGGCTAACTAATCTGAGGGCCTACCATGAAATGTTTTCTGAAATTTCAGAGCAAAACAAAACACAAATTTGATGTTAAAATTAAATAATACATGTTGTTTGGAAATATTAAAAAAGTTAAAATATTGTTCCTTTGGACTTTTATGATAGGATGTATGACGAACGAAATGTTAAACTCCATTTATTGATCCGATTTTTGTATAAACAAAAACATGAAATTGAAACTTCGAAATTTCATTTCATGGTAGACCCGCTGGTTTCATCTTTACCTATCAAGGATCATAGGTGCAAATAAATGAAACAGATGAGTGATCATAGGTGCTCCACCAGTAAATATCAATAGGCAAAGCAGGGTTACCATTTATTATCATACTGAACACTAATAAAATTTATAAATAAATAAATAACAACTATATTGAATGCATTAAAAAAATTATAAACAAGAAAATTATATCTAATTAAAATATACTTGATTCTTATTAGACAATTAGTAGAAGTCAATTTAAATTATATTGTAATATTAAATGATTAAAATTAAAAAGTCCAACATTTTTTAAACAGACCACTTTATCCATTAAAAAAAAAACAGCTGCACTAAGTATACAAAGTTTTTTTTTTTTTTTAAATGGATCAACGCACAAATACGTTCTGGTGTCATGGAAATAATACATGTATTACGATAGGTTTACATATGAAATTAGTATTGTGAACTAGTTTAATATGTAAAACCGGCTTTATGTATCAAACAAAATAATGAGAACAAAGTAAGTAAAATCGATTCATAAACACCGCTATTTCCATTGACACAAAACCTTAGTTAACATATTATAGAACATTTCTATTTCATATTTTTAATGAAAGAGAACATGGCAAAGTAACAAAATACGAATACTCACAGAAATATCGAAACATTCTTTCAACATGTCGGCATAGACCTCCTCTTGTCCCATCCAATGATAGGTGTTGGAAAAGTTTTTAAATGTCCCTTCTGAAGCACAGCACCGGCACATGCCATTGTTTAATGAAGTCTCCATTTTGTCCTTAACACTACTACAACAATAAAACTGAAATTATCACAATATAATTATAGGAAAATCCTATTTTTTATTAACGCTAACCGAAAGCGAAGAATAATTTCGCAAGGTCCGCCATTTTGTAAGCGATTCGATATAATGTTACCAAGTAACAAAAATATAAAGTTAAGATTTGATGAAATTCGTAAAAAGAGGAATTATCCGTAATTTACGGTGATATGAGAGCATGCTGCAATTATATACATATATTTTATTTCTATAGATAGCAAAACACAACAAACACACAATAATGAGGAAGTATTATTCTATAAGTAGTTGGAACTGTCTAGTTTAGACTAAGAACAAGATAAATTCACAAAAGACAGATGATAGAAGACAAATAACAGCTGTCAAAACTGCTCTCTATCTGGCTGTCACTGAATGTCAAGTTTATGTCAATATTTCAGAAAAAAATATTCCTTTGTGGAAATCCAATTGGAAAATATTATAATTTGTTTCATATAATTGGTATTAAAACAACAAACATGTCGAAAGTTACATTCTGCCGGTGCTGCCTCGTCCGTCCGCCGGACAAAGACCTAAAAACAATGCACATATTCCTTGGAAAGCCTGAAATATATTCTGATATGTTGAAGGAATGTTTTGAGATTCATGTAAGTAAATAATAGTGAATATATTACTAATTTCATCAAGTCTTTGACAAAATTAGGTAGTTCCTTTAAAAAAATTGTCAATAAATCAGTGCTAATTACTAACACTATCAATCATAAGCTTACTTAGTCTAAGCCAAAACAAATATTTAATAATAATATTCTTTATTTAAAACAGTAAGTTACAGAATTGCTTAACTATGGTCCCCCATATAGAACGAGCCTGTGCTTGGAGAACCTATTAAATTATATACACTTTTATAATTTGTAAATATATAACCATCTAGAGGGCAACATGCTATCATAGTACATACAAACCCCAATATACCCTGTCAGGTCGACCTCCACGTGATTCCCCCTGGAAACCATAGTGCTGATTTCCATGTGTAGTCATCACGATGGGCTGACTGACCTGCCTTTTTTCATTATTCACCTATCACCCCTCACTGGTGCCCCGCCAGTGTATACCAATAGCGCAGGCGGGTTTACCATTCCATTAATCATCCATTAAAAAAAAAGTACATACAAACCCTTACTATGTGGCATTTATTTATTAATAATAATAAATATAATTAAACATTTAAACACCAGAGGGAGACTTTGTACAAAAGTTGTTTGCTTGGGCACCTCTGTTCCATTTATGTTTCTACCATGAAGCAGTTGAGTTTACATGGCTGTGTTTTAGTTTGTAGGCTAAGATATGACAGAATTTACAGGGTACACAGGAATAACACCAGAGTCCTCAGGAATGACAATGCATGGGGGTATCATGGGCGAAACAGTATACTCTGTTATGTCCCTGATACGGCTCATGTCTATAAGCGATGGTTACCACTTTCCATCAAGTGGGCCAATTTTTTTTTATACAACTTAGAATGGCAAACAAGCTGACGGCTCACCTGATGAAAAGTGGTAACTGTCGTCTATAAACATGAGCAGTACCATGGACATAACAGAGTATACTGTTCCACCCATGATACCCCCCATGTGTTGCCATTCCTGAGAACTTAGGACTTACTAATTGACTAAATATAATAATTTAATCACAATCCTTCATATTTTATTTAATGTTATTTTATTTTTATGTATTTTTTTTTTATTTATATAATACTTTATTGTACACATTAGTTATAAAAATATGACAGAGGTAAACAAAAGTACAAAGGCGAGCTTAACTCTGATAGAGTTCTCTTCCAGCAACAGCCAAAGTGGAAAGGAACATCAATGACAGCGGATACAGCAGTGTACAATTTTTAAACAGCCAAAATTAAATGAAATACATTATATTTTATCGTACACATATACATATATATATAAATATATACCTAAGAAATTAATGTTTATTCCTAAAAACTTTTATTTTCAATAATAATAAAATAATTTTAATGAATAAAATCTTATATTTTATATGGATAAGCAAGCTGAAGTGGCAATGGGCTGGTCACATTGCTTGAAGAACCGACAACCGATGGAAAGAAAAGGTTCTTGAGTCGCCACCATGTATGGGCAAACACAGTGTAGGACTACTCCACTAGATAGAGTGACAACGTTAAATGCATTGCAGGGAGTCAGTGAATGCAGGTGGCTCAAGACTGTTCTTTATAGCAATCTAATATTAATAATACTTTTTTCCTTTCATTTTGGGTATAAAACATATATCATCATCATCATCATTTCAGCCATCATCCGTCCACTACTGGATATGAGCCTCCCTCTTGGGGAGTTTTGCCAGTAGTTGCCACGCTTGGCAGGCGAATAAACAACCACAGTTAGGAGATATTTTAAAAGGACATGGTTGCCCATCTCTCTCCCTCCTTTAGTCGCCTCTTACGACACCCATGGAAAAGGAAGGGATGGCATTTTCTATGCCAGGACCACATGGCCATCTTAAATATTCAATCTACCTGAATTGTGATCATTCCATTCTAGCTACCTGCAGGTACCAGGGAAGGGGACAATGGGATATGTGAAATGTGCATCACGAGGCTCCGGGATGCGTCTGACTTCAAAAAACAAGTGCAGCAGTGCCAGAAGGAGTTCCAAATGCAAGTCGATCTTAGTCAGAAAGCCACAAATTGTCAAGGTAAAAAAGTAATTCATGCAATATTTTACTGAATATTTTATTTACTTTACGGAAGACCATATCTGATTTGATATCTCTCCAGCGCTGAACATAGGCTTCCCCCATAAACTGCCATAAGGAAATCTTATGTTTTTTTTTTATACAACTTAGAATAGCAAACAAGCTGACGGCCCACCTGATGGAAGTGGTAACCGTCGCCTATAGACGTGAGCAGTACCATGGACTTAACAGAGTATATTGTTTCACCCATGATACCCCCCATGCGTTGCCATTCCTATGACTCAGATGTTATTCCTCTGTACCCAGTAAATTCACGCCATATCCCACCCTTCAAACCGAAACACAGCCATGCAAACACAACTGCTTCACGGTTGAAACACGAATGGGACAGAGGTACCCAAGCAATCGACTTTTGTACAAAGTCTCCCTCTGGTGAGAAATTGTAACAAAATGTCACTGATTATTAGATAAACATCGCTAAGGCACACGGGATACCTCAGAGACTTACCGAAGGGAGACTTTGTACAAAAGTCATTTGCTTGTGCACTTCATTCCCATACGTGTTTTTTTTTATGGGTGATAATGAAAAAGTAACCCCACCCGCGCTATCGGTATACACCGGCGGGGCACCAGTGAAGAATGATAGGTGAGGATGAAGCAGGTCAGTTAGCCCATCGTGACGAATTTAACAAGAATTGTTCACGATGGTTTCCAGGGGGAACCACGTGAATGTCGACCTGATAGGGCATATTGCTAGCAATCTTTTTCCCTTTTAAGTTGCATAAAAAAAGCCGCTACAAAAGCGCGTGAGCCGCAGCAGCGACCTGAAATTGTTAGGATTTCAGTATTGACTATTATTATTACTTTTTTTATGCAACTTCGAACGGCAAACAAGCTTACGGCCCGCCTGATGGAAAGTGGTAATCGTTACATTTGCTTCTCACCTATCACCTTTCTCTGGTGCCCCGTCAGTGTATACTTACTATTTACTATTACTGGGCAGGGTTAGTATTCCATTTTCGTCCATTAATAGCTATTTCTTATTCGCAGATGATGAGGTACAGAAGGTAAAAGAAGAAATCACGGACCCTGAAGATGACAATGGCATTTATTTTCTAGGTGTGTAATATTTAAAAAAAAAAAACTATCTATCTTAGACAGATAGGGAAAACTTAAAAATAATAATAGGTTTAATAATGGGCCATTGTCCATTAAACAAACATTTATACACAATAGGAGCCACAGACAGCCCTCTATGTCGAGGCTGTTTCAACGCCGAAGAAACGGCTGCTCACGTAATCCTGGAATGTGAAGCTGTGGCCCATAAACGTTTAGAAATCCTCGGAACGGTGAGGTCGCTCCGTGAGGCGTGTGAAGAACCCAGGAAGCTTCTGTGCTTCTGGGCGGAGCTAGGTTGGCTGTACTAGCCACGACTCATACGCACAACGGCCCAAATGAGAGGCTAAGCGCGGAAAATCTGTATTACATTACATGTTCTCTCAGACATGTCTTTGCGCATAGTTAGAAATCTCTTTTTTCATTCTGGAATGGGCACCAAACAATTGTGGGTGGGCACGACCCACTCGGCCCCCCTTAAATACGCCCATGGTAGTTACCATTCAATAACATTTATTTTAGAAATTAAATTCCAGAAATCAAAGACGAGCTATCAGACTGCGAGAACTTAATGGATGACGATGATAAGAAGCTGGCGGAGATGCTGAGCCTCGCAGATGTCACCATCAAGAGAAAGTCGAAGAGAATCAAGAAACTCGGACTTGACAAAACTGACTCTGGTAAGTTGAGATACCTTTTTTTTTATCGAGGGGAAAATCTTCAGAAAGAGACCCACGGGATGGCGATGGGTACTGTGGGATTTTTACCCACTAAAAACCACCTCGGTATTCCTCTCAGCGCCGTGTGCCGATGACGAGGGCTCGCGATTTGCAGTCGTCCCAATCATCGGCGGAAGTTGTGATACCTCACGGAAAGAAAGAGAGGCCTGGTGTCTTCACTTAAAACTGGAAACTTCTCCCTATATCATCATATTAGCCTTTAACTGTCCACTGCTGAACATGAGCCTCCCCCTTGGGGGGTTTTGGCAGTAGTTGCCACGTATGGCAGGTGGATTGGCAACCGCAGTTAGGCTTTAGAAATGTTTTAAGAAAGACGCTGCTGCCCATCCCTCGCCCTCGCTTAGTTGTCTCTTACAACATCCACGGGAAAGGAACGAGTGGCCTGTTCTATGCTGGAACCATACGGCTATCTCCCTATATAATGGGAATAAATTAAAACATCTCCCCTAAGTTTCTATATAGAAACTTTATTAAAATTGATTCTTTTATTTTGAAACAAATTAACTGGTATTGCCAGATCAGAATTTTTTTTCTGGAACATAAATATAAATTATATTTACTGTACTTATATAACTGTATCGTTACATTTATTAATTGTCTTGCTTATTCCCTATATTGTATAATGCAAGTATAGTATACTTACTTTTTTTATGCAAATTAGAATGGCAAACAACCTGACGGTCCACCTGATGGAAAGTGGTAACCGTCGCCTATAGACATAAGCAGTACCTTGGACATAACAGAGTATACTGTTTCGCCCATGATACCTCCCATGCGTTGTCATTCCTGAAGACTCAGGAATTCTTCTGGTCCCTGTAAATTCACTGCCATATCCCACCCTTCAAACCGAAACACAGCTATACAAACAAAATTACTTCACGGTAGAAACACGAATAGGACAGAAGTGCCCAAGCAAACGACTTTCGTACAAAATCCACCACTGGTTATTATAATTACAGATATCAAAGAGGAACTATCAGACTTTGATGACGACAAAAAACTGGCCGAAATGTTGGGCTTCGCAGATGTCACCATCAAGAGAAAGTCAAAGAGGCGCAACAAGTTACTGGGGCTCGAGAAGACAAACTCCGGTCAGTACAGTAGTAATAATTGCTGAAAGATACCGAGGACATCGCCGTGTCGGAAACCCATGGGCAAAGAAGGGTTGGCCTATTCTTTACCACAAAGCGTTTATTTAGTTACTCTCATCTAATTTACTAAAAAACTGCTTCTGTTCCACATATTCAGTAATAACTATACAGAGGGGTTGGGGGGAGTGATATTAGTAATAGGATCAAACAACCCCATTGTTACCAATATACCCTATCAGATCGATCTTCACGCAGTTCTCCCTGCAAATTATCCGTTTGCCAAACGTATCTGTTAATGGCAAAACTCCCCTTATGGAAAAGGCTTATGTCCAGCTGTGGACTGTTAAGGGCTAAAGTGATGACTAAGGACATCTATCAGGCGTGACGCCATTCCGGACTGTCACTCAAATATGTGCTTTCGGGTTCAGCTCTTGCCAAAGCTGAGTATTTGCACAGACACAACCAGGTAGCGAAAATAATTCACGATGCACTAATTGGCTTGCCCTTTCATCGTCACCTAACATCGGAGTCAGCCCTTTTCCGGGAAAAATACAAAAAGTACTGCTCTTTGATACTGCCCGCATAGTGTGCCGGTTTCTCTCCTTAAGTAAATATTTCCTTTCAGATAAAAAAATTCCCAAATCGATTTACAACTGACGGAGTATCTTTCTTCTTATTGAAGTCAGTCGAAAAAGGGCTGAAGATAAAAAGACTTTGTAAATCTAAGTCTTAGTAAGTAATAATTAGTACCTTATATATGCCTACCTCCTTCCTATTATCTTGTAACATGATGTTCATACGCCATAAATCTTCGATTACAGATCGCAAATCCAAGAAACTACTTACCAAACCTCTCAAGATATCTCTTCACGCACTCTCCCAAATGGAAAAACTGAAAAACTCCTCGGTGGCTTCAAGTCTTCGGTACGTAAGCGAGAAGAAGAAGCACAAAGCCAACATCACAAACATCATAAAATACTCCAACTGTACACCGTTCTCGAGCAAAACTTTGACTGGCATTGTCTGCGCGTACTGCAAAGACACCCACCCAAACACGGAAACTTTGAGGACCCACACCCAGGAAGTGCACAAAGAAGACGATTTAAATGCCAACAAAAGGATAGACAAAAACAACATGTCACTAAAAGTGGATATCACAGACTTGAAATGCAGCATATGCAACGCAAAAACGCCCCTCATATCGGATCTGAAGATGCACTTGATGAAAGAGCACGATATTAAATTTTATCTCGATATAAATGATTATATTTTAGAATTCAAACTGACAGATGGGGAGATGCTGAACTGTGCACTGTGCCACTCCACGTACGAGACATTTAAAATGCTACTACAGCATATGAACGGCCATTACAGGAATTATATATGCGAAGTGTGCGATTTGGGATTTATAAACAAGCATAGACTGAAAAATCATCAACGCACCCACGAACTAGGAACGTTCAAGTGTTCCTTCTGTGATAAAGTGTTTAGTACACGTGTGAAAATGATGTGCCACGAGAAGTACACGCATAATACAAGTGCGAGGTACACCACGAACTGTCCGTACTGTGACCAATCGTTCACCAGTTACTACCAGCGTAACAGACACATGTCCAACGAGCACAACACAGCGGCTGCGTCATACAAGTGCAACATATGTGACAAATCGTTCATTCTAAAATCAAAATTGACCTCTCATATAAAGAAAGTGCATCTAATGGAACGTAACCACAAGTGTGCGGAGTGCGGACAGGGTTTCTTTATTAAACAGTCCTTGGATGAACACATGATCAAGCATACAGGTGAACGGGTCTACAAATGTACAGTTTGCCACAAGGCGTATGCAAGGAAGAAAACTTTAAGGGAACATATGCGGATACATAATAATGATAGGAGGTTCAAGTGTGGTGTGTGCGGGTTGGCGTTCATACAAAAGTGTAGTCTCAAAAGCCATATGCTGTCGAACCATGGGATCACATTATCGGAGTATGAAAATGTTCGGACAGAGTTGAATAGTACGTAGTGATGTGTAATATAATAGTTTAATATATAGATTGTTTCAATAGAATGTATTTATTTATACTTTTTAACCGACTTCAAAAAGGAGGTTCTCAATTCGGTTGTATTTTTTTTTGTTTGTTTGTTACCTCATAACTCTGTCAGTTGTGAACTGATTTGGAAAATTCTTTTTTTTTCTGAAAGATAAAAAGATCCAGATTGAGCACATGGAAATTTTATGAAAATCGGTTTAGTAGTTTAGTTTTTAAAGCAAAATAACTCTGGTTTTGCCACAATTGAAGTCGTTTTTTTTTTTTGGTAGACAATCTTTAATTATGTACATTTATGTTTAACATATAATAAATATCAGAGGGCTTACCATGAAATGGTCTTCGTAGTTTCGGGGCTAAACGGAACACAAATTTGATGTTAAAAGCACGTGTTACATACTGTTTAAAAATATTAAAAATGTTAAAGTGTCTTTCCCTTGTACTTTTATAGTAGGATTTACGGCAAATAATATATTAACCCTTTGAATGCCGACAAGCGCCATTACGCTCGTGCGCATTGCAACTAAAAGTGGCACGAGCGTCATAGCGCTCGTGGAATCAGTCGCTGTTTAGCTTGCTGTACAAAAAAAATATTAAAATTGGATAATTTTTGGAGGAGATACAGTTTTTTAGAGACAAGGGTAAATGACATCAACACGACAAAGATTTCTTTGGCATTTTTAAGTAGGTATGAGTAAAAATCAATGGCACTAAAAAGGGTTAAATTTCACTTATTGTACGGATTTCGTGTGAACAAAAACACGAAATTGCGTCCGAAAATTCAGTATTTCATTTTTTTTTATATACAACTTAGAATGGCAAACAAGCTGACGGCCCACCTGACGGAAAGTGGTAACCGTCGCCTATAGACATGAGCAGTACCGTGGACATAACAGAGTATACTGTTTCACCCATGATAGCCCCCATGCGTTGCCATTTCGTAGTAGACCCCCTGATTATAAAAAAAACGTACACAGACGGACTTATCCTTTAAAGGGATTTCTTCCAGTCCACCTTGAGAACACGAAAGGAGAAAGCATCTATAGGATTTGTATATAAACCATAACATATATAGTGCAAGAATAATACAATATACATATTAAAATTTTATGAAAATGTAATCAAGTTTTGTGTAAATTATCAAAGAAACACTCTTTAAATGAAATTTGTAAGAAATCGAACCGTTCAATCGATTGATCGATGATCCTGAGTCCTCAGGAATGGCAACGCATGGGGGGTATCATGGGCGAAACAGTATACTCTGTTATGTCCATGGTACTGCATGGTACGTCTATAGGCGACGGTTACCACTTTCCATCAGGTGGACCGTCAGCTTGTTTGCCATTCTAAGTTGTATAAAAAAAAATATTTGTACTAATGTTGGACGGGTGGTCCCGCCATAGAATAGGCCATCCCTTCCTTACCCGTGGGTGTCGTAAGAGGTGACTAAGCGAACTTAATGGTCGAAGAATGGCCAACAGGGCAGCAGTGTACAAATACAAATAACTTTATTGTGGATCATAGGTCAAATTAAGGTATTACATCAGTTAAATAGTATCTCCATGTCGTGTTGCAACAACTGCTGTTACCAACCTGTCTGTCAAACGTGGCAACTCCAGGCAAAACCCCCCAACAGGCAGAGGCCTATGCTCAACAGTGAATTGAAAACCTTTTTTGAAGTCGGTTGAATATGCAAATTTTTAACGGTTTTTTTTTATGGGTAAAAATGGTATGGTAACCCCGCCTGCGCTAACGGGATACGCTGGCGGAGCACCAGTGAAGGGTGATAGGTGAGAATGAAAACAGGCCAGTTAGCTCATCATGATGAATTCATCAGGAATTAACCATGATAGTTTCCAGGTAGAACCGCGAGGAGGTCGACCCGGTTGGGTATATTGCTAGCAATGGGATTCTCAGTCTCCATTACTAACAATGGCTTTCCCCCCGATTTTTAACGTGTGAAAATAGTGACTCCGCCTACGCTATCGGTTTACGCTGGCAGGGCACCAGATCTGATGATAGGCAAGAATGAAAACGCAGGTCAGTTAGCCAATCGTGGTGAATTCACTTGGCTATACCAAGTGGGCGTCGTAAGAGGCGACTAAAGGAACTTAACGGTCGATGGATGGGCAGCAGCGTCCCTCTTAAAACATCACCAAAACCTAACTGCTATTGCCAATCTGCCTGCCAAGCGTGGCAACTGCTGGCTAAATACCCCAATAGGTGAAGGCCTATGTTCAGCAGTGGTAATAAACAGGCTATCCGGTTAAATGATTATCCTTGAGGGAAAGGAACTAGTAAGAATGAGGTATAATATCCCCATTGCTAGTAATATACCTTCTCAGGTCGACCTCCACGCGGTGCCCCCTGGAAACCATCATGGTAAATTCTTGTCAAATTCATCATGGTACGCCAACTGACCTGCATTGGTTCTCACCTATCATCTTCCACTGGTGCCTAGCCGGTGTATACCGATTGCGCAGGCGGGGTTACCATTCCATTTTCAGCCATTAAAAAAAAAAGCATTATCCTTTTTAATGTCATAAAATTAAACGGTTTAACTTACTTGTAAAGGAAGCTCGACTAGTTTCGGGATCAATACGAGACCCTTAATCGCGAGCGGCTAACGCGACCGCAAGCGTGACTGAAAAAATTATCTGTTAAATCTTTAATTTATTTATATCAGTGTTCTTCCATTATGTATTATATAGACATTTATGTAAATATGTAAATTTATGATTTATCATTATTTATAAACTGTTGTAATCGTATTAAAAGATTTTATTTAAAGATATCTGTTTTTTTTATGTTACTTAGAATGGCAAACAAGCTGACGGCCCACCTGATGGAAAGTGGTAACCGTCGTCTATAGACACGAGCAGTATCATGGACATAACAGAGTATACTGTTTCGCCCATGATACCCCCCATGCATTGCCATTCCTGAGGACTCGGGTGTTGTCCCTTTGTACCCTGTAAATTCACGCCATATTCCACCCTTCAAACCGAAACACAGCCAGCCAAACACAACTGCTTCACAGTTGAAACACGAATGGGACAGAGGTACCTAAGCAATCAACTTTTGTACAAAATCTCTCATACCATGGACATAAGAGATTACTGTTTCGCCCATGATACCTCTCCTGCGTTACTATTCCTAAAGACTATCTAATCTTATTTTCGCATATGGGGTCAGCCAAGCCGTTGCATCACGTCGACCCATCGGGATCTTTTGTGCTTCTCCCTTACCTTATTCCATTATTTCATAGATCCTATGTGTTAACAATATCCCGCTATTTAAAATATCTGTAGTCCCCAGGCTCTTCCTGAGGACTAAGGTTTTTTTTTTTAATGGATGATAATGGAATGGTAACCCCACCCGCGCTATCGGTATACACCGGCGGGGCACCAGTGAAAGATGATAGGTGAGGATGAAGCAGGCCAGTTAGCCCATCGTGACGAATTCAACAAGAATTGTTCACGATGGTTTCCAGGGGGAACCACGTGGAGGTCGACCTAATAAGGCATATTGCTAGCAATGGGGCTGTTAAACTCCATTACTAACAATCCCTTTCCCCCCGGACTAAGGTGTTATACCTCCGTACCCTGTAAATTCACTGCCATTTCCCAAAGTACAAACCGAAACACAGCCATGCAAACACAACTGCTTCACGGTAGAAACACGAATGGGGCAGAGGTACCTAAACGCATCAGTTTTTCTTACCATTGTGTAGATTGCAGAGGGACATCTAAGAAAATGTATGAGAATTTAATGGAAAATTACAATTTCACGAAATAAGAAGTCTGCAGGTTCACACCAAAAAAGACGTCGTTTGTCGTATCTCCTCACTTTCAGGGCACTTCCCTTGATATTAAATCGAATTTAGGGATCCTTGGCGCCGATATATCTAGCGATGTCCAATTTTGCGGTCATTATCCATGGAGGAAAAAGCTAAAATGGCTTCCAAAAAGTTAGAAGTGCTCAATAGATTGAGAGGGTATTTCACGCCGGAAAATAGCTTGAAATTGTATAAAGCTCAAGTCAGGTCACACACTGGCGTGAATTTACTGGGTACAAAGGAATAACACCCGAGTCCTCAGGAATGGCAACGCATGGGGGGGTATCATGGGCGAAACAGTATACTCTGTTATGTCCATGCTACTGCTCATGTCTATAGGCGACGGTTACCACTTTCCATCAGGTGGGCCGTTAGCTTGTTTGCCATTCTAAGTTGTATAAAAAAAAATTGTTAATCTATACTTATAATAAATCTGTAGAGAGGTCATGAAATATATTTACAAAATAACTATCAGGGGTATGTTCGTTATAGAAACAAAAACTACTCGACGGATTTTAACGAAACTTGGTACAATTATTGTTCATACTCCTGGGCAGGTTATAGTATACTTTTCATCACGCTACAATCAATAGGAGCAGAGCAGTGAAGGGAAATGTTGGGAAAACGGAAGAAGTTACTCCATTTATAAGCTTCCGTCGCGTGTGCAGCCTTAATGGCCACTTTTTAAAATGTAAAAATGTCCACCCGTGCGACGCCGGGACGGGCAGCTAGTTTAAAATAATATTGAAGTTTTTTAAATTTCATTGCCTATTTAGCCTGCTCATAATGTAAAGATTAGCGCCATTTATAAATATAGAAAAAATTCGAAGATACGTGTTTTATAAGGAACATTGTTTTTCCTGAATTTTTTATCTAAGATAAAAAGTTTTTAATATTAGTCGAGTTTTTTTTTTTTTATACAACTTAGAATGACAATAGAGTACCATGGACATAAAAGAGATTACCATTTCGCCCATGATACCCTTCAAACCGAAACACAGCTATGCAAACACAACTGCTTCACGGTTGAAACACGAATGGGACAGAGGTACCCAAGCAATCGACTTCTGTACAAAGTCTCCCTCTGGTATTTCACTATAAAAACTGAGAAAGCCATCATACTGCCAACATATTGTATAATACATTTATTACAAATTGTACACTAAACACATTTAGTACTAAGTAGATATAATATCGCTCGCGGCCATACTGATCCCATGGTTGGACAGCAGGTGACTTTTCAAACTGCACTTCTGCACAAACGCCATTGCACAGACGTCGCATTTAAACCTCCTATCGTTATTGTGTATCCTCATATGTTCTCTGAGCGTATATTTCCTAGCGTACGACTTATGGCACACTTCGCAGGCGTATATCCTCTCACCAGTATGCTTAATCATGTGTGCTTTAAGCGCTTTCTTGCTGAAAAACCTGAATCCACACTCTGTACATTGACAGTTGCGTTCCATTAAGTGATTCTTCTTTATATGATACATCAGCAATGACTTTAATATGTACGACTTATTGCAAACGTTACACTTGTACTGCGCTTCGGAGTTGTGGACTTTAACGAGATGCTGGTTCCGTTGATAGTAGCTCCGGAACGGTTCGTTGCAGAACGGACAATTGCTTATGTTCCTCGCACCCAAATGCTTGGTTTTCTCGTGGTAATGCTTCTTGGATCTGCTCGAGAAGACTTTGTCGCATTGATCGCATTTGAAGTTGCCTTCCTGATGGGTAGTCCTGTGGGCGTTCAGTGATCTCTTAGTTGCGAACGAACTGTCGCATTTGGGGCACGTGTAGTTACAGTAATGCTTGTTCATATGCTGTTTCAGCATCTTGAACGTCTCATAGGTAGACGAGCACATAGCGCAGTCGTACACGTCGCCCTTCTTCAGCTTGAACTGCAGTATGTGATCCTTGATGTCGTTGTATATGGTCTTATTGTGGGTTTTCATTAGATGCTCCTTCAACGACGTCAGATTCGCCATCCGCTCGTCGCACAGCGTGCACGTCAGATCAGTGACGTCCAACTTCACGTTGTATTCGGTCATGTCGAAGTTCGATTTAAACTGTAGCCTCTCTTTTTTGTGGTCCACCTCTGTGTGGCTCCTCAAGTCGATGGGGTCAGGGTATGTGGCGTCGCAGTATCCACAAATGAAGCCGAGCAGAGACTTGTTCTTGAACGGTGTGGCGTTTGAAAACTTCAATATGGTCTGCAAGTTTTCCTTGTGTTTACTCTTGTCGTGGTTCGTGCGTGTGGTCCACATTAAATTTATTTTGGTTTCTTTGTATATTGGCTCTTTTGTGATGGTGATTTTAGTTCTGTTTTTCACGTCCGTTTCTGGATTCTTTAGGGTCAAGTCAGGTATGTCGCAGGTATCTGAAATTTGTATTTTATATATTATATATTTTCTTTTTTAATACATGATATTTTTTTTATACAACTTAGAATAGCAAACAAGATGACGGCCCACCTGATGGAAAGTGGTAACCGTCGCCTGTAGACATGAGCAGTACCATGGACATAACAGAGTATACTGTTTCGCCCATGATACCCTCCATGCGTTGCCACTCCTGAGGACTCAGGTGTTATTCCTCTGTACCCAGTAAACTCACGCCATATCTCACCCTTCAAACCAAAACACAGCCATGCAAACGCAACTGTTTCACGGTTGAAACACGAACGGGACAGAGGTACTCAAGCAATCAACTTTTGTACAAAGTCTCCCTCTGGTAATGGAATGGTAACCTCGCTTGCGCTACCAGTATACGCTGGTGGGGCACCAATGACGTATAATAGATGAATATGAAAAATCTGTTAACCCACTGTGATCAATACACCTGGAATTCAGCACGATGGTTTCCACTTGGAAGTCGACCTGATAGGGTATATTGGTAGCAATGGGTCTGGTAGTTCGCATTACTAACAATCCTTTTCCCGTATATATTTATATTGCCATCCCAAGCCAACTGGCAAAATCATGGGGAAGTCGACCTGACAGGGTATATTGTTAACAATGGGGTTTAGCAAGAATTTACTTACTGATAGAAGTAGCTAGTCTGCTAACAAGATTTTTAATCTTCTCCGAACGCCATTTCCCGCCTGCCTTCTTTACGGACGTCTTCCTTATTGTTTTCTTCTTCTTCTGTTCTGTTCTCTTCTTGGGCTCCTTGGCCTCGCATTTTATTTTTTGTTCTGCCGCTTCTCTTACTAGAAACAGGATTATAAGCTATAAAACCTTAAAAGATTGGCATATTTAAGAAGAGGCCGAGTGGGCTGTGCTCAAATGGGAATTGTTTGGTGATTACCGCAGGGTAAGAGAAGAACTTTTAATTGTGCACAAAGATATGTTAGCCACGTGGTCCCGGTATTTTTTTTTATTTAACTTAGAATGGCAAACAAGCTGACGGCCCACCTGATGGAAAGTGGTAACCGTCGCCTATAGACATGAGCAGTATCATAGACATAACCGAGTATACTGTTTCGCCCATGATACCCCCATGCGTTGCCATTCCTGAGGACTCATGTGTTATTCCTCTATACCCAGTAAATTCACGCCATATCCCACCCTTCAAACCGAAACACACCTCTGTCCCATTCATGTTTCTACCGTGAAGCAGTTGTGTTTGCATGACTGTTTCGCTTTGAAGGGTGGGATATAGCAGGGAATTTACTGGGTACAGAGGAATAACACCTGAGTCCCCAGGAATGGCAACGCATGGGGAGTATCGTGAGCGAAACAGTATACTGTTATGTCTATGATACTGCTCATGTCTGTAAGCGACGGTTACCACTTTCCATCAGGTGGGCCGTCAGCTTGTTTGCCATTCTAAATTGTATAAAAAAAAAACAAATATTCAAATCCGTATAATCAACTTCCAGCAGCAGTATTTCCGAACCGATACGACATCATAACCTTCGAGAAAAAAGCATATTCCTTTTAAAAGGCCGGCAGCACATCTGCAATACCTATTGTGTTGTGAGTGACCATGGGCGGCGGTAGTCACTTACCATCAGGTGAGCCGCATGCTCGTTTGCCCCCTGTGTTGCAAAACAAAAAAAAAGAACTTTTTCAAGCATTTTTTTTTTATTTACCCGCATCAGCCAGGAAGTAGTCGTCGGAGTCATCATCGCTGTCTTGCTTCGGTTCCAATTTGATTGCCACCGGCTTCCCGTCTGAAAATAGAGTGTGGGTAATTTTTACCCTATTTCGAAAAGTTTAAAATTTGATTGTTTCATTTGGAAGGTTTCCATTGTTTCTACCACCCTGATGGGAGACAGGCGTGATAGATATGTACTTATGTTTAAAATTAGTTTTTTTTTTTTCTTTTAAGGAGGTTCAGAAATTCCTGTCACTTGTGGCTATATTACATGATTTTAGCGCCAATTTTTAATATAATACTGACAACTATTTCTTTTTTTTTTATCCTTTTTGATGTAGTTTTTTTTTTATATTTTTTTAATGGATGTAAATAGAACGATAACCCCAGTTGCGCTAACGGTATACGCTGGCGGGGCACCAGTGAGGGATGATAGGTGACGATGAAAGCAGGTCAGTAAGCCCATCATGACGAATTACACTAGAATTAACCACGATGGTTTCCAAGGGGCACCGCGTTCAGGTCAACCCGAAAATACACCTCGTATTGCTGAAAATGGGTCAGTTAGACCCCATTACTAACAATTCAATCCCCCCCCTACTATGAAGGTCATCATGCAAAGTATAAACTTAGATGATTTTAATTGTACATATGTGTTATTATACTGGTGATTGATCGTATTGAAATGAAATGAATTTATTTTGATAGAATGTAGGTAGTTTTCGATGAAAGAGGTTTATATTTCCCATATACATTCTGCCTCTATGTCGGCGTGCAAATTATTAACAATGTCAAAAATTTATTCATTCTACACTATATTTCTTTTCATTATTATTGGGGAACTGTAGAGCACATCCAGTTGATGAAATAAATAAATAAATGATTATTCTATAAAAAATAATCACCTGGCCCTTGGACATCCGCTATCCTCTTAAGCAGCTCACTTTCCGAACGGAGCACCTGTTGCTTGAAGTCGAAGGAACTGCGGAGCAGCTCGATGCAGACGTCACATATTGCACGGCCAGTGTACTCCGACATTGACAACTGTGGAGACATTTGACATGAGGGTTCCATTTATTAGTGACAATGGCAGACTAAGTCCGTCAGAGGGCCGGGGCAGGGACGCTGAATGAGGCCAGCAGTTTAAGCATTTGATTTTACAAGCTTTTCATTCAATTCACATTTATATGTCAACGCAGTGTAGAATGACGCCCCACTAGATGGAGTGACAATCGAAATGCATTGCAGGGAGTCAGTGGATGCAGGTGGTTTAGGACCGTTCTTTATGGCAGTCTATAGGGGAGGCTTATGTCCATTGTGTTCATGTTCCCTTAGTTCAGAGGAGCTTCCTCCTGCTAACACTCAGGTTGTGGAATGATCTTCCTGCTGGGGATTTCCCTACCACTACAGTATGGGGTTTTTCAAAAAAGGCATATTAAAGTTTTTTAAGGGTTTGCAACGCACTGGTAACATTCCTTTTGTTACAGGTTATGGTAACTCTGCTTACCATCAGATGGGCTGTATGCTTATTTGCCACTGTAGTATTATAAAAAAAAAGTTAAAATCTTGTGAGTAAAAGACTTAAATAAACATACATAAAATATAATAATGAATTGGAACTTATTGGACATGATGATATGTTGTCTGTATTTTTTAAATTTTAAATCACTATTATATATTATATTTCTTTATTAACCAATGTAACAGTTTTCGTTACACAATGACAAGTTAATATTTACATTATAATTTTGAAATTAATAAAATAAATAATAACATTTAAAAAATTATATATGCCAGAATAAAAACATATTTTATTGTTGAATAATAACAAATAATTGTAATATATTTTATAAATAACAATGACAATAACATTTGAATTATAAAATAAAAATAACATAAATTAATTACAGTTAATATTATGAGTTAGTTTTTATTTTTTGCCAATTGTGTTACTGTATTGGGTAATTTATTATACATTTTTATTTATTTTTATTTGCATGCTTATACATATACAAGATAATTAAAAAGCTGCTAAAAATAAATCCACATAGCTATGGCCTGGGACAGAACTGGCTGGAAGAAGATGCATGAATTGCACCGACAAGAGGAAACTCTTAAATGAAAAGAAAGATATTACCTAGAGATCCCAACTATCAAGGAACAGATACAGAGAGCCTGAGGAACTTATACACAGTGACTAAATTGACATAAAAAACCAACTGGCCATAAAGCTATTGAATACAAATGACTGGACAATTAGATTAAAAGGATCTCAGATAGCCAGCGTTTAAAAATTTAATCTCATACAATGACATGACATCTCCTGGATATGCATCTCTCAATGTCCACAATTTGTAATACAACAGATCAGAATATGGCAAAAAAGGGCCAATTGCAGATAGAAAGAAAAAAAACATACATATTTATGTAATATGGGTGTGGATGAAAACAGGCTTTTTTTTAATGGGTGATAATGGTATGGTAACCCCGTCTGCGCTGTCCATATACACTGTTGGGGCACCAGTGATAAATTACTTATGAGGATAAAAGCAGGTCAGGTAGCCCATCCTGACGAATTCAACTAGAATTAGCCACAATGGTTTCCAGGGGGAACCACGTGGAGGTCGACCTGACAGGGTATATTGCCAGTAATGAGGCCATTTGACCCCATTACTAACAATCCCTTTCCCCTCCGACGGAAACAGGTTTTTTTTTGGTGAATGAAAATGGAATGGTAACACTACCTGCGCTAACGGGATACGCTGGCGGAGCACCAGTGAAGGGTGATGAGAATGAAAGCAGGCCAGTTAGCCTATCATGATGAATTCATCAAGAATTAACCATGATAGTTTCCAGGGGGAACCGCGAGGAGGTGGACCTGGTTGGGTATATTGCTAGCAATGGGATTTTCAGTCTCCATTACTAACAATCCCTTTCCCCCCAACGGAAACAGGTTAGTCAACCCATCATCAGACATTCACAAGAATTTGCAACAGTAGTTTTAAAGTGGAAACACAAGAAGGTCGGGGGGAAAGAGTTTGATAGTAATGGGGTTTGACAGCCCCATTGCTAGCAATTTACCCTATCAGGTCGACCTCCACGTGGTTCCCCCTGGAAACTATCATGACAAATTCTCATTGAAATTGTCACGATGAGCTAACTGACTTGTTTTTTCATCCTCACCTATCATCCCTCACTGGTGCCCGCCAGTGTATACTGATAGCGCAGGGGGGGGTTATCATTCCATTATCAGCCAATAAAAAAAACACATGAAGGTCGACCTGATAGGGAAGATTGCTGGCAATGGGGCTATTAAGACCCATTATTAACAATCTCTTCTCCTGAAGATACATTGCTATCAATAAGTTACAAGTTGTTAAGAGTCATGGTTCAATGGCTGGTGAAATGAGGAGTTTCCCAACTGCCTCTTGGCCACAACAGAATATCACTGTTTTGCTCTTTTGAGGGCAAAGCAATAAACTGAGTTGTGACCATTTTGTGTTACTACGGCACACGAATGGAGGAAGGGTAAGAAAGGAGATTGTTAGTTTATATATTTAGTTTTTTTTGTTTTTTTTAAATTTGTGCTTTTTTATTTTCATTCTTTTATCTCTTCTACTGTTTATTATATGTATGTTTTTTTTTTATTGTAATTTGTGTGCTGTAAGTAAATTATCTATCTATCTATCTATCCATACCATAAAAAATAAGAAAAAATTACTGATTACCCTTTTTTCTTAGATACTATGAACATTATCATTAAATCACCTCATACCAGCTCTAAACTGTTCAGCGCTGAACATATGCCTCCCCCTAGGGAGGTTTTGCCAGTAGTTGTTAGTAAAATAAAAAAAATAATACAATACTATATAATTTTTTTTTAATGGGTGATAATGGAATGGTAACCCCACCCGCGCTATTGATATACACCGGTGGGACACCAGTGAGGGCTGATAGGTGAGGATGAAGCAGGTCAGTTAGCCCATCATGACGAATTCAACAAGAATTGTTCACGATGGTTTCCAGGGGGAACCACGTGGAGGTTGACCTGATATATTGCTAGCAATGTCAAACTCCATTGCTAACAATCCCTTTCCCCCCAATGCTACATAATTGTGTACTGAACTATAACAGTTCAAGTAGTATATAATAGACAGCACACATAAACAATAGATCTTGTGTCTAGTCAAGTCAACCAATCCTAAACTAATCTTATAATAAATATTGATTCTAATAAGTTTCAAATTAGACTAATTGTACATAAAAAAAAATAAATATATTGTTTCGCAGTATGTTTTATATTAGAATGCTTACAACTATATCAAAACTAGTGTTGACCCGCGACTCACTACAACCGGAATATATTTACATCCCATATAGTATGTATTTTCCGAATATCATAGTGATTGCTTAGTAATTAACTTCTTAATATGTAACTAACAAACAAACACACTTTCACATTCATAATATTAGTAAAACTAATACCAAAAGTGTGTACAAAATTCCTGTTTAAGGGTATCTTTGTCCCATTCTGTGTATACCGACAGCGCAAACAGGGATACCATTCCGTATAACTATTAAATAACAATTTGTATTACTTACAACAATATTAAAGCATTCCAGCAACATATCAGAATATATTTCCTTTCTATTCAGCCAAACATATGTAGAATTTAGATCTTTGTTCGCGCCTCTAGAAAGACAACAGCGGCACAAGTTTTCAGAATCCATTCTTTATTTTTAAATTAATATTTACAATATTACATATATTATTAACTCATTACAAAATATACATTAATTTAATATGTCACAATTCGTATTTTGTTTACAAAAATATAAATAAAGTAAAAGAGAATAATAATCAACAAATTACAATTTATTCAAAGAGAAGACACTTCACACTTAACAAAAAACAACGAACTTGAAAGACAATCTTGCAACCTTCGAAATTTTGCCTAAATAAATAAATATTCATAGTATTTTAAACTATTTATAACTAAATAAATAAAATAATTAAATATAATATGCCTCTATTAAAAATATTGATATTCTATATTTATGAGAAACATATTACAAAAGATCTTAGACCCTCTTTTAGAGGGTAAAATTTTCAATTTTAATGAATTGGTCACATATTTTTCGTAATTTTTAGTTTATATTTTTTTATCACAGTAGTGTGGCTTCTTTGGATTTTTACCGTAAGGACATTGACTACCTGCAATTTGTATGAGGTTCGTATGTAGAATGTATGAGGGAAAATTCTTAGGGGAAAACGGAACAGTTGTAACTGACAGCAGTAATTTTTTGTGCATAGATTAAGAATAATAAATTTCGTGGTATAAATTTTTTAAAAACATTTTATTTGTTGGAAATGACTAAATATACGATATATATTATATATTCGATATCTTTGAACAAATCCTATATTAAAAAAAAGTAAACACAGATTAAAAATAGTACCATCTGACATTATCTTTCTACGGTTCTTAATTTGAAAACAGAAAACAAAATGGCGAATTTCATAAAACCTTATAGATGCTACACAATGTAAAATCAATGAAATATTTAACTCAACCCATATTTATTAATGTAAATAGTGTTTAATCACTGTACAAAAATGGAATTTGACGAAATAATTGTGAAAGAGAGCCCAGGACTCTGCCGGTGCTGTTTATCCGAAGGTTGTTACAAAGATTTGGGGACGGAGTACTCTTGGATGAATGAAAATGAAGTTTATGCCGATATGTTATTGGAATGTTTCGATATTAGCGTGAGTAAATAAATACAAAATTAAAGATAATGAAATATAGATTTCATCATTTATTTTTTTGTCTATACTCAAAGAAAAAAAAATTGTAATGGATTTACTCGAAAATGATTCTACTGATTTTAAAAACGCATTTACCAATAGAAAAATACATTATTAACGAGTAATATAAGGCAGGTTATATATTATTATTAAAAGTTAATAGTTAAATATTAAGTATATATAAAGCCGGCCGGATCGCGGATAGGGTTCCTCGAGAGGATCGACTTCGGTCATATATTTTTTCATGCACCGCCCCGTTTCCGAATTATAGGGACTTGAACATTTCTGGGACTTATTAAGAGGGGGAATCATGACATCGACAAAGTCGAAGTTTTCCCAAACTCAATTCCATTGTAAAAAAAAAATTGTAGGCTTTTTAATAGTGCCTCTATTCATACATCCTAACTCCAACTACCCTTAAAGTTATCCACTGACTGAATTAATCTTGTACATAATATTATATTTTGTTTTATTATCTATAACTACCTAAATATATATTTTTTATTGGATAATAATGAAATGGAAACTCTACCTGCGCTATAAGTTTTAATGGATGATAATGGAATGGTTACCCCGCCTGCGCTATCCTTATAAACTGGCGGGACACTGGTGACGGGTGATAGGTGAAGATGAATTAGGTCAGTTAGCCTATTGTGACAAATTCACTAATGAATCCATTACAATCCAGGAACTGCGTGGAGGTCGACCTAATTTTGCTAGTAATAAGGCTGCTAATCTATGCACAACGACCCATATGAGAGGCTAAGCATGGAAAATAGAGTCTTTTTCACATTTAAGGCTGCTAATCCCATTATTAACAATCCCTTTTCCTCCCTGCACTATTGGTATACACTGGCAGGGCACCATTGAGAAATGATAGTTGAGGCTGAAAGCAAGTCAGTTGGCTCAGTGTGAATAATTTGACAATAATTAATCATGATGGTTTCCAGGAGGAACCATGCAGGTCGACCTGATAGAGTATATTGCTAGCAATGAAAATTAAAATCCTAAATGCCAAATATATATATATATATATCTGTGGGTAAAGATGTCCCTGACAAATTTACATGACAAACCTAACATCCAGACATTAGGGGGAAGGGATTGTTAGTAATGCAGACTCACTCCCATTACTAGCAATATGCCTCATAAGGTTGACGTTCATGTGGTCCCCTCTGGAAACCATCATGCTGAATTCCAGGTGTATTTATCATGATGGGCTAACTAACCTGCCTTTTCAGGGGGGAAAGGGATTGTTAGCAATGGAGTTTAATAGCCCCATTGTTAGCAATTTGCCCTATTAGGTCAATCTCCACGTGGTTCCCCCTGGAAACCATCATGAACAATTCTTATTGAATTCGTCACAATGCGCTAACGGACCTGCTTCATCCTCACCTATTATCCTTCACTGGTACCCCTCCGGTGTATATCGATAGCACGGGTGGGGTTACCATTCCATTATCGCCCATTAAAATAAAATTCTGCCTTTTCATTCTCACCTATCATCCCTTACTGATGCCCCGCCAGTGTATATCCTTAGCGCAAGTGGGATAACCATTCCATTATCATCAAATAAAAAAAAATTCAGACATTCAATGCAATGTGACCATAAGTCCCTCCTATTTGTATTAGTGCAGTCAAGGACTTTGATTACTTTTTATAACAGTTTACAGACACCAAACTTCTAAACATTGCCTTCAGAGTAATAACATTGTGGAATAGTAGTTACTGTGACATGTTTCTTCACCTTAAAATGTCAGATCCTTAAAGTGTAACATAAAAAAGCACAAAAGAGTGGCCATAATGCAGTCAACTGTTGTATGTAGTAGATTCTCTTTTGATCATATCATGAACTACATTGGCCATGTAGCCCCGACATAAAATAGGCTACCACTTCCTTTCCCATGGGTGTCATAAGAGGTAACTAAGTGAGAGTAAGGGATGGGCAACTGTAGACTATCCGCCTGCAAGTATGGCAACATTTCTTTTATAACACGGTAGTCCCACATTAATTTTTTTATAGATGATAAGGGAGGCAGGGTTACCTCCTGTACTAACGGTATACTCTGGCAGGGCAGCACTGAGCAAGGATAGGCTTAATGGTCGAGGAATGAGCAGCAGCAGCAGCAACATCCCTCTTAAAACAGCACTAAAGTCCAACTGCTGTTAACCAACCTGCCTGCCAAGTGTGGCAACTACTGACAAAACTCTTAGAGGAAGGTCTATGTCCAGCAGTGGACAGTTAATGGCTGATATGATGATGATGATACTAAGTATATGAAGTGGACTACATAGCTACTTTTTTATCCCAATCAAGGAATATATCCTGGTCAGCAGTATGAAGTTACAGACACAAACTAACTTAGAATTCTGTGTGTCCAGATATCACAGCACAATGAGGGTCCCAACGGACCCAACCGGCTCATATGCGAGGTATGCATCACTCGACTCCGAGACGCATGCAACTTCAAGAAACAGGTGATGGACTCGGAGAAGAAATTCATTGATATGATTGGCAGGGGCGAGTTTAGGCCAAAAGGTAAGTATTTACTGAACTAGGTGTTACTTTGCGGAGGTCCATATCACTGGTTATTTGATACAAAAAATTTTGTTTAATTCCGCTACAAATTGTATGACTACCAACTCTCAAAGACCCCCTTATGGAGTACTGTTCTCACCTTTGCTTGGGCGCCTCTGTCCAATTCGTGTTTCTAACGTGAAGGTTAGAAGGTTTGAAGGTTTTTTTTTAAATGGGTGAAAATGAAATGGTAACCCCGCCTGCACTATCGGAATACGCTGGCGGGGCACCAGTGAGGGATGGTAGGTGAAAATGAAGGTAGGTCAGTTGATCCAGCGTGAAGAATTCAATAGGAAATAACCACGATGGTTTCCAGGAGAAACCGCGTGATAAATGAGCAATGAGGCTGTTATAACCCATTACTGACAATCCCTTTCCCCCCGGTTTGAAGAGTGGGATATGGCAGTGAATTTACAGAGTACAGAGGAATAACACCTGGAGTCCTCAAGAATGGCAACGGAAGGGGGTGTCATGGGCGAAACAGTAAACTCTGTTATATCCATGGTACTGCTAATGTCTATAGGCGACGGTTACTACTTTCCATCAGGTAGACCATCAGCTTGTCTGCCATTCTAAATTGTATAAAAAAAAGGTACAATGACCTGTGGATCGAGGCTCCTGGATACCAGCTTGGGCCTCTTCACTGCGTTTAAAGACGAGCTATGAGAATAGTCGATGATCCCAACTTCCCAGGCGGTATCGTACCCTCTAGTCTAAGGCGAGACTTTGCCTCCCCCTGCGTAACGGATTGTGTTTTGAGAAATTATTTGAAATGATGCCCACAGCCACCTTTTATCATCACAACTCTCGTCATCAACAGGAAATACATCCTCACACGCTTGAACCTAAACGATCGCGTACGATTTCAAAGGGATTCTCTTCCGCGAACGCTCAGGCTGTGAAATGAGCCCACCGCCGAGTTTTTCCCTTGACTGCAGTATGGGATTCTTCAAAAAGTTAAGGTTTCTTCAGGGTCGACAACGCGCGCGTGATACTCCTGGTATTGCAAGCGTTCATAGGCTACGGTAACCGCTTGCCGTCAGGTGGGCTGTATGCTTGTTTGCCACATCAGTGGTATAAAAAAGATGCTGTAATTGGTATTTTTATTTTTGTTTTAGTTCTTATATATCAAACACAAATGAAGGCGGAGGGTGTAGAAGCGGAAACGAATGACGAAGCGGAAATAGAGTACCTGGAGGATGACATGGAGCTCGGAGATGGTGAGTGATTAATTTGTCTTTTCCAAAAATGGAAAATTAAGGTGATGACGACAGATCTACTGAATCCTGCATGAGAGGGTTTTTTTTGTGTAATGTATGATAATGAAATGGTAACCAAATGGTGGCCAATTGTTAGTAATGGGGTCTAACTGACCCATTACCAGCAATACACCCTATCAGGTCGACCTCCACGTGGTTCCCCCTGGAAACCATCGTGGCTAATTCTAGTGGAATTCGTCACAATGGGCTTACTGACCTGCTTTCATCGTCACCTATCATCACTGGTGCCCTGCCAGTATATACAGATAGTGTAGACGGGGTTACCATTCCATTATCACCCAATAAAAAAAAGGGTATTCGCTGGCGGGATACCAGTGAGGGATGATAGGTGAAAATGAAAAGTTAGGTCAGTTAGTTAGTTCAGCACGATGATTTCCAGAAGAAACCACGTGGAGGTCGACATGACAGGGTATATTGCTAGCAATGGGCCTGGTAGTCCGTATTGCTAATAATCCCTTTATACGGCAATAATTTATTTAATATAAACATGATTATAAAAGCCTTTTAAATAATAACATTCAAACTGGGAATTTAGCGCGAAAGAAAGAGTCAGAATAGTTCAATAGCTGAAATAAGTTTATGACACATTTTTATGAACAAGGGTGTTAGTTTTTTTTTATACAACTTAGAATGGCAAACATGCTGACGGCCCACCTGATGGAAAGTGGTAATCGTCGCCTATAAACATGAGCAGTACCATGGACATAATAGAGTATACTGTCTCGCCCATGATACTCCCCATGCGTTGTCATTCCTGAGGACTCGGGTGTTATTCCTCTGTATCCAGTAAATTCACGCTATATCCCACCTTTCAAACCGATTCATTCAGTCGTATCATCCAAAAACATATAAATATATTAGAAATAAATTCCTTCCAGACGAATTCCTGAAATCAGCTGAGAATCCAGAGGCTACCGTCTCCGAAGGCATCACAGTCACAACACTGCCAGTGAAGAACAAACGCGGCCGACCAAAGAAGAATGCCACAGCTGTGAAGCCGGAGAAGAAGGCGAAGATCTCCCAAGTGGAGGAGAAGCCCAGGTCGTCCAAAGCCGTAATCAAAGGTAGGTCTTGATTTATAAATAAACATATTGTCTTTGAAAAGCCTGCCTTGTGATCATGTTACTGTAAGTTTTGTTTTTTCGGAGAATTTATTTATTCTTAAACATGTAGTTTGTTTCATAAAATAACAAAAAAAAAAATTGTAGTAGATCGGGGGGCACGGTAGTGCCACCGCCAAGTTGAGAACAACCGTACCATTCCTTTCCAAGCGACTCGCATCGCTTTTGACCCCACTGTAACTTCATTGTGAATGAAGCAAGATGTTTGAATTTTTAATAATCAAGAAAACTATAACTAGATTTTTTTTTTGATGGGTGAAAATGGTATGGTAACTCCGCCTGCGCTAACGGGATACGCTGGCGGAGCACCAGTGAAGGGTGATAGATGAGAACGAAAACAGGTCAGTTAGCCCATCATGATAAATTCATCAGGAATTAACCATGATAGTTTCCAGGGGGAACTGCGAGTAGGTCGACCTGGTTGGGTATATTGGTAGCAATGGGATTCTCAGTCTCCGTTACTAACAATCCCTTTCCCCCCAACTAGATATATATATTTTCATGTGTGGCGGGGCACCAGTGAAGAATGATAGGTGAGAATGAAGCAGGTCAGTTAACCCATCATGACGAATTCAACGAGAATTGTTCACGATGGTTTCCAGGGGGTACCACGTGGAGGTCGACCTAACTAGATATATTGTAAGCATACTTAAAAATTATACCTTCGTCATATCAATCGTTAACCGTTCATTGCTGAACATAAGTCTCCCCATAAGGGAGGTTTACCTAATAGTTGTCTCGCTTGACAGGCGGCTTGGAAGTCGCACTTAGGTCTTGATGATGTTTTAAAACGAACACCCACTGCCCATTCCTCAAGTTCCCCTAGTCATCTCTTACGACACGCACAGGAAAGGAAGGGGTGTCCCGTTCTATGCCGGAGCCATACGGGCAAAAATTATATCTTATAGTTTGCGAATTATCGCTAGTCCAAGTTCATTAATATTGTCATTGACACTCGCCAATTGTCAAAATTTTCAATTTTTCCAGCAATGTCACTAACTTCAAATTTTGATTTCTAAATTTTCAGAGTTTTAATATATGAATGATCACAATCCGGGCATTTTAAAGAGTTTGATAATAATATTTTCTGTTACATAGATTTTTAAAAGATGCCGAAAGTTCTAGAGTTGTATATATATATATATATATATATATATATATATATATATATATATATATATATATATATATATATATATATTTTTTTTTTTTATGCAACTTAGAATGGTAAACAAGCAGACGGTCCACCTGATGGAAAGTGGTAACCGTCGCCTATAGACATGAGCAGTACCATGGACATAACAGAGTATATTGTGTCGCTCATGATATCTCCCATGCGTTGCCATTCCTGAGGACTCAGGTGATATACCTCTGTGCCCTGTAAATTCACTGCCATATCCCATAATTAATCTGCTTACCAGGTGTAATTCTTTTAACAATGTTTTCACAAACAGAGTTAATACTAAATTACATAAAAACAAGTTAAAGAGGCAACAATGGCCGGCCTTATTGCTAAATAGCAATCTCTTTCAGGCGACCTTATATTTAGTTTTAAACTTTCGCGTTGTTTACACATATTTTTAAATACACAATCGGGACTTAACTCGATGAAAAAGCGTTTATAGGTAAATAGTTTTTAACGTCAGGAAAAATGCATCATGCAATCCTACACAGGTTTTTTTTATTGGATGAAAATGGCGTGGTAACCCCGCCTGCGCTAATGGGATACGCTGGCGGGGCACCAGTCAAGGGTGATCGATGAAGATGAAAACAGGCCAGTTAGCCCATCATGATGAATTCATCAGGAATTAACTATGATAGTTTCCAGGGGGAACCGCGAGGAGGTCGACCCGTTTGGATATATTGCTAGCAATGGGATTCTTAGTCTCCATTACTAACAATCCCTTTTCCCCCCTACCTACACAGGTTAGGGCCCGTGTGGGTACTGTCGGACTCCTACCGGCTAAACGACCTGACGATATACCTCCTAGTCACTTAACGACAGTGCCGTGGGAGCCCTTTCGTAATCTGCCATGACACCGCCAGAGATCGACCAAAGGGTAGCTCTTCTCATGTGTGCAGGGTATATGCTGCACACCGTTTACACGATCCTTTTCCTACCTGGTGAGCTTTGGATGGCCCTAACCATCCGCCGCCGGGGGGAGAGGGATTGTTAGTAATGGAGATTGAGAATCCCATTGCTAGCAATATACCCAACCAGGTCGACCTCCTCGCGATTCCCCCTGGAAACTATTATGATTAATTCCTGATGAATTCATCATGATGGGCTAATTGGCCTGTTTTCATCCTCATCGATCACCCTTCACTGGTGCCCCGCCAGCGTATCCTGTTAGCGCAGGTGGGGTTACTATTCCATTTTCTACCAATAAAAAAAAAACCATCCGCCGCCCCGAGGATCAGGTAAATAGTACCTACATACCTGCTTCTTTACTGCCGACGTTTCGACGTGGATTGCACCACGTCGTGGGTCACTTCAGTCGTGTCGTGAAAGCTTTTTCATCGTGTTAAGTTCCGAATGTGTATTTAAAAATAAGACCTTACATTTGTTAATGATTCGACATCATTTTTTGACCCTTGTCCCAATAATTACTAGTGTTAACTGGTTTAGTTTGTTTCGGTTGGCTGTTTTGTAAATTTCTTATATGATGATAGTTTTATGATCTATTAGATACCGTGTTATAAGTTTCGTTTAATGCAAATTATTAATTATATATAATAAAAGAGAAGGAAAATCATATATATATATATATATATATATATATATATATATATATACATACATACATATCTGTCACGCCTGTCTCCCATTAGGGTAGGCAGAAACAATGGAATATATATATATATATACGTAGTACATAGTAGCTATTTACTAATTATGCTTCCCACCTTTCGAAATTTAAATGTTTTCTCTAAACGTTAATCATGTTACGTACACATGTTTTTTAAACTATATATAAAATCTAATATAATTCTAATATATGTGTGACTTATTAAAATAAATAAATAAATAATATATTTTTTTTATTTTAATATTACAGTCAACATTATGTAACAGGAAATATACATATCTATTTTATTATATTTAAGTTAGCATAGATTTAACAGTTAGATGTTTAATTCCGCCATTATTTTGTCTATGGTATATTCTGTCTACCTCATACGCAACTCTCCTTAGTCTATGGTGTATGCTGGTTAGTCGATTATTTTGTTTAATTCCGCTACCATTAGTATGCATACAACTTTAACACTCGAAGATGGACTACTATTAGTACTAGAAGTTCTATGATCTCTCTTCAGTTATCAATTTCTGACCGTTATTCAGTCCACGCACATATTGTGACACGTGTTTCGCCTCTAAACGAGGCACCATCAGGCAATTGAATGATTGCTTCTCGGAGCCTACTGTTCGCCGTTCAGAGTCGACGCCCAGATTGCGAATACGACCACTTTTCAGTGTCGACATCTGCATACGGTATAAGTGGAATTAAACAATATAATTGTTATCAGCTAACAAGTGATATGGTAAAATAGTGAGACAGTAAATGGTACGATAATATTAGAACGAGACTATAAAGACGTATGTATAGACATTTTTGTCCATGTCTTTCTTCAAGGACAGCTTCTAGCATAGAGTGTGTTTCGGTTTGAAGAGCGAGCTATGCCAGTGAAGTTACTGGGTATTAGAAAGAAACTTTGTACTAAAGTTGTCTACATGGCAAAATCGTCTCTGCTGGAGTGAAATTACAGGGTACTCGGGCATGATTAATAGTTCTTAGAAAGGGCACTGCATGAGGGTTTCACGGTTCTAGTAACTGTAGGCGTTCGGTGCCACTTGCCATCAGGCAGACCGTCAGCTTGTATGACAATCCAAATCGTGTATGAGTGTGGGCAATTTCAGAAATGAATGACACCTTTCGGTAAAATTAGATTGTTTTTTTCATTGACTATATTTTAATAGAAAATATTTATATTTTAAAAAGTTTTAAACTATCAATAGGTAGGTGTACGTGACTTCCGATCTGTGACTTATTTTACAGTCACATAATAAATACATAAAACTTAGTTTGTATTGCAAATCCTAATTATTTCAATAAATTCACATTTATACATATCTATATTATTATATTTAAGTTAGCATAGATTTAACAGTTAGGAGAAGATTAAGAAAAAAAAAATATATAAAAATATACATTTCCGTTAATTTTAAATTTATTTCTTATTTTTTTAAACTTGACTCTATTTTAATAGAATATATTGTTTATATAAAAAAAAAAAGAACTAATTGATTTATGTCCATTAATTTAAAGGAGACAATGACAAAATAGAAACCCAAGAACACTTAAGGTAGTGATAGCTTAAAAAATGGACTCTTGTGCTGGCGATGTCTAAAATGGATACGAATCCGGATAATTGTTTATTTTATTAATCTATACTTATAATAAATCTGTAGAGAGGTCATTTCTGTATATTAAATATATTTCCAAAATAACTACCAGGCGGTGATTAGTGATCGATACTGATGCCAGAAATGCAATCAGTAAAATTTTTGTCTGTCTGTCTGTCTGTATGTTCGTTATAGAAACAAAAACTACTCGACGGATTTTAACGAAACTTGGTACAATTATTCTTCATACTCCTGGGCAGGTTATAGTATACTTTTTATCACGCTACGATCAATAGGAGCGGAGCAGTGAAGGGAAATGTCAAAAATGTCCACCCATGCGACGCCGGGACGGGCCGCTAGTCTTCAATAAACTAACACAGTGTACTCGTAAATGGTGGACTTAACACCAGATGGCGTTGTCTTACCAGTCGATCGTAGACAGGAATAAGAGGAAATATGCATTTTGTCATGTATTGTATCCGTCGTTAACTGTCCCATAATGAGGGATAATAATTTTGCCAGTAAATTATACTTTTGC